ATTATGCATCTCATTTTGTGAGTGGGCCTTGGAGGTTTAAGTATATGCCTGCTGTGTATTTTTTCCTCTCAGTTCTTCTTCTTTCTTAGTTTATAAATGTATCTCCTCTAAACAACCTAAATCTAATTTTTAAAATTTTTTTCAGTCTGAAAATCTTTGTCTTTTATTTTTTATTTTTTTTAATAAAGATTTTATTTGTTTATTTGACAGACAGAGATGACAAGTAGGCAGAAAAGCAGGCAGAGAGATAGAAGAAGAGAAGCAGGCTTCCCGCTGAGCAGAGAGCCCGATGAGGGGCTCAATCCCAGGACCAATCCCAGGAACCTGGGATCATGACCTGACCCAAAGGCAGAGGCTTTAACCCACTGAGCCACCCAGGCGCCCCAATCTTTGTCTCTTAAATTGAGATTTAAATACATTTGTATTTGTTATCGTAACCAATATATTCGCATTTCAATTACCTTCTTTGTGCTTCCTATTTTTTTGTTTCTTTTTTATTTATTGTTTTTTCCTTCCTTCCCCACATTCCATTTAACTTTTTTAGTTAAAAGTTAAAAGTTCAGAAATTATATAATTCTGTGGATTTAGTGTTCATTCTAGTATTTTAAGATTCATGTGTAGCTTAAAATCTAAAATTAATCTTTATTTTACCCACATCTAAACAGTAAAAGAATATTAGAATGGTCACACTTTGATCTCCCCCTTCTAGCTTTTAAAAATTCTATCCAGTTGCCATTCTGTATTTGCAACAAATTAATCATTATTATTACTGTGTAATATTTTAGTGCTTGTTTATATTTATTCATATATCTAACTATTTTTCCTCATTATTCCCTTATGTATTTCAGACCTTCTGTTTTGGAATAGTTTTGCTTTTGCCTGAAGAACCTTTTCTAGGGGGCATCTGGGTGGCTCAGTCAGTTAGACATCCACTCTTCATCTCAGCTCAGGTCTTAATCTCAGGGTTATGAGTTCAAGCTCTGTGTTGGGCTCTGTACCCAGCATGGAACCGACTTAAAAAAAAAAAAAAGAAGAAGAAGAAAAGAAAGGAAAAAGAACCTTTTCTAAAATTCCCTTCAGCAAGAATTTTTTGGTAGAAAAAATAATTTCTTTTTTGTGTGTGTTCCTGAGAATCACCTTAATTTTCCCTTTGGAAAGATGGTCTCTTGGGATACAGAATTTTAGGCTGACAGCTATTTCATCATAGTATACAGAAGATAAAATATTCCAGTTGGGTTTTAGCATCCATTAGTGTTACTAAAAAAACAGTGATTGGTTTAAATATTCCTTAGCAGGTGATTCGTCTCTCTTTCCAGCTATTTTTAACTTCCTCACTTTTTCTTTATTGGTCTGCAGTTTCACAGTGATGTGGCGAGCTGTGGATTTCTTTCTATTTTTCCTTCTTTAGATTTATTGGACTTCCTAGATCTGAGATTGTCTCGCAGCATGGTTAGAAAGTTCTAAGCTAGTTATCTGTTGAATATTGCCTCTCCCCCAGTCTGCTTATTACTTCTTTCTAGTATGCTTATAAGATGTATGTTACCTTCTCATGCTCACCACCATATTTCTTAACCTTCTTTTAAAAAATATTTTCCATCTCTTCATCTCTCTGAACTACACTGAAGATAAATTATTCAGATATATTTTGGAGCTCACTAATTCTCTTTTCATTTATGTGCAGTATACTGCATGATATATTACTAAACATTTTATTTTATTTGTGATAGTTTTCATTTATAGAACTTTCACTGAATTTTTTTAAGTCCCCTTTCATGGCTTATGAACTCTTTTTACCTGTTCACATTTTTAGATTTTCATTGTTTTAAGCATATTAAATATAATTTAGTTATAATTAATATTAAATGAATTGTCATTACAAATAATCACAAATTGTCAGAATCAGTCTGACCATTCTGTATTTGATATCTGATGTTTATTCAGCCGCTTTTTAATGGAGCCTTGTTTCTTTATGTGTTATTTATTCACTCATTTATTTAGCTATTTATTTTCTTGTTAGCTACTCCTGTTCTTGGGACTTGTCTGTGGGAATTCTTTGAGAACTGCATAATATTAAGTCCTCTTTTGTCCTGTTTTGGCTTTTGCCAGTTGCTTGGTATCCGGTATCCCTGCCTGCGGACCTTGATGTAGTCTAGTCTTCCTTTGAAGTTTTTCAGACCACAAACCTACTATGAATTGAGACATCAAAGCTATCTCTTTGAGGAAGAGCTTGTGGTTAGAGATTCTTGGGAGAGATGTGTTTTTACCTCTCCTCAGTCTTAGCTGCCCACCTGTACCTTATAGTCTTGTACCAAGGGTGTGGTTCTTTGGAGCCCCAGGTTTATGGGGTTTCTTATGAAGTTTTGTGCTGGAAGAGGGAATATGGGGTTTTTCTTTTATGCTGTAGACCCTATGGAACTATATCAGGGCTGAAATTAAAAGTCTCTAGAGCTTTGCAGAAGCTGTAAGGCTGAAACCTAGCTGTGTACTTACCTCTTAAGATTCCTGTTTTCACGTCATTGTGACTCTGTTTTTCCCTTTCTTTCCTGCCAGCCTGCTGATGTGTTTTTTTAAATATTTTTTCATATTTTATGCAAGATGTTTCATTTGGGAGGGGCATTCAGTATAGCTAACCCACCATTCTGTTTGGAAACAGAACAAATACTGTTTTATTTAACTTTGCCGCTAACCCTGTTCTGTGAGGAGGAGGTGTTAAGTATAGTTGCAAAATCAGATGGTAAGATTTTGATGGGAAACCTAAATCTTCTGATTCAAGGCTTTGGTTTTGTTCTTCTCTTCTTTTGTTTTCTGACTTTTGTCTTTTATTTTTCTCTCAGACTTTGTGGTACAACCTCCTCCTTGCAGAAGACTTTAAGAGAGAAATACGTATTTATTTAGCCTACTTTGTAGTAACTGTGTTCTGTAACCATGATTATTAGAGAGTTTAGGACTTTTTATCTAGATTTACATCCTATTCTTGAGTAATGTAGCAGCTGAGTAAATGTAGAAATATGATACTCAGGGTTCCTGGAATAAATATTCCAAAAATTATTTTCCTCCATCATTTTTGGGCACAGAAACCTACCTGTGAACTTATTCCCAGTGACTGTCAATTCAAGCTCAGCTTATGAAGTTTAGGAAATGTCTGTGGTGTATTCAAGTATGCATGTGTGCTTCAAATTTAGTACTTGGGTTTTGGACATATTAGGTTTCTTTTGGGAAGTGAAAGGAGGTGTTTTGATTCTTATAGGGAGTACCTTATACCCAATTCATTTATTGAACAATCGCTTAGCAGCAACCTGAGGTATACTACAGACCATTTGAGAAAATAATACATTTATTTTAAACTCTGTATCTAGTATAAAAAATTAGGCTTTACCTATTAATGAAATTTTTTGTAATTAATAGCTTCATCTACATTATCGATATGCAGCTCTTGATTTTTGTGGTACTTATTTCTTCTTGCAGTCATAGCCAAAACTTCTTTGAAGCTTCTTGATGAAAGTTAACTAATGCATAATGAGCTAGACCCATAGTTTTTTTTTTTTTTTCCATTGCTTACAATAAAGTCCGTTTCAGTCGAAGCCCACAGGGCTTATAGTTGATATTAATATTTTATCCCTATGCAACTTTGTATTTTATGTTCTCTTTCAATGATGTCTTTCAGCCTTTATCTTCCATTTTGATCCATTCTCTACCTTGCTGGCAGAATGATGTTTATTAGAGTCCTCTTTGATCGTGTTAACTGCTCTACAGCCAACATTGCAAGATAATGCCCAATCTCCTAGCCTAGCATCCTGCCAGGTCCCCAGTTACAGCTTGGTCCTCACCTGACTTGACCTGTCATCACCATTTGACATAATCCATTGCCCCTACTTATTGAAAATGTCTTATTAGCCTCACGGCTTACAACTGCATGTATACACAGGTCATTCACAAGTATATGCCTTTAGCCTGACCATTCCTCTGGGTCCTGGGTTCCTATATTCAACATTGCAAACGTAACACAGTTTAAAGAAAAGCCTTGTACTAAGTCCCTTAATCCTGCTTTTTTCCTTATCTTCCCATCTCAGCTGTCTAAGTCAAAGACTTGGGAAATTTCCAAAACTCTCTCTCTCTTACCCCACTCCCTGAGCTGTACCTTCAGAATATGTCTGCCATCTGACCACTCTCATCATTGTCAATGATGGCACCCTCATCCAAGCCACCATCATGCCTTGCCGATTACTTTCACTGGTATTCTTGCACTTGTTACTGTCAGCATCCAAAGAGATCTTCTTAAAAATGTAGACCCTTCCCTTTCCTCTAACTGAAAGCATCCAGTAACTCTTAACAGCACTCCACATGAAATCCAGAAGTCCTTTTCTCATGGTCTACAGGGTTGTGCGTGATCTTGTCCTTGATAGCTCTCTGAGCTCAGAGGCTTCCACTATCCCTTTTGTGTTCCCTTCTCTGGCTACATCCTCTTCTTCTTTGAACTTCTCTTCCCTGAGATAACTGAGTGACTCATGCTGTCACATTATGTACGTCTCTGCTCAGATGCTCCTGTCTGAGAGGAGCTGTTTGTGATCACCCTTTCTAGAATAGCAACTATATCAGTCAGGTATTGCTGTGTAACAAACAATCCACAACTCAGTGGCAAATTATACTATGCTTCAGCAGGTCAGCTGGGGATTGGATAATCTAGGCTGGGATTGGGTTCTTGCTTTCCTTCAAGCTCTGAATCTGTCTGGGCTTGGCTTCTTAGTGTAATAGGAGCACATACCTGCTTCACATCTTTCATTCCTGTATCCCTGGAATATGGCATGGCATAGGTTCTCAGTGAATATTTGCTCAGGAAATAAAGAAATGAACAAATGTCATAGAGACTAAGACAATAAATAAATATGTTAGAGGTAAGTAGAATAATTCTCTTTACTTAGCCTCTTCTGGTATGTCAAATAATTGACATAAGAACCTGAAATAATTCAGGCATGCCTTCTGTTTTATTTCCACGTGTTCAGATCAGAGAACAGGCACGTGTTTCTCGGGCCTGGTGAATGGCCGCTGTGCGCAAGAGCTCCCGGGCAGAATGACAAAAATGCAGTGCTGCTGTGAGCCCGGCCGCTGCTGGGGCATCGGAACCATTCCTGAGGCCTGTCCTGTCAGAGGCTCTGGTGAGCAGCCGACTGCTTGTCTCCTCAGCACAGGCAGTGTTAGGAAAATCAGTAACAGTCGTGTACTTTGTTCTTTTCCTTGAAGTCAAGTCATATGTGTGTTCTTAGCACTGTCTTCAATATGAATACTGTGTTTTTGTGAGGAATTGGGTGGCATTATTTACTTGGGATCAGTTTTGACTTTATACACTTTATTAATATCAGAAAAATTCCCAAAAACTGATTCTGACTTGTCTTTCTGCAAGTATTTTTTGAAATTATTTTGAACATCAGTATTTCGATTAGTTTTAAAATCTCCTGATCTTTCATTTCAGGGCTTTGAGTATGTTTGAATAACTTCATTTATATTTTATTTCAGGAGTGTCCCTATTTTCTAGTATCCCAATCCTTGAAGATATTTCCTCTTTTCTAATAACCTGAAGGTTAAGAATAAAAGGGTAGGAGGATACCTCTCATTTGCTTTGCTGGATTAATTAACCATATAACTGAGGCTATATCAGGAAATTACTTAAGAATGAATGAGAAGTAGCTCCTCTTATTAATGTGATATGAATGGTAAAGTAGGATTAATGTTTATCAATCACAAAGGCACATCAGTATGTTTTATTATATTGTCTTTATGTTAAATTATAGTATTCTGAAAAAACTAAACTTTTTGAACTATGCTTATGAAGATAGGTATCTATATGTACTGTTATGGAGAGAAAGATTAAGGCCCATTCTTTCAAAATCTATAAGCTATAGAACATCAAAATTGAGTAATAAAGCTTAAACAACAGCACTATTTGTGCATAGTATATGATTTTGGGAACTCGTGGTCTCACAAATAATATATAATAGTAATATTAATACTGAAACAGTTGTTTGAGTTAAATAATTTTCATTTCTATTGACCCTAGTGTCCTAATTCTGAGAACAGATGAAGAAATAATTAGATTGTTGTAGTCTTGCTTCTTTTCTCTAAGCTTTGATACTTGGACAAATAAGGTGCAGTTTGAAAAGTTAACTGAACACTGTCTTTTGTTAAAATCCAAAAATATAAAAAATATTCTGAAGCCATAGTAATTCCTTATAGCAAAGAAAGGAGATGGGAGAAATGTGAAGGTATGATACTGATGAAGTTTTAAGTAAAACGAAATCTACAGAAAGAATTATGGAAAGCTTTGATTTTTATCTGCATAAGTAAATTTCTTGAATTCATAGTTGTATCTGGAATTCTATGAGTTGCACTTGGGGATATAAAATCAAACTGCACATAGCACATATAGACAGTTCTTTGGTTATGCAACTCAGTTAAAATATGGCAAATAGGTTTTCACTTTTTTTCTGAAACATCTATACTTTTCCCTGTTACTTCTAGCATTGGAAACATGGATCAAGATGCAATATGCTACTTATTCAGATCAAATAATATAGATAAGCTAAAATGTTCTTACAGTGTACAGATTGCTTTTAGAATCAATCTGTGTTTAACTGACCTTTCTTTTCTTCTAGAGGAATATCGCAGACTTTGCATGGATGGACTTCCAATAGGAGGGATTCCAGGGAATGCTGGTTCCAGACCTGGAGGCACTGGGGGGAATGGCTTTGCCCCAAGTGGCAATGGCTATGGCCCAGGAGGGACAGGCTTCATCCCCATCCCTGGAGGCAATGGCTTTTCTCCTGGAGTTGGGGGAGCTGGTGTAGGGGCCGGGGGACAGGGGCCCATCATCACTGGACTAAGTGAGTATTATATTATATTATATTATAAAAGTACACACTTTTTTGTGTAGACTCTTTATTTTTCTGCCTTAAATGATTTTATAATACCTAGCATTTTTTTCAAAAGGAGTGTGTGTGTGTGTGTGTGTGTGTGTGTAAAAACCTCTTTCAGGGTCTAAAATACAAGGTAGTAGTAAAAAAAAAAATGCCTGAGAAAATATTATTTTCCTGTTCCATAAACTTTCTAAATTGGAGAAAAGAAGAGTGACCCGGGTTTTCTTTGAAAATAAAGATGAGAGCATGGTCATACTCCATTCCAGATGACGCCATTAAAGAGTGTGTTTTTGGTTCCAGTGTATTTCATTTGGCCGTTTGCAGCTGCCCTGTTCATACACCCCTTGAATTATTTTCCAGAACCATTTCTCAACTGAGATAAACTGAATAAGTCTTGCTCTGTGCCTATCCAAATATTTTAATGAAATATCTTTCTTTTCCTCACCCTTTTTTGTTGAATAACTTGGGCTTCGGGCCAGAACTGGCACTGGTGTACTTGACATTTAAGTTCATTCTTTTTATAAGAGCTGCTCTTGCTAATAATATTTAATGATGTCCTACAGTGTTGTGTTTATTCTTTTTGGCAGATGGCCTATTTACTATCTGAATATTCAGCACAGTTAAGGGAAAAAAAAGAAATGGAAAGCATTCAAATTTACAGTAGAACATTCCTGAAATTTTGAAAAGACATCATTACGGGCAAAGTTTCCAGATGTATCACTTAACAAATACGAGTTACAACCATGTGTCTCAGGAATATTTTTTAGATCCTCAACATCCAAGTTTTAATAAAATATAGAATAATGTGAGCCTTTGATATGTACATTTAATGAATGGACTATTAAATATCCTTTTAAAAAATCAGTTTCAATAAAAGTACTACATCTTGTAACGCTGAAATACCATTTGTGCTTTGATTTTTCTGTAGCTATTCTGAACCAGACGATAGATATCTGTAAGCACCACGCTAATCTCTGTTTAAATGGGCGTTGCATACCTACTGTGTCTAGCTATCGATGTGAATGCAACATGGGGTATAAGCAGGATTCAAACGGGGATTGCATAGGTAAGCTCATGATTCTTTAATCCTTTGTTTTTTCATAGCTTTTAGACTATAGGAACAAATTAGACTATACATCATTAAAAAAAAAAAGTCTTCTGAATCAAAGCTAATTTCCAAGCTGTCTCTTCTGTGCACGGTCTTCCCTGTGCCCTTTTAACCTACTGTTGAGATAGCCCCCTTCAAGAATCCCGCACTGTTTCCCATCCTGTATATTGTGATTTCTTTGTCTGCCTCTGTCTTGCTTTCCTTCTCAGCTTAGCAGCACTAGATATATGGTGGTGTCGTCCAGAGGAAGGTGGAGATTTGGAGGAGATAGGAGAGAAGTCACTTTTAGACGTGTTGAGTGTTAGGTATCTAGGACATTGAGATTTTTTGTTTTGTTTTTTTTTTTTTTTTGAAGATTTTACTTATTTATTTGATAGAGAGACAGATCACAAGTAGGCAGAGAGGCAGGCAGAGAGAGAGAGGAGGAAGCAGGCTCCCTGCTGAGCAGAGAGCCCGATGCAGGACTTGATCCCAGGACCCTGGGATCATGACCTGAGCTGAAGGCAGAGGCTTTAACCCACTGAGCCACCCAGGTGCCCCTAGGACATTGAGTTTGAAAAGTCTAAGGCTAAGCGGGGTGTTCAGAGCTAGAGTTAACAGATGGAAGCATCAGGGTCATACAGGTGGCTCTTAGAACCGCGAGGGTGAGTATTATCACCTACGCTGAACCCCAGCAAGAATGGAAAGATAACAGTACTACTGTGGCTGGAACCCTATGCCACAGCAACCCAGTCCCCTAAAGAAAACTCACTAATTGCGTTGGTGAGACAGCAAAATAATCCAGAAAGTATTATGTCCCTGAAGCTATGCAAGGATACCGTTTGAAAAGTAGTGGGAAGTGTGAGATGTGGCAGAAAACTCAAATATAATGAGGGCCAAAATATCTATTGGATTTTATAACGAAAAGGGTTTTGATGATCCCTTGAGAGTAGTTTTAGTTTAGGAGTAGTTTTAGCAAATGATTGTGTATATGCTTCATAATTAGCATAACCCTAAGTACCTGATTTGGGTTCAAGTCTTCTCTTATATAGATGAAAGACCAGGAACAGAGTGTGTCATAATTTTACCAGTGTACATTGAAATTTTTTTTTTACATTGAAAATTTTTAAGTGCACTATGGTTTTGAAGGAAAATGTCAGTAAAATATGATGTTTAGGAAAAACCAGTCATTCTAAATTACATACAATTGAGAATGATTAAGTAAGGCTATATTCAGGATCCTTATATGCTGTTACATGGGTTTTGCACTGCACAACTATAGAAGGACCATTCATGTAATCTATATAAATGCCACACCTTGGGGTTATGCAGGGTATAACCATATGCAGTAGCCCTGGCTTAGCTGACACTACTAGATGCTTATTTAAGAGATGGATCAGTTGGTATTTTGGGGAACACCATGAAATATGGGTATATTTATTATTAATTTAATATATTTATAATTTTTATGATAGTAAATAGTTATATTTATGTTATAATTTAAGTTATTATAATTTAAGTATAATTTAAGTTATAAAATGACTTTTCTACCAGAAAACCTGATTTATAAGTATGCAATATATAAAATATCTTCTCTTGTAGATACATACAATATTACAGGGTAGATCAAACTGAAATTATATTGACTTTCTTTATATTGTTATTAATATTTGTCATTCATGTGTTACCGCATGATTCACTAACCAACAAACAAAATCAGGCCAAAAGTTTAATCTTTACTGCAAATTAGCCGAAGACCACCATTTATTTCATATTAGCTCCCAGGTGCACTTTATTCGCCCTAGTAAAACGCCCGTACTCTGAGGGATTTTGTGAATTAATGGTATAAAAATGACCTATCTTTAAGAATCAAGTTTTTTCTGCAGTCATGCTTGAGCCAGCCTCCTCAACCAGGGTTCCTTTAGCGAATCAAGTCCTACAGAAAGTGATTTCAGTAACTATTTTCTCGATTCTCCCAAGGGTGACACACAGGTAGAGTAACTCTAGATGCAAAGGACATGAGCTAATCACATACAGGGAATGTGATAATAGGGCCTTACTTTTCTGAAACCCTGGTGAGGAGAGCTGCTACAACCGTTTTCATAAACTCTGTCTAATTTAGCATGGGGATTGCATGTCTGTACAATTAATGTGTTAATAGAACTCAAACTTACGTATTTTACCCAGATATTGTTACAAACAGTTCCATTCTAGATTGATCTCATCCCCCTATCCTGCAAAGTGAAAACCCAGGCAAGGTTGTCTTTCTAACTGTTGTAGTTGATAGAGACAAAAGATTAGTATTGGGGCATATTTTCAGAAAATAGGTTTTTAATATATTTTTATAAGATTTATTTATTTTTACGGGGGAGTCAGGGAGAGAGAAAAAGAGAGCAAGCAGAGGGAGGAGACAGTAGGAGAGGGAGAGTCCCAAGCAGTCTCTAAGCTAAGCCCAAAGCTCAACATGGGGCTCAGTCCTATCACCCCGAGATCATGACCTGAGCTGAAACCAAGAGTGGGTTGCTTTAATCGACTGAGCCACCCAGGCACCCAATTTTTAATATTTTTAATTCAGTACTCTTTGATCAGGTTGAATTTGACTTTATAAATAACAAATTGGGACATCAGAAAAAGTTAAGAGGATTTAAGTTAACTAGCATTTTAAATTGTAGGAGCATGAGATAAGAGTGGTAACTCATTGCACTATATTTTTAGGAATAACACATTGCCATTGCTGTTTGGCAACTTGTGTTAGATACTAATGAAGTGTCATAACATGAAAGGTCATAACTCTATTAAAGGATCACACACAAGGAAAATAAAATCTTTCCAGTTTGCTATTATAAGAAGTACTCTTAAGACCTGAAAACAGTTTTATTTACTCACCAACTTTTTCTCTCCTTTCCCTGAGAGTTCTACTCTAAAATGTATTTGTGGAACTCTTTTATTTCTGTATAAGACAAACTACTGTTAGCAATAGGTTTTAACTTGATTCAAATAATTGTATTTTGGGATAGTTAAAATCTTAGAATAATCCCCCAAAACAAATGGGATTTGAAAGTCATGGATTTTAAACTCACTGATAGTTTTTTAGTGAATGTTTTCACTTCTAAAGAAGAACTAAATAAGTGAACTACTCTATCTTTCTGTGTACTGATCCTTTGGTATGATCTCTAAGGGGCTAAGGAAGTCAAAATGCATTATGGCTGTCATGGCAAAATAATTGGCAGAGGTGTACTGGCACCGAGGGGCCTCAGGAACAGGTTCTCAGAGAAGGAAAAGGCCCTGAAAAGTGGCCCAGGAAAGTTTACCTCAAGAATGGGGGTTGGGTGCATGGTGTCATGTTCTTCACTAGAATTGAGCTCTACAATGAAGCTTCTGAAAATGTGCATCTACAACACATTTTTTAATTGTTGCATTTCAATATTACATACACCAAAGAATTAAAGCTATCTTCAACATTGCAAATTCAAGGTTATAATTCCTATTGGAAAGTCCACTAAGTTTTTTTATATGCTTGCTAACTCTCTAAACTCTGTCTTTTCTCATTTTGCTTCATTCCTTTGGCTCAGTAGAATTGATGTTATCAACCAAAAGTTTAAATGTAAGTGAATCTTAATGGGCTGAAGGCGAGCTTCGGTGAATTGAAAAAGCATTTAATCCTGTTATTCTCTGTTGTTTTGGTTTAATTTGCTATGAGATTTTTTTTTCTTTTTCCCCTCCTTTACCAGAGAGGGCTTAATTGCATTTAGTCTGAGTGTTTATATAAATGAGGTTGGTGAGTTTGATAGATTACAGTTCCTTTTTTAAGAACATCTGTGAAAGGAGTAATCTGTTTATTAAAATGGTAAACCTGTGAATTCGTTTGATTGTTGTGTTCTCCAATTTAGCTGAAATTGTATATGTTAATAGCTTCTACGTGTATATGAAATGGCAAGTCATTATGCCCTCACCAGCTAGTGAGGTTTTTAATTTACTAGCATTCAAAGTTATATTTAGTGGGCATTGCTGAGAGAAGATGAATTTAACTTTTTCTGACTCTGGCACGTGTAATTTGTCTGGGCTGTAAGCAGTCCAGACTATTCCTCTGCCATTTGGTCTTGTAGTCCCTGATTTCTGCGATGGGTTTGCATTTAATCAAGCTTTAGAAGAACTTGAATGAAAAACAGTAATGTTTCTCACATTTGGGATCAGAACTAGTATTTGCATTGGACTTGATTTATGCAAAAAAAATTCCTGTGCCCATTTTAAGGTCCTAAAGAAACCTGAGGCTGCTGAAGATAATAGACTTTATTTTAATTAATTTCCATTTTCTGTCCCATCCTGTGTTACTTCAAACAGCCAAGCCTCAGTGGGTAATTACATATCTAATTGAGGACAACACATAATAACAAAGAAATTCCACAGTCTGTCAGTTTCTTTCTTTAAAATCATGAAACTTACAGGATGAATCTATAAATGTCTATCTTTAGACATCTTTTATTCGGTTTCCAATACCATACAAAGCTTTGAAAAGGCTATTAACGTGCCCAGATTACGACAGATAAGTGTCACAGCCTTTTAGAACTCATGGCTGTGTCTTAACTGAGTCAGCTTTAAAAAAGAAAAAAGAAAAGAAAAGAAGCTTTTCAGAGCTTTTAATCATTGTGCATTTCTCAAATTGAAAAATCATTATTTCTTGATTAAAGCAAATTCCCTTGTACTTTCCAATCGGCAATATTTTTGTAAATCTCTAGGCTGGCCTCTGTATTTCAAGAAAGGAATTTTCATTCATTTATAAATACTCTGCTCTTTAGACTATTACCACTGACTGGCCTTCTCTCAAATTTGGGAGGCCTAAATGTACTTTAAACAAACATTTCTAGGAATGGAGTGAAGTCTGTAATAGTTTCTTTTGCTGCTCACAGATGTTGACGAATGCACATCAAATCCCTGCACTAATGGAGATTGTGTTAACACACCTGGATCCTATTATTGTAAATGTCATGCTGGATTCCAGAGGACTCCTACTAAGCAAGCATGCATTGGTAAGGCAGTTTGCGTTCACATATGAAAATGTTCCATGAAATATAGTGACCCAGGCTGTTGAGGTTAAAAGTAAATTTATTAAAATAAGACATAGAATGAAGTAAGTGCTGTTGTATTACTACAGATTTATTTTATGCTCCTCTCAGAAGTGCTTCCTTTATGCGCAAACACTATTTGGGTGTATAACCCTGGCCACATGATATCTGGCTTTGCAGAAAATTCAGTTTATCTTCCTTCCCTAGATCACAACTTCCTTTCTCTAAGTAACATCAGTAGCCTTCCTGCTCTCTGATTAACGGACCTTAGGATTAGTCGTTTTCAACTACTGTTTTCTTTGAACCTCACATGTACTCCAACACCAAGTCAGGCCTCATCTTGATTCACAGTTTTGTTGCTACACTTCCCCACCCACTGTCCTCCCAACTCCTCCTCAATGCTGATTCATTGCAGAATTCTTTCTGCAGATCACTCCGGTTGTCGTCTTCTACATTTCCTATTTATCCGTGGGTCGTTGCTTGGCTAAGCTCACCCCACATTCTTCATCATGGTGTTGTTAAACCAGGTGATTTGAGGCTACTGTGTTCTTCTTACTCAGCAGCTTGCCTTGAGTTTGGATGTCTTCGACCATTGTTTCCAAAACAGCTGCACCGGTCATTTCCCTGTCCACCTCTTCCAGCTTCCTGGCACACCCCCGGCCCAATATTCTTTTTCTTTTCCTTCTTCAGCTCCTCTATGTCAGGGCTGTTAAAAAGAAAAAAGCTGGTGAGAGAAGTTTGGAAGTTTGGCTAAAGAAGCAACATGACCTGAGTTATTGCATGTAAAAATATAAACTGGATGTTGAACATCACATTTATTATCTTACTGTTTTTGCTGTGGTTATTGTAAAAGAATAACATTTGGCCATCCTTCATTGTCCCAGATATTGATGAGTGCATCCAGAATGGGGTTCTTTGTAAAAATGGTCGGTGTGTGAACACAGATGGAAGTTTCCAGTGCATTTGCAACGCCGGCTTTGAATTAACTACAGATGGAAAAAACTGTGTTGGTATGGAAATTGCCTGCCCCCTTGCAAAAGATTTCTAAAAGATACACATTTTTATTTAGAACCATATATGCTATTTCCATGAAAGCTTGCACAACATGTATGTGAGAATTCTTCAGATGACTTAGGTAAAATATAAACGCATTTAACATGAGACCATTAGAGTCAAAGGATAAATTGTTTGGAAATGGTGTAACAGTGAATAATGTGTTGCTTCTGGAAATTTTCTGTGTGGTATATGTTTAATTCTAAGTAACCGTTTTTCTTTGTGGTAATTACTAGCACCTACAGGATTTCACATTTTGCCATTATGACACCAACAGTTAGCTCTAATCTGGCGGAATATAAAAATGTCTAGCATATGTGATAATCAAATCTCTAAATCTGAAGTCCTGGTGCTGTCTGGTACCAGTGGATACCAGTACCCCACAGAAATACTCTAGTCACACGGCAACACACGGTATTTCAGCTACTAATCCAGGTCCAGATCATTTCACTCACAGTGATGTTTATCACTGCTCTATTCTCCCTTACGGAAGAAACTCCCCCCGACCCCCTGAAATCATATAAACATTTTTGCTAATCAAAGTAAAGCACGTCTCATGTGGTTTTAATAACAACCAAGCACAACATTTACTTAATATTTTCCTTTATATTCCTTACAGTAAAGGCCCTTCATGTTCTCCACCCTATTTGCTCTCACTTGGTTGGCATTCATATTAGGAAAAAAAAAAAATCAATGAGCACATGGCTCACTTCTATGGTAGAATATGATTGGTGGTTATTTGTGAAAGGAGAGGGAAGTGGTTCCCACAAGGCCAGTGGTATAAGTCGTTCTGCTCTCCTCCTGCAGATCATGATGAATGTACAACTACCAACATGTGTTTGAATGGGATGTGCATTAATGAAGATGGTAGCTTCAAGTGCATCTGCAAGCCAGGATTTGTCTTGGCTCCAAATGGGCGTTACTGTACTGGTATGTATGGCTTTGATAGGAAAGTAACCATTGAATGAATCATCAAGAATTACTTCAGTTTCTTCATGTGGATTTCATATTATTCACATCTCTTGCTAATTCAGTAAGGCAGGTGTCTAAAGCTTCCCAGAAAAATATACATTGTGGCTAAGGAACAGTAATATCTTTAAAAAATAATAATGGTGTAGGAAAAATTAAGGGAATGACAGATTGGTTCTAGCATGTCTGGAAGAGACAATGTAGAAATAATTTCTCTGTACCCCTTGCCTAAATATAAAAGAGGAAGAAAAAAGTCTTGGAAGGTTTTCATTTTTTTGTGCTCTGAGAGCTAGATTTTCCACTTTAATTCATTACTTGTTTTGTATTACATACTTCCCATAAACTTTGTACATATCATGACTGTATCATTATCTAAAAATCTTACATTGTGACTTAGTGAAAAAGTATTTTGAGTGTTCCTATCAATTTTGTTTATAAAGCCATTTTGAAGGCTAAGCTCTAGTGGTAACTTTAGTAAGCAAAAGAAGTGCCTCTATATCCAGTTTATACTCACAATTTTAATTTAGTAAGTTGGAACAAACTTTGCAGTTTTTTTTTTTCATTTTTCTCCTTTTATATGAAATCCACTCTTTGAATCTTTTCTACTTTCCATTGCACAAACTTACCTGAATAGCATTAGTGCTAATAACCAGTTCCTGTAATTTCAACAAAATTCCATGGAGAGTTGAGAAAGAAAGATTGAGACTGATCTTGTATTTCTGAATAAAAAATAGCGTCTTGACTATTCATAAAAGGGGAGTACAGCATTCAATAGAAATGTTGTAGCTCTGCTATTTTAACTCATGACTGAAATGTCATCTCAACATTAGCAGACATGGATTTAACACAGGATTTGAGTTCAGTGTTATGTTCCAGGGTGTAACGTTACATTATAGCATGTAACTTTATTTTAGCATTTCCTAAGAAACTTAAATACACATATAAATAAGACCTCAACAGTTTCTGCTGTCTTGAAATTTTTTTAATTTACTTCCTTACTACTGATACTGTAATGTGCAAATCTTAAAATATTCATGATTTGGTGGCCCTGTGTTTTGAAGACTGTTTCATCTTTGAGGGAAGCCATTCTTTGTTGGGTTACATTTGATAAACTCTAACAGATTGAAAATTAGGAGAGATGCCCCATGGGGCATCTGGGTGGCTCAGTTGGTTAAGCATCTGACTCTTGATTTCAGCTCAGGTCACAATCTCAGAGTCAGGATTGAGCCCCATGTCAGACCCCATGCTCAGTAGGAAGTCTGCTTGAGATTCTCTCTCCCACTCTCTCTCCCCCTCTCCCCACCATCCCTATGCTCACTCTCTCTCTAAAATAAATGAATTAATCTTTTCAAAAAGGAGAGATGGTCCCGTATTTTGTTATTATGAAGTGATCAACTTAATGTTAAAACAGCATCTCTCTTTGATTTGAATTTTATGTGTGTGTAAATAAAAGGTAATTACAAACATTTAGCTTGGTTTTAAGAATTTGTTTCATTGAATTAACTTGACTTAAATATCATTTAATATTAAACAGAATTAGCAGATAATGAAAAATGAGTGTATGAGGCTACTTTTTACCCTAATGGTTAAAGGGAGGCAAGTCTCCGTCAGTCTTTCTGAAAATGTGTTTGAAAGAGTTGGTGTTTGGGCACCTGGGTGGCTCAGTTGGTTAAGTGTCTACCTTTTGACTCAGGTCATGATCCCAGAGTCCTGGGATTGAGCCAGGGCATCTGCTTCTCCCTCTCCCTCTGCTCTGCTTGTGCTTTCTCTCACTCTCCTTCTCTCTCAAATAAATAAATAAAATCTTAAAAAAGAAGAGTTTGCACTTAGATTCAAGATTTGTTATCACTTCTGTGTCCTTCCACAAATTATAAAATGGAAAACAAAAGGTTGATAGTCTAGAATGGTGAGAACAGGTAAACTCTGTAATAAGAGTAAATTTACCCAGTTAATGGCCTGGGTTGTGCTTCCCTCTGGACAGATGTTGATGAATGCCAGACCCCAGGAATCTGCATGAATGGACACTGCATCAACAATGAAGGGTCCTTCCGCTGTGACTGTCCCCCAGGCCTGGCTGTGGGTGTGGATGGACGTGTGTGTGTTGGTAAGTGAATCATTCTGTAATGGCCCCACTGTCCTAATGATCTTTGAAAAAATAAAGATATATCCATAAGGTGGAGAAGTTTTCAGCCATAAAAAGGAAGTAGTCAAAAATGCACAAGTATGAATGAGCCTTGGAAACATGCTGAGTGAAAGGAGCGGCTCACAAAAACCCAGATGGCATATGTTTCCATTCATGTGAAATGTCCAAAGCAGACAGATCTGTAGAGTCAAAACAGATTCGTTTTGCTTAGAGCAGAGAAGGTAGGAGTGCCAGATAAGGAGGTGGTTGCTAAAGGCATTTTTGAGGTGGTGAAATGTCCTAAAATTAGTTAATCAGTTGTAGTGATGTATGTATCTTTGAATATACTAAAACACACACACACACACACACACACACACACACACACACACACCCTATTGAGTTATGTTCTTTAATTGGGTGCATTCTTAGGTATGTGAATTATACCTCAGTAAAGTGGTTCAAAAAAAATGTACAGAGATCCCAGCAAGCTCCTGGAAGAAAGCTCTGATGAGATGCAAGTCAAAAATGCTGGAGGAGAAGAAGAAGAAAATCATCCTTAAATCGGGATACTTGACAGTGTTAGCTGACTGAGTCTCTAAGTACAATGGATTTAGATTTTATAATTTATAGCAAATAAGATATGAAATGGGGAGTATGTTTATATGTAAATAAACCCTGTTTTTATTCAAACACATTTTAAAATGTAAATAACTTCTATAGAAGAACTTGGAGTTCTGTCAAAAGGTAGAAGTGTTTTCATATAGTTTTTTCTCATCGTTATGCAGCTAACTATAGAAACAAGGGAAAAGTATGAGATAGAATATATATTTTATTCTAAACTGTTCCAAATTGTTTTGCTATTTTTAAAAAGTTCCTTTTGCCAAATGGGTTCCATGCAAATCAGGGTTAGCCAGCATCAGCTTTAAAGAGGCAGGCAAATCAAAAATGTCATGCATTTCAGAACCCAACCATATGTCCCAATGGTAACAGCAGAATGATTTACTTTTAAAAATACAGTTACCACAGTTTTCTCTCCAGAAGGCTTTCATAAGATCCCCAGGGTGCCTTAGCCATTGTACACCCTTTATTTCTCAGGTGACTCGGTAAAAGGCAGACATATTCGTTGGTTTAAGAGTGTAAGTTAGAGAAATGAAATTCTTTCTTAGACATAGGTGATAATACTTTACTCTTCCCTATGGGAATCAAAACATTTGTATCCCAAAGGAGCTTGGGTGGGGGAGAGAAGCAACAGCAGATGGAAATAATCTGTCCACTTAAAGTTCATCCACTGTCTCCAATCTAGGATTTATTTCAGCTTACAAGATTGTCAGCACTTCGTTCAGGGATATTTTAAATACAGCAGCCAGAAGAATGTAGCTCCTTCCTGCTTAACAGAGCTGAAGTGTTTTCACTTGCTGTGATATACTTACTTGGCCCTTGCCTTTACCTCAGTGATTCTGTTGAAATCTATGATGAGTACAAAACCAGTCTGGGAGGACGAAATCATTTTTCCTTTAAGCAACCAGTGTATGAGTGTAGTGATGAGGAATATAGTGTTTCAAACACAAATCTTCATTCTCTCGTCCACATACAGAAACAGTATGAGACATTGTTAGAAAGCCTCCAGGTTTTCACAATTGTGGTCAATTAAACTTTTTTAAAATAAAAATATTTTTGTCTGATTATATATATTGCTGTTCCCTTAACATGCTAAATGTTTTTTCTTCATCTCTCTGTCTTTGGTGATGCTTTTGAGATGCACTGATTATTGAAGTCAGAAATGAATCACAACTATGAATTATTATTAGGGTTAGCACTTCAATTTTCGATTTACCTTTTGTATATTTGTTTTGGTTTCCTTAGACACTGAGATATGGGTTTTTATTTTTAGAAAAATAAACTTGTTGTAACTAGCAAGTTGGAGAAGCATGACTCATAGGCAGAGCATAAACAAAAGGCAACTATATTTTGGTCTCTCCTGTCCTTTTAAAATGTATCTTTAATTTGTTCAGTAGAAGCCATTTACCTAGTAAGTAAGGAAGAAAAGTCAGGCAACCTCCTAACTTTACTTTTCTTAAATTTATGTGAGAGATTACTATAACGAAAACAATCTAAATTTAGAGACTAGAATACGTGGTTCCATATAATAATATTCTGAACCAGACTTGAAGTTAAAACTTCTCTCACAAGCTTCCTGATGTCCTTGAGTAGGATGTTTTCAGACTCCACAGGGTCAAAGAGCAGGAGAAGAGGTGAGAAGGGAGACAGATGCACTGGTGACCATCTTAGGATGGCTTCAAGGATTTTGGGCTTCCCTAGTATTTAAAGCACCACTTCCTTTCATGGTTCCTCCAGAACTATTCATCTGACCTTTCTGAGATCCAGACACTGCCTTCTTCTCCTGGGGACCCTCCTCCCCCATTCTCAGGTCTTTAGTAGTCCAGATAGGCTCTGCCTGATGCTATCTCAGCGCTCCTCCACACCATTGTTTTAGGATCCTCTCTCTTTGTGTGGCCCACATCTAATCCAAAAGACACACCATCCTTTGCCCCGTTCACCTTACAAATAGAGGTGGATATCACCTGTCCCTCCAGTAGGAATAGCAGCCACTCACTTTTGCCTGTAGGTGTCCCGGGCAGAGCTGCTGGACACACAAAACTTGTAACCTGCTCCCTGTGAAGCTCTTCTCTTCGGACCAGTGGTGAGGATAGGAGCATTCCGAACTCATAATCCAGCTCATGCCAAAAAATTCCTGCTCAAAAAATCTCTTAATTGGGAGGGTTTTCAAAACCTGGCAAGTCATTTCCATATCCACTTCCTTCAGGATGTAGTCTCAAAATTCACCTTGTTATTTGATATTTATTACCTTGGGATTTCAGCTGAAGTTTCCTTTTTAACATCCTCTTAAATTAGCTGAGGAGTATTTTGACATCTTTATCAATACTGTTTGACATTTCTCTTAGTTAAAAGGTTAATTTTCTTTGTCCTAATTGTGCTCTTTATTAGCTCTGTGGCCTTAGGCAAGATATATTACCTCTCTGTACCTCCTTGCCTCATTAGTTTTTTGACAATTAAATAAGTTAATATTAGACTTACTTGTATAAAGCTTTGAATGATGTCTAGCATTTAGAGCATGCCCAATAAGTTAGCTCTTACAGTTGCTACTGTTTTATTAGAAGAGCAGCATCATATCTAAGGCATAGTCTTAAGAGTTGCTATTTTAGGCAATAAAGAAAAGTTGACACTAAAGAAAGAATAAAATGAAATTAACATTTTGCATCCAAACACACTTAACCAGGGGTGTGTAGAATCTGAGAAAATCCTTTAAAAAATTCTGTTCTTTAAGTAAGAGTGATGAAGGAATTCGATAACATGGAAAACATACAGTTCAGCAACATTTTGGTCCAGGTCCTCATCAAAACATTTATGTGATGGAGCTTTGGATGCCTCCTACCCTGTTCACCCGTGAGCAGTTAGTTTTAGTTATTATGAACTAGAGTTCCAGTCTGGTACCTTTTAACATGAAAAGGTTGACTGTCCTCATTAAAGATAGAAGAGAAAAATAAGGTAGTCACCATGTTTTTTGAGTATTTCCTGTATGTCTTACACACTGTGCTTAGTGCTTAACAAACAACTCTCATTTATTATGTAAACTCTATCCTTATTTAATGGATGAGGCAAGTGTTAAATATTTTACATAAGGTCCATCCCACAGGGACCAGAACCCAGGACAATCCCTGTCCCTGAAACCTACACATAGGTAGCCACTTTGCAAAAGCAAAGGTAGTTACTTTGCTTTTCTGGTGTTGGGTATTCTAAACAATTTAGATAATCTGTAACCCAGAGCAATACGTAATTTGTCTCTCTTCACCGGTGAGTACCATCGGCTTTTTATCATCTTGCTTCTAAAAACTGTGAGGATTATCTTCTCAACATGTACATAGAAAAAATTTTGACCATCTCTGATGCCTTCTGAGATAATAGATGTTATCCTAGTTACTCACAAAAATCATATAGTAAATCAAACTATATTCTATTTGTGCATATTTGTCTTTGAGTCATGTCCTACTCTTATGTGTAACTCAGAGCTGACTTTACTAAACTCCATCTCAGCAGAGGCAGAAGGGGACAACATGTCCTCTCTGGAGGATTGTTGTGGTAAATTTCATGTCTTCTTCCATATGAGCGTTCACATATCTCATTGTCTGGTACAGCTATAAATCTCACTGTTTAATGACAAACATCACCAGATCATAAGAAAGCAGTAGGTGACACAGTGGGTTACTCTGTGTAATAAGTAGATAAAATTATTTCCAACAAGTTTTGAATAACTTTGTAGTGTTTAAAAGCTATGCTGCTTCTCTGGCCTCTCTGGTGATCTGTGTTTTTTATAGTTCACCATTTACTGTCTCATAAAGTTGTAGCATATTTTATGAGAATTCAGAGTGAGAGCCTAAGCCGAATATGCTTCTTAGGGACACACAGCAGGAAGAGGAAGAGCTTTAGGAGTCCCACAGCCTGAGTATGAACTCCAGCTTGGGCACTGGGTAGTCTAGAACTTGGAGCTACTTAAAGATTCCCTCTGAACCTTGCCTTCCTCATCAGCAAAGTGCGGATAATGATCACTGTCCTATGGACCTGTTGATGAGAATGTTCAATGGGATGATGTCTGTAAAGCAACTAATGCAAGGCTAAAGACACAAGCAGTGGCTATTATTTTTATAACTGGGTTTTGAGAGTCTGAGATTAAAACATAGTTCACAGTAGTCAGCTGGGGGTTGACAAGAAAGGCCCTCTAACTCAGAAAGTGAAGTAAGAAATCTCATGACCAAGCAGTGTCCTCTCAAGGTTGTTTACTTCACTGCATTTCGTTGTTCCTGAGAACTTCCAAAATAGAAATAAAATGTGTCGTTTTGAGTATTGGGTAGCCAGTGATATGAGCTCGAAGTGATGTTTATAATGGTGGTGTTATACCTGTTTCTGTAAAAGGCCTGGGGGGTAAGTGTGATAATGAATGCTTGTTTAGTGCATAAAACTTTGTGGAGGAAAAGGGGGAAAAAAAAAAAAAAGAATTTTCGACAGTACCCATTTGTTGATTTCTGAGCACTGTTATATGCTAAAGATACAAAGAAGAAGAAAAGTGTCAGGAGCCCTCCAGAAACTTCCCATCTAGTAGCCACTTAGGTTAAAAGAAGCCCTCGGTTTTTAAATCCCTTTATCTGTAACAGCATCTCAAATTACTATTCTTCTCCCTCCTTTTAGATACTCACATGCGCAGTACGTGCTATGGTGGGATCAAGAAGGGAGTGTGTGTCCGTCCTTTTCCTGGCGCGGTGACCAAGTCCGAATGCTGCTGTGCCAATCCTGACTACGGTTTTGGGGAGCCCTGCCAGCCCTGCCCTGCTAAAAATTCAGGTAGCCCCCATTTGCCAGTTTCACATCTGGTAAAGAATCTGGAAAGGTAACGTTAAATATTTGGCCAAAGAGTACATCGGCTCTGTTTTCTGTTGGAGAATTCCAAATCTGTGTTGGTATTTGTGGCATATGATGAGATTTGACCTGTAGTTACCTATGATCCCTGGGCAGAGTACACACAGGGAATAGAAGAAAGTATTTGCTGACCTAATTAGGATTGTTAGAACGGATTTCTTACGTGGATTCCTTAGCCTCACTGTTTCTGATCATTGGGAAGGTGAATAGCCTAAAATCCACTGTTATTTTCAAGGTTATGTTAAATTCACAACAGCCTGATTTTATTTATTTTTCATCTTGCCAAAGCATAGTCTAAGGCTGCAGTCTGTCAGTAGTTCCAGCAAGGAATGAACATTTTTACTAATTTATTCACAAATACAGGCAGATTGCATGGTCTATTTCTTTGACTGTTCTGACTCTTGGTTATCGTCTTTTTACAAATCTGTACCGAATTTGTGTAAGTATAGTAGGGATTCAAGAATAAACACAATCTCTTTTTTTCTTTCAAGTGGGGAATAGTTGAGAGCATAGGCAGGCAAATGTATAAACTACAGGTTACTATGGTTAGTGCCTTAAGAGGGACAGAAACAGAGAACTGGAGAGCACAGAGGAAGAAGCAATAAGTGGTCTGGGGAAGCTGGAAGGGACTTAAGGGGGCTGGTGGTGGGGGTGGGCTTCTGCTCAGTTTGGTCTTAAGAACATTCCAGGTGGGCACCTGGGTGGCTCAGTGGGTTAAGCCTCTGCCTTCACCTCAGGTCATGATCTCAGGATCCTGGGATCGAGTCCTACGTCGGGCTCTCTGCTCAGCGGGGAGCCTGCTTCCCCCTCTTTCTCTCTGCCGGCCTCTCTGCCTACTTATGAGCGCTCTCCCTCTCTGTCAAATAAATAAATAAAATATTTTTAAAAAAAAAAGAACATTCCAGGTAGAGGGTGGAAGAAATGCACTCTAGCAAAGAGAAATGGCTTGTAATTCTGTTGAAAATCATAAGTTAATTGTTCAAATCTTAGCAAAGCATTAGAGTTCTTCTGGAAGGAACTGAGCATGATATTTTTTTGAAAAAAGAGTTCATATAGGAACTCTTGCCCTAAAAATATTGACGTCAATTGTGCCTGTTATCAAAGTATAAAGACTAGATAAAATGATGAGTGAACTAATAAAACCTGGAATCTAGGAACAGATGTGACTTTAAATGGGAATGTTGGGTACAATAAAGATGCCATTTAGGTCAGTAGGAAAGATTGAAATAAGTAACAAATATTGTTGATAAATATTAGAAAAAATACGAAGTTAGCTCCCTGCACTAGACCTTACAAAATAATCCTCTTGTAGATCAAATATATTAACTTTTTTGTTATTCTGTAACAATGGAGGGCTTTCAGAGCAGAAACCAAACACTAAAATACACATGTAACTTGGAAAAACATGTTCCTTAAATTATAAGGAATTTGCATTAATCTGTAAGGAAAGTTGAAATCATCTATAGGACAAAGTGCAATGCACACAAACAAGATTTCGCAAAGCACAAATGCAAATGGTAGAGAACCACATGAGAGAATGTGCTCAACTTGAAAGAAAGTTAAAATAAGACATCATTTGGAGCACTGGGTGCAGTGCAAAAACAATGAATACTGTTACGCTGAAAAGAAATAAAAAATTTAAAAAAAAAAGACATCATTTTTGTTTATTATATTGCTTTTGCCCATAAGGGTACTCTCTCATACTGCTGATCGAAGGCTAACCTGGGACATGTAGGAAGAGGAAAACTAGCAGAAGCCTTAAAAAGAGACATAAATTCTGAGCAGTTTTACTAAGAGATTAACTTAGTGATAAATTTAAATTTCGTATTATTCTTATAATTTTTATAAAAGTTGGACAAACCTGATTTCATCATTAAGAGATTGTTGGAATAAATGTGGTATATCCACATAACTGAGAAAAAATGTTTAATAGTCTCTATGAGAAAAAATATATAATAGTCTATATTTAAATGGAATATCAGCATGAAATGTATATGATGCAATGTAGAGGTTCCAAGCCTTTCCCCACTTAACCTTCTATGATCTGGGACAAGTCACTTCCATCTGTGTCCCAATTTTCTCAGGTGTCAGAGAGGGGAACTAATGGTATCTGGTTTGTGAATATTATTCAGCTGCGAAAAAAATGAAATCTTGCCATTTGCAATAGCTAGGATGGACCTAGAGGGTATGATGCTAAGTGAAATAAGTAAGACAAAGATGAATGCCATATGGGTTCATTTATATGTGAAAGCTAAAAAACAAAACAAATAAAGAAACAGAAGTCAAAGCAGAACCATAAATACAGAGAACAAACTAATGGGTGTGGGGGGTAAAAGGTTAAGCCAAATGGATGAAGGAGAGTGGTAGGTATAGCCTTCCAGTTATGGAATCAATAAGTTACATGGATGAAGGCACAGCATAGGGAATACAGGCAGTGCTGTTTAAACTGTGTTGTGTGGTGAGGAATCCTTGCTGCACTTGTGATGAGCACAACAGAATGTATCAAATTGTCCAGTCACAATGTTGTACACCGAAAATTAATGTAATATTGTGTATCACCTACACTTCAATAAAATAATTATCCAGTTCCTAATATTGGTAGGATAAAATAAATTATTAGATGTAAAATGCTAGAATAACACCAGACACATGGTAAATTCTCTTATACCAAGTATTGTTTATTATAGTTTTGTTATTTTTTTTTTAGTTTTGTTATTGAGACAAAAAATATTAAAAAACATTCTCTACAATGCAATTTGGGTTTTTTTAAAAGTTTCCATACATAGAAAATACTTGTAACCTTTATCAGTGTTTTAACTGTATTCAGAGTGATAATCACTAATTTTTTTATGCTTGTGATTTTGAAATTGTTACAATAATTACATGCTAGAAAAGAGGAATTACTTTTTTCATTTTAAAAATTATTTGCCAGTCATTTTTCTTCAGAATACTTTTGGAGTGAGGTAAGTGACTCATGTATGGAGAGAGAGAGTTTGGAGTTTTTAATTTATGTGTTTTTTGTTTCCTTCTGTTTTGTCTTGTCTTCTAGCTGAATTCCATGGTCTTTGTAGTAGTGGAGTAGGGATCACTGTGGATGGAAGAGGTAACTCTGTTTGGTTCTCACTCTTTTAGTAATTATGGAATGAATATGAATGTATTTAATATTTTAAAAATATATCAGCATAAAATAATAAGATAAACTGTCTCTTAGAACAGTGGTTATAAGCTACGTTTATTAAGTGGTATGTACTTGTACATTTTTCATAATAGATAAATATTTATCTGTTAAATATATATAGTAGAAAATGTCCCTATCAAGCTACACCCATAATTTTGCGGGTACTACTGCTTAAGAAGAGACTGAAGTTGGTATTTAGGTATAAAAAAAGTGAGCCATTTTAAAGAAAAATATTAAATAATGGTGCTGACATGATTAAAAAAAATCTTTAAGAGATACTTGAAATGGAATATGTTTGAGATTTACTACCCTAAAAATAAGTTCAGATCATTTATGTTTAAAAATTCTGAGATGTTTCTATATTTAAGGAAGTGAAATTCACTGACATTTTCTTATCTTAATAAAACTTAGTAATATGATACACAAAATTCAACCATGAAACCTTGAATATTAAATAAATATGTGTTTATAACTTTAAAGTTCTTCTACTATATGTAGAAGTTTGCTATACGTTTACTCCAAGTTCTATACTATATGTATAGTATATACATATAGTTTCTTTTGTGTTTTTTTAACTGTAGGGTACTGTTAGTCTTCACTTTACATATATTTTCTTCTCTTTTCATGTTTGAGATTTTAGACACATTACAGTTGAGTTGACAGCAGTATTGCAACTTTATGATGAACATCAAAAACCAGAATAAACAAACTGTTACACGGATGTTTCTCCCCAAAATGAAATAGCTGACATTTCTAGAGTATTTTAAGGTCTCCAAATTCTAGAAAACAGTTGCTAGGATTAAAATTTGAGCATGGTGACCAACATTTGTTTTTGCTCACCTCCTCTCGATACCATCGCCCCAGCAGAGCCAGCCCCTTGTTGGAACTGCTAGATTGCTCATATAATTGCATCATTCTGCAAGTCTTGCTGCCCCTGGTTGACAGAGTAGTCCGGTTCGTGGCTCATTGCCAAACATTGTGCTCTCAAGCACCCACGTTTGAACTGTCCTCTCCATTAATTTCAACTTAACAATGAGAAATGTTTATTAAGTATCATATTACTTAGTTGACTGTAAAAAATGATAATAAAATAAAAATATTCTGTGCCTTTGGGGACCATAAAATTATACAAGGCACCCTAGTAAATGTTTGTCTCTTAATTAGATGGTTATAATACCTATCCTGTTAAGTTTTTCTTTGGATTTTGAGCCAACAGCCTATAAATTTCTTTATTAATTTTATTATAAATACAGGCGCACATTACACAGGTTAGTCCTTTGAATTTCTGCCAGTTCCCTTCATTTTTCTTTTAACTTACCAAGAATTGTCCTGTATCCCTCAGTTTTATTCTCTTATTCCTTATTTTCATTTCCTTTCCCTTTCTGAAAGAGATTGTGGGTTTGCAGAGGTAAACACTTAATATGTTGAATGGTCTTTATTAGGCCTGCATGTATCAACAAACAATAAAATTTCTGTGAGCATTAAACTTTCAACATTTAATGCAGATATCAATGAATGTGCTTTGGATCCCGATATATGTGCCAATGGAATTTGTGAAAATTTACGTGGTAGTTACCGTTGTAATTGCAACAGTGGCTATGAACCAGATGTCTCTGGAAGAAACTGTATTGGTAAGTTGCTATATTTATAGAAGAGTATTGTGTATAGTTTAATTTCATGAATTATAAGAGAAATCAAAATACAAATAAGTGAATAAAACTGCAGATCTTACAGTTTCCCTTGTTTCTTTCTTAGTACCAAGAGATAAAAATACCGGAATCCACCCAATTCTGTTACACAGTAACAAAGTTTTTAGTGGCATAACTTAGTATTTAAACCATTCTTATCACAAATGAATGGATGCATACCCAATTTTTAGCCTGTTGTATTTCTGCATGTATCTTAATCCTGTAATTTTTCACTAAGAAATGGACTTCAGAGCTAATAGAGCAGTGTGGGTAATAAGAAGTTAAGAAAATAAAATATTACAGGTTGAGGAAAGTTTGACTTAAAAGGAAACAGCTAGTTGCTATAACTTATCCAAACATGATCACTGAGATCGGTTTTTCTTTTTGTAATTTATGAAAGAATGTTTGGAAAAACTCAAGTATATAGTTCATATATTCAAGAATTTGTGAAGAATTTAGGCTTTCTCATAGAGTACTTGAGTCCACTTTTAAAAAATGAATGTTTTTAATCCATCATATGTAATAATTGTTACTAACCATTGATGACTCTTATATCCAAGTATTGATGATTATAATTAGAAATACATTTTTCTGTACTTGTGGTACTGGCTTTTATTGAGTATATTCATGTGATCTTGAGTTGAAGACATAGATACAGATAGATGGAAAGAGCTGTATTAAATGTCATGTACTTATAATAGATTTTGATACTCACAGGGGAAGATTATTGAAATTCATAAAAATATGTAAACCAGCTAGCTTATATTTACCAGAAGCAAAGTTGCTTCCAGCATAATTCCCAAGTGCAGTTGAGCACACAGGCACCCTACTGAAAACAGGGAGATTCAGTGAGCATCTATAAACTGGACATGGTTTGTGGTGCTCCTTCACTTTTTAAAGTAGGTATATGCATAGTTTTGATAAGAATTAAAACTACATTTTACAAATGTAAATGAAGGCGATCTTCAGTTTTAGTTTGCTAGGGTTGCCTTAACAACATACCAAAATTTGAGTTGCTTAAAGCAAAAGAAATGTCTTGTCTCACAGTTGTAAAGCCAGAAGTCTAAAATCAAGGCTTCCTGAGGGCTGTGTTCTTACGGCTCTGGGAGAGGATTCCTCCTTCCCTCATCTAGCCTCTGGTTTTTGCTTGCAATCCTGATGTTCTTTGGCTTGTAGATGCATCACTGCGGTCACATGTCCATCTTTTCCCTATGTATTTTCACATCATCTTCCTGTTGTCTCACATCATTTCATTTCCCCTTTTTTATGGACAGCAATCATATGGGATTACGTTTTACCCTAATGATGTCATTTTAACTTAATTACTTCTAAAATATTGCTATTTCCAAATCAGGTCACGTTATTTCTTCAACATAACTTTTTTTGAGGGACACAATTTAACCCATAGCATGTGGGTTATTCACTAGTGGGTAAATAATTTGTGATAGAGACACTTAATGCAAAAATCATGGGGAAATTTACAGTAATGTTTAAAATATAAGGTTTTTAAAAATCAAGATTCAGAATTAGAGCAAAAACATAACACCCAAAGGAAAAAAATCAGATAAAACACCAAAAAAATAATGTTAATCAGAGCTGGTGGTATCATAGCAAATATTTTTCTAATCTGTTTTCCAAATTTTCACAACATATATTGTATATCTTGTTTGGTATAAGGAACAATTATTATTTACAAGTCTAAAAGTGTAAGTTGAAGGAACTTTTCTCTCCGAACTGCAATTTTTCTTTCTGTTATTAACCACACTTGCAAAAATAAATGTGGATAAGAAGGTAAAATTCAGTGTGAGCTTCTTAAACCTAAGCTATAGATATTTTCTAGGCTGTTCTGGACCGCTAAAGGAATATACAAAATAGGTCATTAATTTCCCATTAAAAATGACTTTTTTCTGAAGTAAAAACACAATGCATAAAGAGTAGTAAACACCTTTTCTTTAGCTGCCATTTAATGTATTTTTATTATAATTTTAATCAGAAAATTTTTTTAGAAATCATGTTATTTTTTAATACATATAAATATATAGGCCATCAGTTTATTTTTTTATATATTTCGTCGGTGCTTTAAAATACATAGTGTGTGTTGGGGCGCCTGGGTGGCTCAGTGGGTTAAGCCTCTGCCTTCAGCTCAGGTCATGATCTCAGGGTCCTGGGATCGAGTCCCGCATCAGGCTCTCTGCTCAGCAGGGAGCCTGCTTCTCCCTCTCTGTCTGCCTCTCTGACTGCTTGTGATCTCTCTCTCTCTCTCTCTGTCAAATAAATAAATAAATAAAAATATTAAAATACATAGTGTGTGTGTGTGTGTGTGTGTGTGTGTGTGTATTTTCATTCCAGGGACTTCAAAACATTTTCACAGTAGCTACCAATATAGGAATGTCCCATATGAGTAAAACCAAATATATTTTGCTTAAGATCAAGGAATGTGCTTTGGGCATAAAAAGACTAAGCGTGGTGGGCAGATGGGTGAGATAGGCAAAGTGGATTAAGAAGTGCCAGCTTCCAGTTATAAAATAAATAAGTCGTGGGGATGAAAAGTACAGCATAGGGAATACGTTCAATATTGTAAGAACTTTGTATGGCTGGGGACAGATGGTTCCTACACTTACATGGTTGAGCATTGCATAATGTATATAAGTATTGAATCACTGTGTTACAGACCTGAAACTCATATAATATTATATGTCAACTATACTTGGACTATATACTAATTTTCTAAAAGGAGAGATGAAATCAAGGAGGGATGAGAGAAAAAAACAAAAATAAAACCTCGTTGGTCGCTGGGCTGTCCATTTCCCCATATGTATCTCCTGTCTTCCAATGGTTGCTTTCAGACATTGATGAGTGCTTGGTCAATAGACTGCTCTGTGACAATGGCCTATGCAGAAACACGCCTGGGAGTTACAGCTGCACATGCCCCCCTGGGTACGTGTTCAGGACTGAGACAGAGACATGTGAAGGTAAGAGCCACCTTCTTCGCCTTACGTGTGAGTAGTAAGTACCTAGATAGGCACAGATGTTCCTCAAGTACATGGATGAAATAAGATAGAAAAGAGAGTGTTGTCTGAATATTCTTTAAATGTAATCATGTCTTTCAGCTCATCTGCCAGTTTTAGAAATAGCATGTACTCCACTGGTAGGTGGAGTGTGTGACTCTTGATCTTGGGGTCCTGAGTTTGAGCCCCACATTGTGTGTAGAGATTTCTTAAATAAATAAGTCATTATTTCAAGAAAGAAAGAAAGAAAGAAGAGAGAGAAAGAAAAAAGGAAAGAAAGAGGGACGGAGGGAGGAAGGAAGGAAGGAAGGAAATAGCATGTACCTAACCCAGTATACAAATCTATCACTTTTGTTCCATTCAGATAAAATCTCAACAAACACTTTGAAGTTAGCAGTGGGGAGAAAAGTGAAAAGAGCCAGGGCGTTTTACTTGCTGAAATTAAATGTCAGATTTTTGTTTGTTTTCTTTTCCCCTTTGAAAAACTACTGTGACACATTCACACTGGCCTTGGAGACCCTGAGTCGTAATGGCAAGGTCAGCCCTGAGGCATTTTATTCATGACATGATTGATATGCCTCAGAGATTTGCCCAGAAAATATTTGGGGCTTGAGTAGAAATGGCCACCTTATATAAATTTATAGTCTAAGAAAGTTTTCCTATTTGATGATTCAAAAGTTATTATTTGGGGTTCTAGATCATAAATCACTTTTTAAAAATGTCCTCATTTCCTTCTGACTACATTCCTGTACAGGGGACATTATGTGAGTGACTTCCATGACAAAAAAGCCTCTTTTCCGATGAGATACCAGCTAAGCAGGCAGCATGCATCAGTCATGTATTTGTTCCTTGATGAAAGTGCTGTGTATCTCAGAATAATCTGTTGTATGACTACTGGTCGTTGTTCTTAAGTCCCGCTGTGTGGGCCTGTAGAAGTGTTTGTTGACATTCTCGAATCCAGAAACTGCTGCCAAAGTCACTTAAAAAAAAAAAAAAAAAAGATTTCATCTTTAGTTATTTCGAACAGACCTTTCCTTATCTGTTAAAGTATTTATTTCTTAGTGACTCCATAGCCAAGAAAACGGCAATAGTAATATGATGCAAAAAGACGTTAACATTCTCTCTGTCTTATTGTTTCATTTCAAAGCATTCTTGTGAACAGAAATAAGTTAGGACTTGAACAACATGCCAGAACACGAGTGACTCAGCCAAAATCAGTGAAATGCGATTACAAAGTGCGATTCTAAGTTTGGATTGATTGGAGGGGCCATTGAAAAACAGTAATTAGCCTGGAAAAAAGAAGAAAAATAAAAAGGAAAAGAGAACCTTGGTATAAAATGTACTTTCTCTAAACTTAGTCCTATTAACTGTCCTTTTGGAGGAGCTCCTCCAAGAAGAGCACTCAACTTCAGTCCTAGTTAAAGTACATGAGGATTCATCTTCTCTATAGTTGAGCAGTTTTCTTCAAAACTCATAGAGTTTTGAAGATCTGTCAGACAGAAAAGTTGTCTTTTCAGAGTAGCTCAGGCTTTGCCAGTATGCTCACCTAGAATGTTTCCTAGCACCCATTCCCACCCCGCTCTGACACCTGTCATCCTTCAGAATTGCTCTGAGAAACTTCGTACTTTGTAAAAAAAAAAAATATATATATATATATATATATATATTTATATTCAGCCATATCTCCTCCATACATTTTTTTGAAGGATGGGGGAAGGGATTTCAAGGGTTGTATTTTTTTTTCCTTTGTTCCTGACTTTCTGCTCTTTTTCCCTACTGTCCTTTATCAGTTTTTACCTATTTTGTTTTTGAGGATAAGCTTCTGTTAAATGTCAAGAAGCACTGAAAGCAAGAGCACTTTAGGACACCTTCTTGGTTTAACTAGGAAGCTGATGAACTTGTTTCCCTGTCCACAGTCACAATACCCTTCGGTGCTATTATGAGAGAAGCACGTGATGGGGAAAACTGAGCTGTCTTTGAATCGGTTTGGTCCAAGTTCTGTTTGTATACTGAATTTGTCAGTGATATTTATAGCATATTCCCACCATTTTAACAGGTAAAATGGGGTCGAAGGGTACGGGGCCCAAATACCAAAATATAAATCAAAGGTCAGGGACTCTCCTGCCTGTAGGAACACTCGAAGAGTGGGAGCTAATAATGTTTAATAATATAACGCAGGATGATTACATACACATGAGGAACATTAATACCAAATCAGGCAACAGCACTGGTTAGCATGAGTGCCCTTTATTTTTGTCCAGAGGATAATCGTTCCTGATAAATCTAAGCCTTTTCTTTAACATGAAATGTGTATCTGTCATTCCTAGGAAAGAAGTTCATGTTATGTAGAGAAGAGAAATGACAGAGAATTATTTTGGCTGTAGTCTTACGACATTGATGGAAATAAAAATGATTTATTGTGAGAAAACCAAATAACTTAGTTCTCACTTTCTTCCCACTGCTAAGTTATTTGCATTTTATTAAGTGGCTTAAAGAAATAAAAAAACAACTTTAAGGCCACAAATCTCTTTTTCCCTTGGGTCTTCTTATTTCTGCCATTGCATTCACACAGTAAGTGTATCTGCCCAAAGCACTTCTCTTTTTTTCTGTTCTTTCTAAACTAATTTCCAAAGACGAGGCAGGGAAGTATTAGCAGATTCACTCGAGATTCGTGCTTTCTCTGTATATATTTACTGTAGCCACTAATTTTCTTGTCATTTATGTTTTCAACAGGCTGTTTTAAATATATAATAAATAGCAGTGATAACAAAGATCCTCTGATATTTCAGACTGAAGTTACAAAAAATTTATTTTCGTTTTTTCTGAGCTCTGTGAGTCTGTGAAAGTTAACATTTTTACAGCAAGCACTGTGGTTTAGATTGTGTTTCCAGTGACATAACTAGTTAAATGTAAACCAGATGTGCTTTGAAGTTTATTTCCAGGAATGTACAGTGAACTGTTTCAATTCCTGGTTCCATGACATTTGTAACATAAAAACGTTGTATTTAAAGAAAAATTAAACACTTGATATTTGTAGCTGTCATTGCATGGGATTATAGTTTTGGAGTTTATAACTGCTTAATTTAGAATAGGAATTTGGAAATATATGATACTGACATTTTGCTTTCTGGGCAGTGTCTTACAAATGAAATTAATAGGTGAATTATATATAGTTTGTCCTCAGATTACTTATCTCCTCCTTGTTTTCTTTGTTTGGGGGGTTGGTTTTTTGTTTTGGGTTTTTTTTTTTTTTTTTTTTTTGGCTCTCTGATTCCTTTTTTACATTGTGTTTTTACTAAAAGAATTTCAGTACTCTGGAATAGATGTTTTCTTTCCAAATCTGTACTGTATTTATAAAACCTGCTCTTGTATTTTTCCTTTAAGAGGATTTCTTGGCACAAACAACCTGAAGAAAAAAAGATGAATTCATATTTCTTCAATTTCTACTTCATGAATTAAATTAGTACCTGTGTACTTCTTGAAGTAACAAAGTCCATAGCCATTTTCCACATTGATTTTTAAATTTGCATTTCAAGTCCACAGACTTGCAGAGGAGTACTGAGCCCTGCCTTTTCAAGACCAGTTTGGTTTATATTGACTTGAGACTTTGAGGCATAAGCATTGTAGCATTTTAGTTATTTTCATGTTTTCCTCAATATAGTATTTGATATTCAATTCAAAGAGGTGTTTAGAAAAAGGTGCTGTGGTGAACTCAGAAACCTGTGTTGCAACAGAAAAATGTCTTGAGGTATGCTGACCTATTTCACATAGTTAACCAAGCACAAAAAGAAATCTTTGCATCTCTTCTTTAAGTTGAGAGGTTGAATTTATACAGAGTCAGTTTTGGATATTGTTTCTATTACTTGGACTGAAGCCTGTATTTATTTTTAATTAACTCCTGTTAAACTAATTCTCTTGGCTTCAGATTTGCTTTGGTTACCACTTGAGAACATGGGCATGCTCTGTTTACTTCTGACCCTCAATAGCAATTGTTTATATTACATGGTCTAATTTGATTAAGGACTCAACTCAGATTAATGATAGGAAAGGTCTGTTTTAAGCAATTGAAAGTGATTTTTTTTTTATTTTACCAAAATCAATTGTGCTTTAACAGACTTCCCACACCATACATCTAAATGTGAACAGGCTGAAGAGAGAGGCAGGTAGAGGGGCCTAGAAGACAATGCTCTCCTCAGTATTAAAGCTTCATCCTGGTCTCCTGACTTGTACCCAGGAATTTGGAGTGAAAGCCAACATTGTGATACATTGTCTCTAATACAGGCTTTTTACTTTTTGTGAAAGCTCCCAGAGCCATAGATGACAGAAACAGTCAACCTTTGTTTGAGCACAGTATACTGTACCCAGGAATATATATGTTGCTTTCCATGTATTCAGATTTCAGATTTCCCACAGGGCAATTATTTCTTATTGAGGGGGAAATCAATTCAATTTACATAAAGTTGCACTGAAATAGTGACGAGAAACACACTAACCCCTTTGCAATATTGGGCTGATTCCTATAGTCCTCCTGAGCCCCTAGCCATGTCTGTGTGTATCCACACTGTGAAATTCATGTCTCCATTCCCCATTCACTTTATGCCTCATAGATCCATATTAAAATTGCAAGAGCCAAGTTTACCAGACATTCTGGCATAGCATGGCTTGTTGGAATAATATTTTCCAGAAACACATGGCAGTTCTAACAGAATGTTTTCCTTCTGGATTGTAGATATAAATGAATGTGAAAGCAACCCATGTGTCAATGGGGCCTGCAGGAACAACCTTGGATCTTTCAATTGTGAATGTTCTCCTGGCAGCAAACTCAGCTCAACAGGATTGATCTGTATTGGTAAGACTTATGCCCAGTGCTGGGGTTTCGGTTTCATGGCCAACCTGAGTGGGGACTGCAGACCTTAACCATGGATGCAAACTGAACATGATCACAGGAAGCTAGTAATTAGGAGTTGCATTAGTTGTTTGCTCTCATTACTGAGATGGGAGTAAAACATGATGGTGTAAATGGGCAGACTCTTGAATGCTGTTAGCTTCTAAGAAGCATTCCTTTGATGTGAGTAGATCTATTATGCTGTAAGTTATGAGCATTTGCATACCACACACATACTTGCATTCGCTACCCTGAGAATGCCCCAGGTACCATACATTCAAATCCCGGCTGCATACTTTTTATAACAAGCTTCAAAACAAAAAATATGAGAGTTGGGACTCATTAACAGGACAAGAATTTGAAGACTAAACTTTAAATATATAGAAGGAATTTATTACTTTTTTTATTTCACCCATCAATCATGAATGTATAGGCACCACAGGAAGGAAGGAAGAAAAGAGAACTGTTTTCTTAATTTCAGAACTCTCTCAGGAGAAAGATTCCGAAACTTCCAATCTGGCATTTTTTTGTATGTTTGAAAACATGTAAGGTCAGGTTGTGATAATGATGGTAGGACATGTATAAAATGGTCTGATCTATTACTGTAAAAAGCAGTCCAGCACATGCAAGGGGAAGAACTGGACCAGTGTCCATGACTCCATTGGCCGGGCACAGGACAATTCATACGATTAGCTGGTATCCACTTTTAATGGAAACTCAATCTGTATTTTCAGATAGAAAGGTATTTTAGTTCTACACAGTACCAGATAAATTGCCAGTTTTTGTTTGTTTTCCAGTCAATATGAATTTCCACTTCATGTTTGCCAAAGACAATAGTGTTTTTGGTATAATGTCTGATGCTAACAATGTTTATCTGGATGGTAGAGGACCTGTTTGTTACACTAAGGGAAATGACCAGGGACAAACTTATCAATGAAAACCTGTCCTTTGGGAAAATGCCAGCTCCTCATCTCTCAGTGAGGTGCAGCTGATGAAATTTGAGCCTTGCTCAGCTCTCCATATTAGGAAATAGACTGCCATCTGCCTAGCGCATTACATCTTTTCTTACAGAATTCCACTGGGGGAGGGACAGAGTTTGGATCAGGTGAGGCAGAAATATTTTTGCTAGGCCACAGTTAACAACTGAGATAGAGTCATTTTATTGTTCAAAGGAAATGAACTCAGCATTAACTAATGTCAGTTAATTGTCAATTAAAATCAATAAATTAATGTCTCGGAAAATTAAACCTATATGCCACTTAGGTATCAAAGGTATCTTAGTTTTTGCCTCATCCTAAAAACTTGTATCATTTTGGCCTTTTACTGTGTATTTATTAGTGAAAAAAGAGCAAAGACTTTTACTCCCGAGTCATTATGTTGGGCAACTAAACACCACTGTATTTTTCCTCAGTAGTGTGTTAGGAGTTTTTGTTGGTTGTGATCAAATTTGAATATCCCAGGCTAGAGCTGCTTCGAAAGAAATTTACTTAACATTTTAAAATTTTAGACATCATTTTATGTTTTTTCCGTTGAAAACCAAATTCTAGCTTTTAACAAGGAAATAGATCGTAAAACATACACAGGGAAAACTACAAAAATTTTTAATAGGACTGACAGTGGCTCTAATCAGTGATCAGCCTCCAAACTGCTCTTTCCTAGGAAGCATTAGTCTATATTAAGAACTGAAAAAGATTCCCCAGTGTGCTTACTAATGTAAAATTAAGTTAGAGTGTATAGGAACTAGATAGACACTTAGAATGTTTAGAGATTTAGAATACATTGTGCAAACTCCTTAAATATAAATTAATCTTAAACTGTTCTGTAAATTGCTTGAAGAGACTATTGTATTCTGGTTGAAAATTATTAAATACCATAGAACAGTACATTTGATCAGTTTTTTCTACATGACGTGGCTCGACATCCAATGGCTCCCTGTAATCCAGACCAATTTCCCTCATCTTTGGCTTTGGTCTGCATGCTGTCCTCAGATTCCATGGATGTGACAAGGACAGTAGCTTCCATGGTATCAATACAGTGGTCCTTCCTTCTTTCTTATCTTCAGTGTTAGCAGTGCTCTTTGCTCACACCTTAAGTTTTCCATTTTTTTTTTTTTTTTTTGTCTTCTCTTCTCCTTTTACTTTTCTGGCCCCTTTTTCTCCATTTCCTTTGTTACATTTTCCATATCATCCTGCCCTCAAGCTTGAAGTGTCTCCCTGGTCAGCCCCTTGAACCTCTTGCCTTCTCTATCTATAGGCACACTTAGATGGCCCCTACATTGACCTTCAAATGTATCTGTCATTCCTCAACCTCCCCACTGATTCCAGACTTGGATTTCCAACTCTCTGCACATTGTCTCCATTTGGATGTCCAATGGATATTTCAAATATAGCATGACCAAAACACAATTGCTATCTTTTGGCTTGAACCTGTGTCTCCCAGAATCATTTCTGTCTTGGGAAATGGAAATTCCATTTTTACAATCAGCAGCCTCAAAATCTTTGGAGTCATCTTTGATGTCTTTCTTTCAAAACACCACATTGAATCCATCAGCAATTCCTGTTGATTATATTTGACATTTATGCATATTCTAATCTCTTCTCACCACCACTGCCCCCCCCAGTCCAAGCCCCCAATATTTCTCTTCTTGATTTTTACTGTAGCATCTGTCTCATTTTTGTTTTCTTGATATTTACCACCCTACAGTCTTCACTCAGAGGTCATTTTATAAGCAAGGACTTCTCCGACTTCCCTAGATAATAGAACAGTCTTTCTCCAATGTACACCCTCAAGACTGCTTATCCTGCTTTATTTTTTTTTCAGCATTCTTAAGCAGCCTCTGACCATACAGCTATGTAACTACATCTGATGTGTGTGTGTGTCTATATACACACAGAAAATCAATCCAAGTGAGAGAGATGAATATGTATATATGTACCTGTGTATCAGTGCATTTTGTAACTTTTAAGCCTCATACCACACCAGCCAGAAGCATGATGTTGCAAAATGGAGGCTCTGAAATCAGACTGTGTAGCCTTGACTTGTGATGGGGACACTAAAGTAGGTGGGTGACCTTGGGTAAACTAGTTGACCTCTGCGGGCCTCCTTTTTCTCATCTGCAAGTTACCTGTACCTTAGAGGCTGTTTTACAAGTAAGTAAACAAACATGTGAAAAGCCAATAAAAAGCCTGTAATTTGAGTCCTGATACAAATGGTCTGATGAGAAAGTTTTTTTCACATGCACCCCGTTTTCACCCAAACTGAATCTCAAAGCAGAAGAAAGCAAAGTGAACGTCCAGCTCTTCTCCACAACTTTGCCCTGTCCTTTTTTGTATCTAGTCAAGGATGCAGTTATTTTATTCTGACCTCTGTCCCAAGGCCTCAGGCTGCAGGAGACTTCCTCCTACCTGCTTGTGTCCGGTAAGGAATCAGAAACCACAGCTTCTTCCTTCCCGGCACTGCCAGTTTCACTGTAATTTTCTTTCTCTGTTTCCCACCATGCTTTATTTTTACTGTTGAATTTGGCACTGAAACTTTACCCATATTATTAAATGAATTTTAAGGTAAATACTATAGGAATATACTTTTTCTTTATTGTTCTCCAAGGCTGTGAGCCACATTATGTTGCTAAATTGTTGTCAAACTCTTGTACAGACAGGCTGCATAGCAGTCACCTGAGGAGTTTGTCAAATGTAGGCTCCTGGGCCGCACACCTGGGCACTTGGGAACCCAGCATTTTAATTAGAACCTCGGTAATTTTGTGCACCCCAAACTGGGAACCACAGTACTGCAAGGAGAACTTAGGGTATGATTTCTTTTACCTGAATTGTCCTGGCCCTGCCCACTGGGACTGCATTCCTCATGACCATTCTGAAATCTGCTGCTCAGCAGTCACAGAAGGGAGAGCCTCACTTATGTGTGATGTGCACACAGCTAAAATGTAAGAGCACGGAGCGCAAGGTGGTTGGATATACATCCTTTTTATATTAAATCTCCTATTTTTTCATGTAGTTCACCATAAGCATGTATTCCTTTTTGAACTAGAGACAATATTACACATATATTATGTAAAGGCAAATACCTAAAAGAAAATCTGTCACTCACTAGCCCTGGTGTGTCTTAGTGGTGGTTTTATAGGCGATGTTTCTTTTCTTCATCTTGTTGATTTTTTGGTAAATTATTCATCAAACAATTATCTTCAGTTAGAGAAATAATGGTTTCTCTGTAATAGGACATAAATAATGTGCTATATGTTTGGTGGGGGACTATAAGAAAAGGGAATGATTTAAGGAATTTTTTTGGTAAAATCTTAAGTATCAAAGCATTTATCATAAAAGATCAATCTTATTATAAAAGATCAACCTTTCTCCTTTTTTATGCATTTTTACTACAAGTAATCATCTTGTCATGGTAATTCACTTGTCATGGTAATTACGCTGGTTGTAAATACCAGTGTAAAATCTTGGACAACAGTGCCACTCACAGAGTATCTGTAGATGTAGCTGTATTAGTTGTCATATCCTGTGAGATGTACATGGTATAATTAATTATTTGATTTATGTGTATGTAATATGCTATATTTAAAATACATGTACACGTAAATTTGCTCAAAGAATATACATTAAAACATTTTAAAAATAATGCTTTAGTTAAATACTGTAAGAATTGCCTTTGTTTTATATGAGTGAATTATATTATCTTCAGAGATGAGAGCTTCCCATCCCTTCCTGCTCCTTTTCAGACAGCCTGAAAGGAACGTGTTGGCTCAACATCCAGGACAACCGCTGTGAGGTGAACATTAATGGAGCCACTCTGAAGTCGGAATGCTGCGCCACACTCGGAGCTGCCTGGGGAAGCCCCTGCGAACGGTGTGAACTAGGTATGGGCCTGCCCCAGAACTCCTGCTGGGCTTCTCATTGGAAAGCTGATTCTTCAGCTAGGCGGGCACCTGTTTCCCTATGTATTCCCATAGAGAGGATGACCATAAGATCATTACCCTCCCTAGAATATCTTCTCTGGTGAAATCTATTCACTTGATGAAATATGTATCTAGTTTATCCTTTTTCTATAAGCAGACCTTTTGAGCATTTTCAACAAGAAAGGGAATTTCTGGTATTTAGCTGCTAGGTGATTGTCAATACCCTCCAGCGTTCTTGTTTGCAAATGTCTAAACAGAATGTGATGTCTCTTTCCTTTAAGCCTTTTTTCTTGCTTTCTTGTAATTCAGCTGACAGCATGAAAGCAAAAATGAATTGTAAGAAAAACTTTGAGAATCTCCATGTAGGTCAACCCTGCCCAGAATTAGCACAGTGTGTCATATGCCACCCTGAATTGAATGGAGGGCACCTGGAGTCCTTGGCCTCTAAGATTCCAGCTCATGGTTTCTATTCATTTCAACTTAGATTCCATTATACTGTTCCTTGAACTTAAAACCATTATATTTTCTCTTACAATGAAGTAAAAACGTGTCTGTTGTTCTCACAGATACAGCTTGCCCAAGAGGGTTTGCCAGGATTAAAGGTGTTTCTTGTGAAGGTAAGTGTATACTTGGATGATACCGTAAGTCTTTAGAGCAGTAAGAAAATGAACATTCACTTTAGAGATATTTATCATTTTTAAAAGCCTTAAATTGCAGTAAAAATACTGAAAGGAATCAACAAATGCTTTAGAATAATACTCTCAGAAAACAGCTTAGAGTTCCCCCTTTCTCCTTTTTTTATGCTGTTGCGTAATTTTTTACAGGGATATCATTAGGCATAAAGGCACAAAACAGCTGGGAAAGCAGCATGTCTGGGCAGTTTTATGGACGGGCAAAGCTGTGGTAATTTTCACAGCTGGTACCCAGGAAACCCGGTGGTTGTGTTGTGGAATATTTCTGTTCAACTCAAGTAATAGTCCACATTGTATTACAGATTGAATATGCTATAGGGGAAGACTCCACTTGCTTTTTCTATTTCTAACATCTTTATCCCTCTGCTTGCTTGATTTCCCTGCAGACGTTAATGAGTGTGAGGTATTTCCTGGCGTTTGTCCAAATGGACGCTGTGTCAATAGCAAAGGATCTTTTCATTGTGAGTGTCCCGAAGGCCTCACATTGGATGGAACTGGCCGTGTGTGTTTGGGTAAGATTCATGTCTTTATGTATTTTATGCCTAAAACCAGGGATGGATTTTTCTTATTTCTTGGGCATTCACCTCAAACTTCAAAATCATTGGGTCGATAGCTGGAAAACTGGCTTTAAATGAGATATTTGGTGGGGGGCATCACTAGAGGATATTTTTTAAAGTGAATGTCTTTAAATGACATGGATTCTTATAATATAGAAAGTTGGTACTGCTCAAAAACTATCTCAAAATTTAGTTTCTTTAATCAGATATTTTAAGCAGTTTCAGTCATTCACACTGGTCAATGGAATAAGAGAACTATGTATATTTTGAACATAAAAGAAGAATTGAAGACTAGTGTTTGGAGTCAACATTTATCAGTTCATTACAGCTGCACTTTTAGATAAGACAGTGGGGAAGGTCATAGGCAAGGTTTTTGTTGTGTCTCTTTGAAAACATTGCTTGATCCTAGCCATTCCTTTACCACCTTAGAGTTTTAATTAAGTTTTTTTAATGTGTTATTTTGTAAAGATCTAAAATGTGGAAGCTTTCTTTCAACATCATTAATATGCAGATGCATACTTGGGTGGTGCCTGGCTTTCTCAGCTCTTGGAGCATGTGACTTGATCTCAAGGTCATGAGTTGGAGTCCCGTTGTTGGGTGTAGAGATTACTTCAAATAAATACATAAAAATAAAAGACTTTTATTTTTGACTTTATCATTTTCAGGCTCATGCTTAACTGAATATGAGTTTCATGACTGAAAAATAAACTTTTCTTAATTCTATATTGTATCTAAGTAATGTTTTATTTATTTAAGGGATTTTTTTCCAATATGCTCTGGAACAGTAAGTTTTAGTTTGTGAAATAACTTTATATAGGTTTGTATTTGAAATTTAAGCTTGTAGACAAAACGTGAGTAACGACCATGTTATATTCAAAGATCTTTAAGGTATTTAAATGTATTGGTGATTTTATTTTTTAAAAAATCTTTTACTTATTTATTAGAGCGAGCATGAGTAGTGGGGAGGGGCAGAGAGAGAAGGAGAAACAGGCTTCCAGGCGAGCAGGGAGCCCCACGTGGGGCTCCATCCTAAGACTCTTTGATCACAATCTGAGCAGAAGGCAAACGCTTAACTGACTGAGCCACCCTGATGCCCCACATGTATTGGTGATTTTTAAAATTAATAGTACAAAATATTTGCAACACTGTCCAGAGTCATTATAGTTAACATGAATTTCATTTTAAGCTAATTTTAAATAGTGTATTTAAATTAGGATACAAGGTATGGCTATAAAGTCATGTAGAATTGGTTAGGAATTATAATATCTGGGACATGGGCATTAAGGAGGGTATGTGATGTGATGAGCACTGGGGTGTTATACCCAACTAATGAATCATTGAATTCTACATTAAAAACTAATGATGTACTGTATGTTGGCTAATTGAATTTAAATTAAAAAAAAAAAAACAGGAAGAAAAAAAGAAATGATAAATTCCAAAATCTAATAATAAAACTTTTTTCAGATTTTTATTGTTAAATTATCCAAAAAGGTTAGAAAAAAGTAAAGTATCTTTTGAAGATGCCAAATAATATCTTCAGTATGGTCCAATGACTAATAATATCAAATTGCCTTCTGTAGCAAAAGGATATTATATGTGAAGATATATCAGTGATTGTAAATTATTACTCAACAAAATAAATTCCAAAAAATATCACTCAAAATCACACCTTTTATAATGTTCTAAAAGGATGTATTAGAGTCTTCATGCAGGTACTTTGGTTAAATGTTTTTGTCACTACTTGAATTATGGTACAAAAAAGAATTGTGGCTGGGATGTGAGGAAGTTACAAGAAGAGACTGACATTTGAATATGTAAAATATCCTGAGAAGAGAGTAGAGACAGACTGCTTTGATAGAAACTGATCTAGATCAGGGGTCCAAATTCAAATACTTTCCGAGGCCAGGCAGGTAATGTAAATGAGGGCAGTGGTATTAAGGCATAGTGAGGACCACAGCAAACTCTATAGCACATGAACTTTCCAGAGGTTTTCAAACACATACTTTAATTTCTGCCCAAGTCAGTAAAAACATTCCCAGGCCATATGTAGCCAGTGTGCAGGGTTTTAATTCCTGAGGCAAATATGGACATGGGTCTGTGTAGCAAAGACACAGGATTACTCTGTCAGGTTCTCCTGACTCTTTACACAATAAGTTCAAGTGATTTAGGGGGTGTTTTGTTTTGTTTTGTTTTTAGCTAATCTCGCTTCTTGAACAAATTACATCAGTGACCTCAGAAATAGTTTGACTTAGTCCATATTTCTCAGGATACCTAAATGAAACTTGTATATCTTGTTAAGATCCTTACTTCCTGATGGTGTTGGATAGAGTTGGCTGTGACTGGGAAGGGCCACTGGGTGCCTTAAGGTCACGAGGCTCCCAGGATTACTGCCATACCTCATGCTGGTAGGGAGCATGATTTGGGGGCTGGTGTTGGTGCAGATACATAGGCAGAATCACCTACTGTGGATACCTTTGTTCAGTCTACCAAACCAGAATGAAGATTTACCACAGTGATTTCTTTCTTTAAAAATAGGACTTTTGGGGCTCCTGGGTGGCTCAGCGGGTTAAGCCTCTGCCTTCGGCTCAGGTCATGATCCCAGGGTCCTGGGATCGGGCCCCGCATCAGCAGAGAGCCTTCTCTGCTTCTCTCCTTCTCTCTGCCTGCCTCTCTGCCTACTTGTGATCTCTGTCAAATAAATAAATAAATAATCTAAAAAAAAAATAGGACTTTATAGTTGAAAATAGAGCTACCCTATGACCCAGCAATTGCACTACGAGGTATTTGCCCTAAAGATACAAATGTGGTGATCTGAAGGGGCACGTGCACCCAAATGTTTATAGCAGCAATGTCCACAATAGCCAAGCTATGGAAAGAACCTAGATGTCCATCAACAAATGAATGGATAAAGAAGATGTGGTGTATATATACACAATGGAATACTATGCAGCCGTCAAAAGAAATGAAATCTTGCCATTTGCGACGACGTGGATGGAACTAGAGGGTATTGTGCTTAGCGAAATAAGTCAATCAGAGAAAGACAACTATCATATGATCTCCCTGATATGAGGAAGTGGAGATGCAACGTGGGAGGCTTGGGAGGTAGGAAAAGATTAAGTGAAACAAGATGGGATCGGGAGGGAGACAAACCATAAGAGACTCTTAATCTCATAAAACAAACTGAGGGTTGCTGGGGGAGGCGGGTAGGGAAAGGGTGGTGGGGTTATGGACATTGGGGAGGGTATGTGCTATGCTGAGTGCTGTGAAGTGTGTAAACGTGGCGATTCACAGACCTGTACCCCTGGGGCTAATAATACATTATATGTTTATTAAAAAATTATTTAAAAAATAGGACTTTTTAATTACCATCCTTGGAAGTGGACATGACTGTAAGCTAAAGGAGATTGCTCAAGATGGTGCTTCCTTAGCTTGAGCACTTGAAAGAATCATAATTGACAGAAACTAAAGTAGTAAACACATTATATTTCCATAATGGAAATATAAACAAATAAATAACTCTGTTAAATAACTGTCAGGTTTAGGAAAAGATGTAATATCTTGAAAGGCTTTCATCAAATAAAACATTTGATTAAAGAAAACCTTTTTTTATCTCATTATCCATATAGCAAAGTGTTTGACTGTAGTTGGACCAATAGCTCTGCTGACTAACAGATGTGTTATTTACAGATCATGCTAATTTATCCTATCTTGTGAGTCTTGTCGGTCTTCTAAGATCCTGGTATGTTTCAAGATTGAAGGGAAAATGTGACATTTAAGCAAATAAGTTGTCCCCTGACTAGGGCAGATTTACATAATGCAGGACAAAAGCCTTGATGCCAAAGGTAAATTTGACAGGAAAAAAAAAATAACTTTGTAAGATTTTTTTTTTTTTTAATTTATCCATTGGAGAGAGAGAGTGAGTGAGAGAAAGCATGAGAGGGGAGAAGGTCAGAGGGAGAAGCAGACTCCCCACAGACCTGGGAGCCCTATTCGGGACTCGATCCCAGGACTCTGGGATCATGACCTGAGCTGAAGGCAGTCACTCAACCAACTGAGCCACCCAGGTCCCCCTAAATAACTTCAAATGCAAAATTTTTTTTTTTTTTTCATTTGTAAACCTGTTCTAATAGTTGTCCCAAGTTGGCAGATAGATTACAGTTGTTTATTTACTGCTTCTGACTGGGACAGGACAGAACTGGTCACAAGCCACTTTAAGTAATTCAGTGATCAAGAAGAATCTGTCACTAAAATAATCTTATTCTTTCTGAAGTGAGCAAAAAGGGATGATGGATGATGATATGAAGGAGTCTGGTCACAAATGAACCTTTCCTTCCTGAAGGCATCTTGTGAGAATAAAGTAATACCTAGGAACCCATCTTTGCTCGCTTTAAGAGAGTGTCATTATGGAGTCCATTCCAGGAGGTCAGGGACTCGGCCTCTTACCTATTATATCTCCAGAGCTCGGCATCATCCCTGGTGCCAAGCGGAAACTCAGTATATGAATGGTCAGTGAGTGTAACACCTTCCTCTCAAACTGTGCTTTCACTTGCCATGTAGACATCCGCATGGAGCAGTGTTACTTGAAGTGGGATGAAGATGAATGTGTCCATCCTGTTCCTGGAAAGTTTCGCATGGATGCCTGCTGCTGTGCAGTTGGGGCAGCTTGGGGCACGGAGTGTGAGGAATGCCCCAAACCTGGCACCAAGGAGTACGAGACCCTGTGCCCCCGGGGGCCGGGCTTTGCTAACAGAGGGGACGTTCTTACCGGGCGGCCATTTTACAAAGGTAACTCTCAAGGTTGCGTCGACCTCTCTGCCCAAATGCTTACCTGCCACTTTCTCTCAGATTTGGTTTTGCTTTACGCATATAATTTGCCACTTCATTTTTTTTTTGTTAAACATGGTTTATGGCCAGCCTTAGGGCCCAGGAATATAAATCACCTACATAGGCTGGTTCTGAAGTAAAGATGTAAAACACACCACTGATCTCACTTTCCCTACATCCTCACACACTGTACCTCTGCTTCCCTTAGTGCAGCCTGACCAGATGGAGCCCTGATGTAGCAAAAAGCTCCCTATCCCCCCAACCCTTACCAAACGAATGGTCAGAAGGAAAGATATCAGAACCCTTCGCTAAAAAATGCAGACTCTTTTTCACATGTGGAACTTTCTCTGGGGCATCCGTGTGATCACTGGCAGTGTTGAGGGCCCTGTTTGGACTTGGGAACATTATTTGCCATCATGATAGATTTGCAGCTTTCACTGAGGAACCCACATGTTTAGATCAACCGGCTCTCTGTTCCTGCTTTGTTCTGCTTTCAGATATCAATGAATGCAAAGCTTTTCCTGGGATGTGTACTTACGGCAAGTGCAGAAATACAATTGGCAGCTTCAAGTGCCGTTGCAACAGTGGCTTTGCTCTGGACACAGAGGAAAGAAACTGCACAGGTGAGACTGCTCTCCGGCTGGATTTGGCCAACTCTGGCTCCCTTCCTTTGCTCTGTTGGAAAGTACTGCCTTAGAAAAAGTCCAGGTTTGACTTTTTAGGTTTATTTCCCCCTGCTCTTAAATCACTTCTCCAAACCAGCTCTTGTGAGAGCTGCACCAACAGCATGAAAATGCTGTCTGTTCTACCAAAGGAACCACAGAAAAATAGGATTTCCAAAATGATGACTACACTAGAGCAACTATTCATTGTATAAATGCTTTATAGTATCTCTTAAGAATTACAAAGTTTTTAATAGAGCAGTTGTAACTTATTTTCCTAAACTGTGAAGAGTTTTCTTAATTATGCTCTAGTCACCATCCATATATCCCTGACCATACCTGTTCCCTTTAGTTTGAAAAGATAGGAAGTCCACATTTTTCTACGACATGAAATAAATTATTCCAGACACTTGAAATATATCTCCAAGATCTTATTTTCACAACTCTAGTCATCTCTTCCTTGAACATTTTCCTTCCCTCTTGCCCTTACCCGTGCTGATCTCCACTCAAATGTGCTTCTGACTCCTTCCTCACTTCCTATTGCGGAGGGTACTGGAGTCCCCATGTTGCCGTCCGCCTAGACCATCACCAGAGCATTTCAGACTGTCCACCTCCCCTGCTGCCCCAGCTCCTCAGCCCCCACGTGGCTTTCCTGCTAGACTCTATCTGCATCTCACACCTTTGCCTTCAGCTGGACTCGAGGCTGCTCAGCAATACTACTCGCCCCTTACCTTCCTGACTGACTCTCTGCTCCACCTCTAGACCTCTTCTGAGCAGCACCCTCTCTCAGACCCCCTGCTCCCTGCCGCTTTTCTTTCCTGACATCCACTCTCATGGCCAGATCCCTTCCCACACGCCCCTCCCTCTGGCAATGGGATGTCATCTTCCATGGTTTTCCACTCCACGTGCCCTCCCCCTTGCTGCTCCTCTCCAGCCCTTGTCAGTAGGCTCCCTTCTCTCTCTACAGTACTTCCCTCCCTTTCCCATTGCTTTCCCCGGACCTGAAAACAAGTTCACACTTTTTCTCTGCCATCTTCTCTCTCATGCTGCCACCCTGTTTCCCTGCTTTTATCTCTCACCTTGCTCTCCTGAAGAGCCATTTGCTTTGTACTCCCATGTAATTTTGACTTTTGCCCTCCCTCGTTCAGGCACATAAATGTCCTGTCACAGAACACCTTTGTCAAGTCGTAAAAAGGCCTTTCTCTTAACCTCCAAGACCTCTGTGCTGGCTACATCCCCTCCTTAATTTTCTTCTCTCTTGGCCTCCATGGGACTTCCCTGTCTCTTTCATCCTTCTGTGCCAACAGTGTTTTTTTCTCTCATCTCCACAGATTCTTCTTGCTCTTGGCATTTCCAGAGTCCTCTGCCTCTCATAGCTGCCCACGCCTCTGTGCCTTCACAGGTGGGATCTGCTGAGTGGACTCCTCAGTGAGAGTTCTGTCCTAGCCTCTGCCCGAGTGCCACACTTGCAGCTCTTCACTTTAACCCCACTTTGTCCCATATCCACCCTTCCTCTGCCTAATGACTTCCTTGTCTGTAGCAGTAGCATCATTTCACTCAGGATCGAGGCCTCAGACTGTTTTGATCTCTCCCTCTCCTGCACAAGGAAGAAGTTATGTGTAGTCTCCATCGCAGTAGCTGTTTTAAGTACTAAACTCTTTCTTCAGGGCTATCTCAGGTACTGGCTTTGCTCCTCAGGAAATAGACTCCCAGCAGAGATTAGCCTGCAGAAGGTTTACTAGCAGAAGGGGGCAAAAGGGGCAGCTGGGCAGCCGTCAGTCCCATCATGGTTCTCAGCCCACCCCACTGGGAGCTCTGGATCTAGGATGGCCCAGCAGAACTGTCTTAGGGCAATAAGACTAGGTGTTTATGGACCTGCATGGTCAGTCTTTGGATACATCTGCCCAGAGAGGGGGTGTTGAGTGCTGAGGAAGGGTCCTCTTCACTGAGGCACTTCTTCAAGATAGTTTACACCTCAGGTCTTTGTGCCCCCAAACTCCCCAACAGCAGTGGGGGAAAGGGTAGTAAGTCCTTTCTTCCTGAAGGGGGAATTGGACAACTCATGGCAGTATTCACAGCATAGCAGACTCTTCCAGTGTCTTCCATCCCATTGATCATCCATTCTGATCCTTCATGTTCACCAACCACCACGTGTTACTTCCCACAAAGCAACTCTCAGTGACTCACAGTTTGAAACCTGGGTGAAGGCAGGATTCTTTCAGTTCTGACTCCACTTCCTGTTTTTGATAGGAAATTAGCCATGTTACTTAATGACTCTGAAACCCACCTTCTTTATTTTTTTTGCTTTTTTATTTTTTTTTAAAACCCTCCTTCTTTAATTGTGTAAGAGAGACGTTTGTTGGTCATGCTGCAGTGTTGCTGTGTATAATGTGAAATCACGGTTGGATACCGTTGGCTGCCTTTCTTCACCATATTTAAAGCCCATCTTCTTTTGGCATCCTCACTGATCACACCCATCCTCCCTGTCCTTGCACTATCAACCTCTGCAATCCGGCCAATCTGCAATGTACTGTTCTCTGAAATGTATTATTTGTCTTCCCCTGTGTATTCTATCTCTTGTCTTTCTATTCATTCTGCTTCTTTAAAGTTAGAATTTTTTTTTAATTTATTTATGTATTTTAGAGGGAGAGAGAGTGCGAGCCCGGGGAGGGGCAGAGGGAGAGAGAAACTTCATCAGACTCCTCACTGAGCTTGGGGCTCAGCGTGGGGCTTGATCTCAAATCCCTAAGATCATGACCAGAGCTGAAACCAAGAGTTGGTCACTCAACCAGCTTTGTAACCCAGTGGCGCCTAAAGTTAGAATTTCTATACAAGCTTCAAGGACCAGTTCAAAGCCACCTCCTCCCAAAATACCAGTTTTTAGCAGAAAACCATTGCTATGGAGACAGCAGTTTGTATGAGACAGGCACTCTTCTTAGCGCTTGATGAATACTGACTTGCTTAATCCTAGCAAGTGGGTTTTACTATACTCCCCCATTTTATTGATGTGGAAATTGAGGCACACAGAAATGAAATGATTTTCCTAAGCCTCTTCACCCAGTAGGTGGTAGAACTAGGACTTCTACCTAGGTGTCTGCTTCCAGAGTCCACACTCCACACTGTGCATCTCCCAGCACATCACATCAACTAGAGTGTGTCAATACTCTGCCAATGAGTTTATTCTTTGTTCTTCAAATGCTCTAACTACCAGTTTCTAGATACTGATAGACAACAAGTAAGAGAATCAATATGCATATTGTTAGCTGCCTAACTGAATCAGTGAATGGTGGTAAGAATTTTGTGTAAAAGCCTATCTTCAGTATTGCCTGTAATTAGGGAAATAAATAAAGACCAGATGCCGGGAGAAAGTGTTGGACGTTCAAAGACTGAGATGCCCAGGAGAGCATGTACAAGTTACCCACTGATAAACCCTGTGATGGAAGAACTTTGGAATTAAAATAAAGAAATGCCAGCAAAGGCATTCCTTCCTCCTGTGACCAAAATAATAAGTATGTCATTTTTTTAAAGACTTTATTTATTTATTTGACAAAGAGAGATCACAAGTAGGCAGAGAGGCAGGCAGAGAGAGGAGGAAGCAGGCTCCCCGCTGAGCAGAGAGCCCAATGCAGGACCCGATCTCAGGACCCTGAGATCATGACCTGAGCCGAAGGCAGAGGCTTAACCCACTGAGCCACCCAAGTGCCCCATCATGTTTTCTTAATTATATTTTATAGACATGACTTCTCCATTAAAAAAAAACCTCATTTATAAGCATGGGATGTTTCTCAGAAAATTTTGGTTTTGATAATGTAAATGCTACCAATGAAGATTCTTATTTTCCATAGTATGTAAAAAGTAACAAACACATCATTTTTCTTTATTTTTATTTTGAGAATAAGGGAGTATTGTTTCCACATCTGAACATGACAGAAGAACATCCCCCGGAGCATGTTGCATGTCCCAGTTATATAGGTACGCTGTCTAGCCTAAAGCTGGGGGGCTGTGTCTGCCCCTGAGGCTGGCTGGCTGTGCTGGTCAGCAGCCTCCCCTGCTCAAGGGGACAGCGGCCCCAGCAGACTCCCCCACGCTGGGCGTGGGCTGCTGGAGACAGTCACCGCGCTCTCACTTGGTGACAGGACTTCATTCCATGTGCCTGCTGCTTCCACACCTAACCACCTGCCCTGTCCGGCTCATGCCGCAGTTGCTCTCTTCATCCCTCTGTTACCACTTCTAAGCCACAAAGAGATATCCACAATTCCAGAATTCTTAAAGGCAAATGCACAGCCTGCCCGTTGGCCATGACAGTTTTGGCAGTTGGGGAAAAGAATGTGCCTAAGGCCCCATCCGCCTGGAGCTGATCTCCGGCTCATAAAGCTTCCTGCTGCTCGCCACTGACCTCTCCAGCACCTCTCGAGGGCTGCACCTTTTCCAGGGAGGCCACACCTGCCTCACTGTTCTTCAGTACCTGCTCTGCTCATGCTATTTTTTTTATTTCTTTTCAACCTTATGAATTAGACATTGATGAGTGCAGGATTTCTCCTGACCTCTGTGGAAGTGGCATCTGTGTCAACACGCCAGGCAGCTTTGAGTGTGAGTGCTTCGAAGGCTACGAAAGTGGGTTCATGATGATGAAGAACTGCATGGGTAAGTGTGCTTCAGGTCTTCCTACCCAGTCTCCAACCAGAGAGCTTGACCGTGGCTTGTCTCCAAGCTGTTAGCTGAATGATTCGCCAGGCACTGTGGTGAGCAAGAGAATGGATGTCACTATCAGACAGAAAATCTCCTAGATTACTCTTGGGCAGCTCCAACCTCTTGGTGCCTTCGTGCCAGTGAGACAGCAAGACTGGGTTCTGTTTGTCCACAGAATCTAAAATCAACACAGACTACCCAGAAGGGTACTTAACATGCATGACCTTGTGTGGTGACCCCAAATTTATATTCAGCCATGCAAATTCCATGATATTTATTTGTGTGTTACTACAAACTCTTGGTACTGCCTGCCTTTTGGTCCATATTTAGTGACTTCCAGGATTCGCCAAAGGGGACATAAAAGGTGACCAGTCTTTTACTATGATTAGTGAAAATAGATAGCAGTGTCTGGTGTCTGGACTTTAAGTGTGATGTGAAACTAATATTGTTTATTTTTTATCTCTTGTGAATCTGCTTGTTTCATACAAGTCAATTCCCTGGCAACTCGCTGTCTTTAAGAAAAAAACTTACCATTTATTTACTAGTAGTAGAAAAAGTGAGGAGACCATTAACCTATCTCCTCTGAAACTTGTCTGTTACATTTGAGTCCCACTTCCCTCACAGCATAATTTTTCCCGCATGCTGTATATGTGAATATTTTTCCCACAGAGTTCTTTAATTGATCTCACGTTTTTACCTTTCAGACATTGACGAATGTGAACGTAACCCTCTCCTTTGTAGGGGTGGCACCTGTGTGAACACTGAGGGCAGCTTTCAGTGTGACTGTCCATTGGGACACGAGCTGTCACCGTCACGTGAGGACTGTGTGGGTGAGTTTGTCTCCTCAGCACATGAACCCACCCAGCTCACCTGGTGAATATCATAGAGATCAGTGGTCAATTTTAACAAACTGGTTGTTTTTGGCATGTGCAATCTAGCTAGTTAAAAGTTGGAAATTTAGAACCCCTTTATTTGTATTCAGGTTGTGTCCTTAGAGAATGCCTCGGTGACACACTCGAAGCTGACATTGTCCTGGCTACCCACTGTTTGACAGCAAGCGTGCTCGTGGTGGGCCCTTTGGCAAGCCATGGAGTTCCTTCCTCCACAGAGAATGGAATGGGAAAGCTGTTGGTGGAAGGGCTGCTCCCTTGATGGCTCACCTGTGCGTTCACCTGTGCAGCTACCCACCATTCATTCAGTAGAGTCTGTTCTACACTCCTATGTCTGTCAACACGGGATCTGCTCCTGTGTGTGTGAACATGTGAGCTACCTCCTCACCCTCCTGTCACAGAAAAATCCTGGTCTCTTTGCTGGCAGAGCTGAGGGGTGAGAGTGGCAGGATTGAGGGGAGAACACCAGCTGGTCTTGCTGGTCTTGGAGCATTCCATCCCACTGCTTTTCATATGTATACGGAGGCCTCTGGGATTTGTGGGCGCGAGCATATTGGTTTTAAAACCTTGATGTAGCCAGGAAACATTTTCTTCACAGAAAATCTTTCTTGCAAGTGTCAGCAAATAAAACGGTTTAAAACAGAGCAGATGGCACACCCCCTCCATTCAAAAGAGACTTTGAGAACACCTTTCCATTAGACATGTATTTATTCATAAACCCTATTTATATTCTGCTAATATATTAGGTGAATCTTAAATCCTACACTAAACAGACATTTTTAAAAGGTAAATTGAAAAAGTCTTAAAGATTTTTTCTTAAAGATTTTATTTATTTGAAAAAGCCAAAGAGAGAGCATGAGCAGTGGGGAGGGGCAAAGGCAGAAGCAGAAGCAGAAGCAGACTCCCCATGAAACAGGGAGCTGGACATGGGGCTGGACCCCAGGACCCTGGGATCATAACCTGAGCTAAAGGCAAATGCTTAACTGACTGAGCCACCCAGGCACCCCTAAATATTTTTATTTCACTTTAAAAGGGGTACTAAAACTTTTTCATAGAGGTGATTACAGAATATTTGTTCATCTTTGTGATGCAGTGAATCAGAGAACTGTTTCTAACTTGAGTTTATTTTGTTAGTTTTCATGGATCCTATATTTGAAAAAAAAAGTACCCCTTACAGGTATATTATAGAAGATGCATATTTTTGCAAATTTAATGATCATAGATATAAATCCACATGTCACATAGTCTTATTGGTAATTTTGAGACTTTGAGATGAAGGTCTTATTTTACCTGATTATAGTGTTACTGTATTTACCTTACATTGTGTCTCACAAGTAGGTTGTATGCCCCTATTTTCTCGCTGTTCTCTTATAATTGCATTAATAGCACTACTTGATTCCACAGACCTTTGCAGAAGTTTTTATAAGGCACCTGCCTATCTTATAAGGGTTAGTTAGTTTTAGGTGTTCCAGATTCACCTATCGAGGCCCACTAAACACTGTAAGATGGAGACACATAAACAATGCAGGCCCTGGTATCAGGCCCTGTGACTTGGGGAACCAGCCATCTTCCCTCAGGATCCTCCACATTATGCAGGCAACTATTGACCATCTAATAAAGACCAGGTGAGCCTGCCAGTGTAAATTTATATATTAAATATTAGTAAGTCTTATTTTTGGCATGTGCTACATGTGCATGGTCTCGTGTTCACGACCCACATGTGGCTACTTAAATTTAATTAAAATTCGGTAACATTAAAAATTTAATTCCTGGGGCACCTGGCTGACTGAGTTGGTAAACCATGTGACTCTTGATTTTGGGTTTGTGAGTTTGAGCCCCATGTTGGGCAAAGAGAGGACTTAAAAAAATTAAAATTAAGTTTAAAAAATGTTTTTAAATTTCGATTGCTTCATCATTTGGTTCATGCTTCCAGTGCTCAGTGGCAGCTATGTATTAGATAGCAGAGATATGGAATAGTCCCATCAGTGTACAGAGTTCTCCTGGACAGTACCATCTTAGATAGAAATACAGATAGCAGTGTTTTCTTTGAACATCCCAGGAGATCATCTTCCTTCCTTGCAAAGTATGCAAACCACTGTGGGGACCAGCAGTGGCATGCAACATTTCTTGGTGCTTTAAGTGATGTGGTTACTGCCAAGACATTAACGTTATGTATCTTTTTATAGATATAAATGAATGCTCCCTGAGTGACAATCTCTGTAGAAATGGAAAATGTGTGAACATGATTGGAACCTATCAGTGCTCCTGTAATCCCGGGTACCAGGCCACGCCAGACCGGCAAGGCTGTACGGGTGAGCGTCCACCAGAGGGATCTACAACTTGCATTTCTAAAAATGAGTCTAGGACAGCTCCTGGCACTGAACTTACTGTAATGAAGCCAGTGGAAGTCCTTTGTCCGAAACAAAAATCTCATAATGGGGCAGAGCTGTAGGATGCCATTGTCCTTGGTTTTGCAGAGGAGTCTCTGGTTTTATCATGGAAAACATCCTAAACTTGTAATTACTGCATTTATGAGTTCTGTAATCTTGGGCTTCTGGGGCTACACGTCTGATAGAATGCTATCTGAAAGGAAGTAGAAAGAGCTAAGAAAGATCAGTGGTAGAAAGATAAACCAATGCATTAGTGGGGAGAGAAATCCAAAGCCATTTTAAGCATTATCTGTTTAAAGAGAAGAAAATCTCACTATTGTTTTTTTTTTTTTTTTGAAGGAAGTAGACCTGACAAGTAATGGGTCACATGTTGTTTTCACAGATATCGACGAGTGTATGATCATGAATGGAGGCTGCGACACGCGGTGCACGAACTCAGAAGGTAGCTATGAATGCAGCTGCAGCGAGGGCTATGCCCTGATGCCCGACGGGAGGTCGTGCGCAGGTACAGAATGGACTGGGGGGGGGGTGAACCATGCATAGCTCACTGCCGGTACCTCACAGAGCTCGCTCTAGATATCTAGAGTGGGCCTGGACGGGAAACGCAGTATTTGAGCTTACTCAAAGCCAGTGTCATTCTTACTTAATGCTAATCTTCTGTCATCAGATATTGACGAATGTGAAAATAATCCTGACATCTGTGATGGCGGCCAGTGTACCAACATTCCTGGGGAATATCGCTGTCTGTGTTATGATGGCTTCATGGCTTCAATGGACATGAAAACGTGCATTGGTGGGTGCCATAAAGACAGGATAAATGTTACGCATCTGTCTGCACACACACAAGTGCACATACATTTAAACATAAGAGAAAGAGGCTTTTTCAGTTACTTTAAAAATTTAAGCCACTGTATTACAGGGTGGGAAAGCTGAAACAGAAGAATTATTTGAACATAATTCTAGAAAATCATACTATGTCTTGCAAATAGATTATGTTTTAACTTTTATCTGTGTATTTCAATGTTATGCTCTTCAGTTTAAAAGAGAGCTTTCACATTCCTAGGATGAACAAGTATTAACCAAACTATTGAAAATAAATTTTCTAGATGTGAATGAGTGTGACTTAAATTCAAACATCTGCATGTTTGGGGAATGTGAGAACACCAAGGGATCCTTCATCTGCCACTGTCAGCTGGGTTATTCCGTGAAGAAGGGGACCACAGGATGCACAGGTAGGTCCCACACTAGGGCCCCCTGTTCTCTGGCTTCTCTTATTTCAGAGGTCAGCCTTCAACATCACGGGGTCCTTTGCACCTATGAGACCGTGACCCACACCAGGGGTGACCATGTGATGAGCACATGCCCCAAGGCATGTGTGCGGGGTTTGTCCCCTCTCTGGTGGCATAGTGCTTCAGCCACCCTGCCACAGAGCTGGCTGCTATCCGCCTGCAGACTGGGGGCAGGGCCCTGCCGTCCGGTTCCTTGTGTTTGCCGAGTAGTGGCTGCTCTTCGCACTGCTCTCTTTCTTAGGAGGCCCACTGCCCACACAGGAGACACAAGGAGAGAGCACCACAGACCCGGAGCCATTCCGCTTGTGGCTTGTTTTTGCAGCTCTTCTAACTGGGCGGAATTAGTGCAGACTTCTGTTTAGATCCTTTGACTTCCTCTCCCCCATCTTTTCCCCTCTTTTTTCCTCTTCTCTCTTTGCTTTTGCCCTCTCTTGCCTCGGCCCCAGTTGACCCTCTCTTTTATCTCTCCACTTTGCTCACCCCATCTACTTTGTCTCTTGTTACCTTTCTCTGTTAAATAAGTTGTGAGCTTTTGCATAAAACAGGCGGGGAAGTCCCAAGGTGAGCGCTTTGGACCACGTCTTCCTCATTGTTCAGTTTAAAGCCATCATTACCATTTTGCTCAAGACAGGTTGTGGGTGGCTTGGACCTCAGCCTGGTGCTTAACCTGACACCTTCAGAGACAGGCGGGTGAGGAAGAAGGGGTGCTCTGCATGTTCACCGCTAGGAAGGTTGATGCAAAGCCAGTCGCTCTGTGGGCATGTGTATGCACGCATGCGTGTACATGCATGTGTGTGAACATAGGATTGCAGCATCTATGATGTGTAATCATTGAACTGGGTGGAGAAGATTATTCTTTCTATTCTGGGAAGCTCTGGTGAGCCAAAGCTTCATAGTTCTTATGTACATATATGAACTATACATATATACATACATGTGCATATGCATATATAATGTGTATATATCTGTGTGTATGTATAGATGTGTGTTTATGTGGTGAAAGCTTCTCATTTTCCAGGTATAATTTCCAGTGGGTATTTTTACATATTCTCAAATAAAAGCTGAATACACACTAAAATGATAGTTTTCAAAAACTTTATACCTATACTGTATCCATTCTAAAAATGACAAGAATTATTACTTATTTTAAGTCAGGTTTATTTTAATCTTTATGAAAAACATGTAATAAATATTAATAGGAAAGAATAGGAGGGTCTTACTTTGGAAATGCAATTTCTTTTGACATCTTATAATCATGCCTTCCACATGGAGTTTTTTCTGGGCCCAGGCAGAGAGGGGAATGGGGACAGACACACGTATCTCCCTTGGGGGAGTCTCTCTCTTCTACCAGAAAGTGACTGGCAGTTTCCTCTAGTAGGGAAAGGCTTGTTTGACTTGGATCATGAACTTCCAAATCTTGTGGGCGCCTACAAAATTAAAAATGATGTTAGTGTTTTTTTTCCATACCAATTTAGGTATTTCCATGTTTACTTTAAAATTTTACCTGTGCAGAATTATACTTGGAAGTAGAATTAATGAGCTTTATATTTAATTTTCATCATATTAACTGTGGCTTCTCAGATGTTGACGAGTGTGAAATTGGTGCCCACAACTGTGACATGCATGCCTCCTGTCTCAACGTCCCGGGAAGCTTCAAGTGCAGCTGCAGAGAAGGCTGGGTTGGAAATGGCATCAAATGCATTGGTGAGTTTGCAAACATGAACAGCCTTTGCTAGGACACAAAATTCTTGGAGGCTTTTCTTTGCACAGTGGTTAACCCACGTACTTGAATAGGAACACGGTCTTGCCTTTCATTTATTCTCTTGAAAATTAAAGACTGTCTTTAGTTGCAAGGTAATTCCTGCCTAAGAGTTTCCTTTAACCTTGGCATAAATTATCACATCACAGCAGTATGCCTTGGCATCTGCTTTTTAATGTGTTGTTGTTCAGTAAAAATTATTTGATGTGTAGCCAGAAATCCAAACAGAATTATGATGAAAAATGACTTATGTATTTTTCCAGTCTTTTCATACAGCAATCAGTGAGACTTAGAACCCAGTGAAACACATGAAGGAAATGGAAAGGTTTTATCAGATAATCTGAGTCTATACCTGGTCAGTACCAGCTTCTTAGTAGAAAATAGAATTCTTCCAGAGAAAGCAAAAGGTTTTGCTGGATTCCAGGAGGTCTGATTGGGACAGAGGAGACTAGAAGGGCAGGTGCCATTCTGCAGGCTTTCAAGTTGCTGAGCTGGGGTCTCCTAAGTCTTTTCTAGCTAGAAGGTGGGGGCCTGGTTCTTCCCCTCACTGCCCCACATAGCGCTGCTTCCTATGCTCACTGTTGTGCATTCTTTACCAACAAAGCCCTGTTCCAACTGGTTAGAATTATCCAGGTCAACTTAAAACAGAAAATAAAACAAGCTCAACTGACTTCCCTAGGATTACTCACTAAAAGCTTATAAGCCAGCAGAAGGCATTGAAGAAGAGAGCCTTAAGATCTGTTAACAATAACATCACTTAATTGAAATATACTCTCTTGGCCATTCAGGTGTTTTATAGTTGCCTAATGTGTAGGAGCTGACTATGAATATAAATGATCATACTTTCCAAATAACTTTGCTAAGTAATGTTCTCTGATGGCATCATTCAGTTCACTAGCTACCCGCTTCTGGTCGAGCCATCATTGTTATCATTAATCTCATAGGTTTTTTTTCTTTTCTTTTCTTTTATCTTCTTTTCTTTTCTTTTCTTTTTTTTTTCAGCCATATCCCCATTCCTATTTTCTGGCCCTATGGGCTACTGGTTTCCTCTTTTCTAGCCTTCCTTTTTTGTGCTCGTCCATCCATCACTCTGGCCAACTATTGCAAAATGCAAAAGATTTGACTGTGTCCAGGTACTTTTACTCCAAAACATCATCCAAATTCATTCTCTTCTTTCCATCTCCATCCCTCTGCTCTAATCTCAGCCATTCTCCCTCCTCCCATCTCTCTCTGTCCCTTCCTCTCTCTGTTGGAGGCAAAAGGAACATCCTCATAGTCTTCTTATTGCCTTGTTGGTCCCATAATCCATTCTCTGCATAGCAGCCGGAGAGATCTCAACCCATGAATTTGATCTCTTTACAATTGTCATCTGAATCCTCAAATTGAGGATAAAATGTAGCTTCCTTCCTGTGGTTTACAAGATCCTGTAGTCTCCTCCCATAGCTCTCCAGCTTCAGCTTTCATCAGCCCCAGCTCCTACGTTCTATTTTATCACTCTGGCTCCCTTGGTGTCTTTTATCACATTGAGATCTTTTCTGCCTTAGCATCTCTAAATATGCTATTCCCTCGGGAAGGAATACCTTTCCTTGCTTCCAGGCAACAGGCTGACTCATCATTCCAGTGTGAAGTTCACTGAGAACTCCCTCCCCAGTGGGACCTTCCTTGTTCCTACAGACCGAACAAGAGGCCCATTTTATTCCCTTTTTTCCATGGGACATACAACATGTTTGACATAATCAGTATTTCTGTGTTTAGCATGTTTCATTTTTACTAGACTAGACCCTGTGAGATCAAGAATTCGATCTTAGTTTCCTCATCTGTTCAAGGAGCTTGAAAATTCTTTGCTAATTTTTCTGCTTTGAAATTCGGTTCCTGAATTTAGACTTTGACACTTTTTTCAGGATAAAGGAACCAGTGATCACATCTGTGCCCGGTAGGATTCAAAAGGAAATCTAGCACCAGTTTAGCTTTTAACCATTAAAATTCTAGCTTATTAGATATCTCACAAATATTTTTGTTAATCATTATAGCCCCTGTTTATAGAGCTAACATTTTGGATTGTGGGTCTGAGATCCTAGAGAATTAGAATTGTGACCTTCATGTAAACTGAAACAAATCCTATCTGTCCACTATACACTTAAATTAAGACAAATGAAAATCTGTCTGTGTGTTTTAATGTCCCATTTTTGTTTTTGAACTTGATCACTCTCTTCTCTTGGCATGCAGATCTGGACGAATGTTCTAACGGAACCCACCAGTGTAGCATCAATGCTCAGTGTGTAAATACCCCGGGCTCCTACCGATGTGCCTGCTCTGAAGGGTTCACTGGAGATGGCTTTACCTGCTCAGGTGGGTGAGAGTCCTCAGGTGTGCTCTGGCATGGTTTTCGTGGAACACTCCCTAAGCTTGCCCTCTTTGAAGAAAACTGTAGTTAAGGTGGGGGGGGGATTCCATTCCGATTTTTATCACTAAAGGAATGACATAAGGGAAAACTATTCAGTGTCTTAAGATACAATATACATTCCACCCAGTCACTGCTAGTTCATGTGTTCCTCAGAATCTCAGGTCATCAGACTGTGTTGAAAAGATGAAATGAAATCACACAAGTGAAGGGGTTAGGAAAACACTTCCTAAGAGTTCAGTAAATATTAGCTGCTACTGAGCTGCTCTTTGTTTTGCATTCCTTGAGAATAAGACATTTCTTCTTACACGCCTGTGAATGACTGCATCATCTTGCTGGACATAAAGTATGACACTTTTAAGATTGTGGAGATTGGTATTCCTCAGTTGAATTTCAGCACACACTTTAAACCCCCAGTTAAAAGACAGACTCTTAATTTTGTTCTATTTATTGACTTCAAAAACACCAACTCATCATTTTCAGATGCTTCTTTAAGAAAACATGCTTATTTAATATTTAAAGCCTCATTACTCTTCAGCCTTGACTTATTGCCACTTTGGTTGCATTTCTCGGCAACTGGTTGTGAACAACAGGGCGAAGCCTTGACAGGAGCGCAGCTACACTTAAGATGGCGGCCCAGCCACAGGGGCTGCACGGAGCCTCCCATTCCGCCTCTTCTTCTTTTTATTTATTTATTTTTAATATTTTATTTATTTGACAGACAGAGATTATAAGTAGGCAGAGAAGCAGGCATGGGGCCGGGGGGCGGGGGGAACCTCTGCTCCCTGCGGAGCAGACAGCCTGTTGTGGGGCTTAATCCCAGGACCATGAGATCAGGACCTGAGCTGAAGGCAGAGGCTTAACCCACTGAGTCACCCAGGCGCCCCCTGTTCCTCCTCTTCTGACCCGCACAGGGGTGGTGAACTAATAAACAAAACCACGCACAACAGGCAGCTAGCACTCGACCTGGCAGATGTTAGCCCTCCATCCAGTTGCTTTCTGCACTACCCCTTTTTCCATTGGATAGGATTAAACAAATTGCCTGGTCTCTGATTCCTGCTCATTTGCATAATTAAGAGAGAAGTATTTTAATACAATCATAGTGATGTGAAAAAAGCTCTCATATAGTAGTTAGACATACTTGAACTAGTTACAAAACAAGTTGTTAGTTCACTTGAAAGCATTATAATCTTAGGCACCCTTTCAAGATTGATTTCTGTGTTCTCAGTCATCTGTCAGTGGTGTTGGTATAATACTGACGCATCGAGGTGGCCTGACAAAGAACAAAGTTCCGAGAGATACCTGCCTTCTTCCTGTTAATCGGGCAATAATTGAATTCAGGGTTTAGGTTAAACAGCTCTGTTAGCAAGTTGTACACTTTTGTTTAGGGGAATGTGACTGAGTGTTGTGCTATGTCCATGAGCGTCCGCTCCAGCCAGTAATGTTGACTTGGTTTTAGAGCAAGAAGAAGCCATGTCCCAACAAGGGGAACTTAATAGAGATGTCATTCACTTCTCCCACAGATGTCGATGAGTGCGCAGAAAACATCAACCTCTGTGAAAACGGGCAGTGCCTCAACGTCCCGGGTGCCTATCGCTGCGAGTGTGAGATGGGCTTCACGCCAGCCTCCGACAGCAGGTCCTGCCAAGGTGGGTCCCTCCGACTCCAGCTCATTTCCAAGCTGGATCGGCTACAGCACTTGAAACCACAAAAAGGGCTGGAACGGGTTCCACCTGGAAGCAGAATACACAGCACATGCTGCACATATAAAAGTCATTTGTTTAAGCATGGATTATTCTGCAGAATGAATAATGATGAAGGTGGCTTTCATCTCTTATGAAGTTTTCCTGGCCAAGAGCCAGCAGTTGGAAGTTTGGCTCATTCCTTTTTTTGTTTTTTTCTTTTTAACCATTTCTTTTTTTTTCTTTTTCCTTTTTTTTTATTACTAAATGAACAACATGTGGAAAAACTATTCAGCTTTTTAAAACTAGGAGATACTATCTCCCCTAGTCACTGCTACGTAATGTGTTTATGAAAACCTCAGTAGCTTGTGTTGGGCATTTATCTTCATGTTTTAGTGTGCTGTCTGTCTGCAACTGGAAGTCCTCCTCGGAGACTCATCAAGGCCTGCACCTTTTGCCTAAGAACAGTGTGTCCTTCCCTTAAGTGGTGACATCATCCCTCTTTCCTAGAAATGGGACTTGTGACTAGTGTGATAGCTCTCCAAGAAAAAGAATGTGGATTTTCTCTTAGAGACTCAATTCGCTTTGGCATATAGTGTGGGCCATCACTGTGTTCGTGTGGAGTACATGAAATACACATGAGGAAAGGAAAAAGATTAAAAATAATTAATGAACCAGAAGGCTTTAACAAAACTAATGATTCATAGAAAACCTTTAAAAAAAGTAACTCGGGCTAAGTGCTGGGCAAAGATTATAAAATGAAACCAAGATTACTGGCTCTCCCTATGCTGGTGTCTAATCACATGAACAGAAATAGCAAGTACCAGCATACATGCACACGCACAGCTCACCAGTGTTGACCAGACAAAAACAAAGCCTACAATCTAGAATGGCTCTGAGTAGAGCCTATATCCATCTCTCTGCTTGAAGTGGTATTGAAGAAAGATGTACCTAAAAGGTTATGGAAGTTTTAATACATATCCACCAATTTTTAGAGACTCGGACCAAGAGAATGAGTAGTAAACCCTGGGGAAGATGATACTAGAAACTGAAAGCATTCATGCTTCGATACTGACCTGTTAGACTGAGCTGAATCTAATGCATTTCATACAAGTCCATTGTAAAGTAAACTTCATTTTTTTTTTCCCCTAGTCCTGGTTTCTTGTAAGCACCAAAGCTAATTAATAGAAAATGTGAGTCAGTGTGGTTTTGGAATTACATGATTTATTACTCATTTCAGCTTGACAAGAGTTGGTGGGAAAAGGAACAAGTCAGCAGTAGCCAGATACTTTAGCCAATGTAAAATTTCAAAAAAATTAATTCTTAGTGCCTAATAATTTCCCCCTTCATAATCCTATTCCTTTATCTGTGGGCTTGGCCCTTCTAGAACTTCGCCCCAGGCCTTCGGTGAGGTAAGGTAGTGCATGTTCATTGTACTTGGTTCATATTTTGGTTTTTCACAGTGTATCATTGCCAGGGAGGGAAACACCTCTTGCCAGGACAACAGAGAAAGGCCCACAAGTCGTTCATCCTCAGTGAGACCCTGCTCCGCTTAGCTAAATACCAAATTTTGAGATCCCAAAATGTAATTCCATGGTTCTGCCTCTTTCTACTTGATGTCATCTTATCTCTCCCTACAAGATTGGCCTCGTCTAGACAGTTTTTCCTGTATTCGCTAATTGGTTACTTGAGGCCTTCCCATCTGATTATAAGTATGTGCCCCTCTGAATTGACTTTCTGACCAACATTTTCCACTCAGCCTTTGCTTCTCACCACAAATTCTCAGAATTTCTTTTTTTTTTTTTAAGATTTTATTTATTTATTTGACAGATCACAAGTAGGCAGAGAGGCAGGCGGGGTGGGGGAGGAAGCAGGCTCCCCGTTGAACAAAGAGCCCAATGCGGGTCCCAGGACCCCGGGAACAAGACCCGAGCCGAATGCAGAGGCTTTAACCCACTGAGCCACCCAGGTGCCCCAGATTCTCAGAATTTCTGTAGAGCCCAAAAAGTTGCTGCAGTTGGCCATTTCCCAATATTCTCTACCAAAATGGGAGAATACAAAACCCGGAGGAAGCTCCTCAGGGACAGGTTAGGACTCCATCAATGGAGTAAACATAGATATAGACCATTTGGTGTCATGTACGAAGAGAGAAGAGAGGCCAGGTTCATCAGCGGAAGAGCACACAGCACCCAGGGCAGCTCTTCCAATTTTTGTCCCCACCCCTTCCTCACCTTAGGCTAACCTAAGAGCAGCTTTAATGAAATCCATACCCCAGCTTGTCTTCCAAATAATGCCCAGATAAAGAGGGAGTGGAAATGTCTAGACACTCTACCGGAGTATGTAAGAACTCATAAAAGGGCTGACCAAGTAGCGTGTCCACAAGTTGAAAATAAGCAGTGGCAAGCCTGCAGGTGTCTTGTGGAACAGCAGTGAAAGCACACACCAAAAGGAAAGAACCAACCCAGAGAAGAAGAAAACCACCCAAGGAATGGAAGCAAATTTTCCACAGGTACTTTGTGCCATAGATGACCTTAATGTGAGCCTAAATATGAGTGAACAAGATCAAAGAGATTATAAAAACAAGAAAAGACAAAAGGCAGAAGGGGAAATTGTAGAGCTTTGGGAAACAGCAAAATCAGAGACCTATTCAATAGACACAGCAGAGAACAGAAAAGATAGCAGTAAAAACATAATGACCAGCATAGAGAATGGACAAAAAGAGGTGGACAAAAAAGTCGGAACAAGAAAGGGGGAAGAGCTTAACACTATGAGAGAAAAGACAAAGACCACAAATGGAAGTATAATCAGTGTCTCTGAAGAGGAGAGCCCAAAATAAATGACCAGAAAAAGTACTGAACGTCCAGACATTTCCCTGAAGTGGAAGAAAGTGCTGAATGTTAGAGAAAAAGGTAAATCCAAGACCAGAGATTTAGCCCTCTTACTTTTGTTCACTTAAGCCCTCAAGAAGGATTCTTTAGGCTCTAGATGGAGAAGGAACATCATGAACAAAACCAAAACATTCAATACCAGAAGACACAGAAAGAGGACCACAAAATCCTGAGGACACATGAGAGGATTTTCTACCTCAGCAGTTAGTCAGTTATGAAAACAAAAGGCAGAAATATTCTCATACGTGAAATAATGCACAGAGAAAACACCTGTGGGCCCTCCCTTCTTGGGTAACTAAAAAACTTAGAAGTGCAACACAACCATTCGAGAGAGAAATCTAAGAGTTGCAGTAAAAGGCTAACTGATTCCTTTAAGAATCAACACTAGATGCTTCAGAAATAACATTTAAAAGTGAAAATTACAGAACAAAAAGAAGTTGGAAGCATATGTGAATGCTAATTTTTTTTAAAAATTTTATGTATTCAACAGAGACAGAAGGGACCACAAGCAGGGGGAGAGGGCGTGGGAGAAGACTCCCTGCTCGATGTGGGGATCCACCCCAGACACAAGGATCATGACCTGACCCGAAGGCAGAGGCCTAACAACTGAGACACCCAGGCACCCCTAAACGCTAATTTTCTTATCATTCATGGCACAGAAGCCATTAATACTGTCTCAAAATTATATTTGAATTTTAATATAAGGGGAAAAGAGCATCATCTTTTAGTGTTTTTTATCAACTCTTAACATTAGAAAGTATCTCAGAAACTACGGAAATAAATACAAATTGATCTTCTGCATAGAAATTGTTTCAGCTTCACTCTGTGACTGTGGCTAGAGCAGTATTTGGAATGATGTTCATCAATGACAGTTCCTTCTCGGTGGATGGATTTCTGAGTGTGATTTTCTGCTTTTTCCACCTTATTTGTGTATTATTTTCTTGGTTTTCAATTTGCTGTCAACACTTTTCTGTATTGTTTGAATTTCTGAGTATGCATCAATTTAAATAAAAACAAGACAGTATTTTGAAATACCTTCACTTGTGTAAGTGTAAGTATACCCAATATTACATTATTTAAATGGAAGTTATTTCTAATAAAGTTCATTTAGAAGTAAAATGCATATGAAGAGAGCTGATAGTACAGTTCCATTTTCACTTCTAGAGTAACAGTATTAAATCATAGACTAGTTTAATGAGTCTGATTCATTTGTATAAAGAGAGTAACTGTCTTTATAGCCTCACCACAAAAAAAGACACATTAATACATCAGTTGATTTTTTTTTTTTCCCCAACAATTTATTTCTCTTTACATTAGCAGTATAAGCTCACTAATGATAAGCTGGACTGGCAGAAAAATGAAATTCCATCAGTTGATCTTTTAAACAAAGTTTGGACCACACTTGAAATTTAATATAGTTGGAACTCATTATTCTTTAACTATGATGAACAACCAGCAGAACTTTTTAAACTTCATACCTAACTGTCTCTAGACAGCATGTTAGCATGACTGGTCTCATCTGGCCTAAAATGACATGCCTGCCCTGCCTTCTCAGAGTATGAGGGCATTTGTGTACAGAAATGTCCATCTTCTTCCTGCAAGTAGAAATATAGGTTATGACTACAGCTGGACACATACCTATATGTCTTCATTTTCATATGCATGAGGAAGGTAACTTTTCCCTTACTGATTAAATTAAAGCTTCATGGAAGAGTTTCATAAACGGAATTTATGTCTTCAATTCATTGGAGACATTTTAATGAAATTTGTGAGAACATAGAGCAATGGTTGATCTTATTATATGCTATTAGAAAAAAATACTTCCCTATTTAAAACTAAGTTTATGGTAACAGATTAGACTGTAGAATAAAAAAAGTGTTTTTAAAAAAGTTAAATAATTTTAATGTTATCTTTAATATTTAAAATATGTTCTATACTTTGTATGTTGTGGATGTTTAGAAGACATGTTTGTACTAAGTTAGTAGAATCTTGGAATTTATTTTCATGTTTGGTTTTTCACAGTCTCATTCCAAATATGACATGTTCATATTTAGTTTTTTTATTTTTATGCCTTAGGCAAATTCTTTCTTTTTTAAAGTATAGTATAACCCAAGACAGTTAAAATGCTCAGTAAAATAAAATATTTCTTTTAGACCTTTTTGTTCCATAGATGAACATTAGTTGTTGCCATTTCTGCGGTCTACCTAGTCAAAGAAAAAGAAAATTCTTTACTACATAAAAACATCTGGGGATATAGAAAAATTTATTAATGTGATAAAAATTAAATCAAAATGTTTTTGTACATAAGAGATTATTATTTTTTTTAATCCTCAGATATTGATGAATGCTCCTTCCAAAATATTTGTGTGTTTGGAACATGTAATAATTTGCCTGGAATGTTTCATTGTATCTGTGATGATGGTTATGAATTGGACAGAACCGGAGGGAACTGCACAGGTATGGCCAGTAAAGGGCTTGATCGTGTTCTTACTAGTTGAGGTGAATATTTTATGCTAAGTATAAAAATTCTTCAAATTTCTGCTCAGCCCTCTGCTTAGCCTGCTTTATACTTCATGTTATGTATTTTTTTTGGAAAAAAATTGTATTCCGACACACTTACTTTTAACTGTGGGATTGATACATTTTATGTAAATAACTTAGTATTAAATATCTAACATGAAACTAGGAAAATGTTTCTTTGTATAAATGTGTGCATGTGTATGTACATAAATACATATATCATTTAAGCAGATGGTGACATTTTTTTCTTCTTCAGCATCCCAACATCTAATTATTATTAATAAGTTAAAGGATACTGTCCTGAATACCATGTGGTTGATCTGTAGAACCTGTTGTAGATCTGTCCAAGGATTTGATCTCTGTTTCACTGTGCTGAGGCCTGCCCAGAGATCTTTAATCACTTGCAAAGATTCTGCCAAATTTGTGGAGATCGCAGTGTGCAGAGAAAAAGTAAAGATGTTGATGTGGGCATTTTAAATGCTTTTCCTAGATATTGATGAGTGTGCAGATCCCATAAACTGTGTGAATGGCCTATGTGTCAACACTCCTGGTCGCTATGAGTGTAACTGCCCCCCGGATTTCCAGCTGAACCCCACTGGTGTGGGTTGTGTTGGTAAGTGAAACAAAACTATATAGAGTTAAATATTCACACTTTTATGGTAATGCACTGTGGTGAGTATTTGCTGTAATTAATTTGAAAACAAAATAGTCCTTTCCCTTAACAGACTCAGATTACCAATATGTATGGTTACTCGTGTTTTGTTTATCTTCCAAGACAAAGAGAGGAGTCGGAAAAGGAGTGACAGCCTAGATAGCAAAGTGGCTTTCAACCCAAGCTGCACAGTCAAATCCCATTTGGAAATGCCAAAATCTACTGATGCCTACTTCATGTCCAGAAATTGAGTCATTGTCATTTAAGTAATACTGAGTCCTCAGTATGACTTAAAAACTTTGTTGGAGCAAAGGCTATGAACAGGCAGCTGATAAAAGAGAGTACTGCAAAATGAACAAAGACAATGAGCAAAATGATCAAAGTCTTTAGTAATAAGAATAAATCAAAACACCTGTATAACTATCACTTTATGCCTAACACACTGACAAAACTTTGGCAACCTGGTTGGTGTAAAGTATTGGTAGGAGCATGGACCTCAAGGAGCGCTCTCTTCTCCTGGTAGAAGTAAAGATCAGGGTAGCTTTGCAGAGAAGATTCTTGGAGAACAGTACCCAGATTAACTGTCAGCATATCATCAATTTAGGTTTTGAGTTTCTTAGTAGAGCAGTTCTGTCTTTGTGTGGTTTGATATTTAATGGCCTTATTTTTTCTCAGAGGTCTTCCAAAGAATGGAGGCTCATTCTATCTTAAAAGTACCATAATGGCCCGTTAGACCCTCCTCTAAGTCTAAGATGCAATATGAGATATTGATGATCTTGTTTTCCCTTTGTCCTAAAATTTTTTGCCATTTTATTATTTTAGGTTTTATTTCATCATTACTCACCAGTTAGGTCCAATGATGCTAAAAACAAAGATGAAAATAATAAAGTGGAAAATCATGCCATCACCTAGAAGGATTGATATAATAGTGAAAAAAATTCCACCATTTCATAATCTTCAGTTTTCTTACTGTGTTGTTCCTGGGGTGGCATCATCTTCCAAGAAGGTATAAAAGAACATTGGAGTCACTAATTTTGGAATCTTTAGGCACCTGTTGAACACAGTTGAGAGTTCAGAAGTTTTCACTTTCTGGCCATGGGCAAGAAAAAGAAAATAGGGCGTGAAAAACATTTCCCAGTTGTCAGGTGGATCGGGAGATGGATCGGGAGATGAATGCAACATAGACTCCAGTCTAGATTCTAACGATGGTGGAATTAATCATAGAAGCCAAATGCCAGGCTGCAAGTCTTCAGAGACCAACATCCTAGATGAGATTTTTCAAATTCAAGAATCAAAGAGTGAGTGAATAGTAGACCTCTGTAGACACAGGAAATACGATCTTCTCATCTCTTAGTAGGAAGAACCTCAACATGCAGTATTTAACAAGTACTTGAGTCATTCCTCTTATTCTTTTATATCCCAAATTTAATTGACGCAGGTAAAATGTACATGTATTTAGGCAAAGGTTATTAAAACAAAATGTGGCATGTAGAAAGATCACTGAGCTGACTATCCTAACTGGTGTTGATAAATCCAAAAGTGATTTTTTTTAATTTATGGAGCAAAGAAAATAGCTGTCCTCTCATCACCAAAGTGAGGAGCTGTCACAGTTTCCAAAAATGTCTTCAGCATTGTGTTTTAATGATGCAAGAAAAAGAACAAGAAGTAATGATAAGCTAGAAGCTATTATAGATGTGTTTGAAATGTGTAATCAGTTTTTACAAAGTGGATATGTTTCAGGTTCATGCATGGCAGCCGATGGGCAGGTAATTGTGTTCATAGGACCATCTCAGTCATGTATCTCTCCAAAACCAAGAAAATCTGGAACAAAAATTTGAATTAGAGATGATTAGGTTGTTACTAGAATTTCTAGTAAAGTTGTTTCACTGTGCTTTTTTTTTTCCTGTGAATTATTTTCTAAGTTATTAAAAAAATTGAAAACTTCCATTTGATGCAGATGGTAAATGCCAGTGACTGTATTTCCTGATACCGAGGGCTAAGAACATGGAAACTGTGAACCAGCAGTTTCTCCGTTGGCTCTAGGTGGCAAAGAAAGAAACTGACAGGCCCATTCACAGACATGGGTAAAGACATTGACTGCTACAGTACTGGTGGTAGCATGGACTTCAAAATCATTTCTGGAGAGTAGATAGATTGAAAAAGAATGACAATTGGCCACCCTGTAGAGCTGACAGATTGCATGTAATAAAAACGGAATGAGACCTATGACAAAATACCATTTATGGAAATTTAAAATGTGCTCTTGGAAACCAAAATGCTCATTTTACAAGAACACAGACATAAAGTTATTATTAGACACATTCAGATGGTTGGTTAGAGGACAAGGAAAAGTGAGAGAGCGGAGGAAGGGCAGGAGGAAGCATGAATGCATGCAAACCTAGTAAGAGCAGGACCAAGGCTTAGTTCACCTCTCTGTACCTGCGATTAAGCAACAAAAACAAGAAAGAAAGAAAGAAAAAGAAAGAAAGAAAGAAAGAAAGAAATTAATTAAAGGCTTTCCAAGTGATTCTCATGAGCAATCAGGTATGAAAGCTACATTGTAGGCCATACTGAGGACTTGAGATTATACTCTTGACTGAGAAGGTAAGCCATTGGAAGTACTTCTGAAGGGTTACTGTGGGTATGGGGTTGGGGGGCTGTCAGCTGTCATCAGGTCAAGGACTGAAGTCAAGAGTTGAGTTAGGAAACCATTGCAGTGGTCCAGGAGAGAGGTGGCAGTGGCTTGGTTCAGACTGTGGTGATGGGGGCAGTGGAGAGGTCACATTTCAGATATGGAAGTGACTGACTTTATTACTAGATTGAATACGGGATGACAGTAAGGAGTCAAAGACTGACTCCAAGGTTTAGGGCCTGAGCAACTGAAAAAAATGGAGCTGTATTTATTGAAAATGCCAAAGACCCAAGAGAGGAGTGGAGTACGTTTTATATGTGGAAGAAGGAGGATCAAGAGTTTGATTTTGCTGAGTGAAATAAGTAAAGCAGAGAGAGTCAATTATCATATGATTTCACTTATTTGTGGAGCATAACAAATAGCATGGAGGACAAGGGGAGTTAGAGAGGAGAAGGGAGTTGAGGGAAGATGGGGAGATGAATCATGAGAGACTATGGACTCTGAAAAACAATCTGAGGGTTTTGAAGGGGCGGGGGGTGGGAGGTTGGGGGAACCAGGTGGTGGGTATTGGAGAGGGCACGGATTGCATGGAGCGCTGGGTGTGGTGCAAAAACAATGAATACTGTTATTACACTGAAAATAAATTTAAAAATTTTTTAAAAAAGAAATTAAAAAAAAAAGTTTGATTTTAGATGAGTTAACTTTAAAGCAACTATTGGATATCTAAGGGGAGAAATCAAACAGACAGCTGGCAGAACAGCCTAGGGTTCTGGGAAGAGATGAAAAACAGAAATGTTAATTTGAGAGTTCTGAGCAAAAACATAGGATTTGAAGTTATGGAACTAATGATCTAGATGATAATTATGGATCGAGAGCAGGGAAAGACTGAAATTCTTTGATGTCTTAAGTATCCTCTCTAAAGTTGTTACTGACTGCGTTGCCCAAAATTCTCAAAGGTCTCTGTGCAAACTGAACTGAAACCGGATAATGGGGAGGGAAGAAAGGAGATGGGGTTATCGATATTTCTTTGATAGGATACACAGCTTTAAGGTGACTTCTCTGGGATTTTATTTCCATTTTGATAAATTCATGATACTGATTGATTATGACAAAAATTTCTTTCATTCCTATTAGTGAAGATCCAGAAGTTCCCCAAATGAGCAGTTTCTCATCATCTTGTTTAGTCTGTGATCTGTATTGATCTCTAAATATAGGAAAGTCCCATTTTTACTCATTCCTACAACACAATCTTGAAAAGGTTTAAAAGCAAGAGATTGTTTTGTGTGAGAGGTGAAGATGAACATTTCACATTCATGTGTAGAATCAGAATTTCATCCTTTGCATTGCCTCTCCCCAAAAAGGCATTCTTACTAAGATTTAAGCTCCTGTGTTGCTCTGCAGACAACCGAGTGGGCAACTGCTACCTGAAGTTCGGGCCTCGAGGAGACGGGAGTCTGTCCTGCAACACTGAGATCGGGGTTGGCGTGAGCCGCTCCTCCTGCTGCTGCTCCTTGGGGAAGGCCTGGGGGAACCCCTGCGAGACGTGTCCCCCTGTCAATAGCAGTGAGTAGGGCTCCACATAGGAGCCAGAGAACAAAGTGGCTGCTAAAGACTCACTCATTTTCTTCTTGTGCTGGGGGAGGGGCAAGAGGGGAAGACTGTGACCTTGGGCTGCTTTCAGGGATGATGCTGGAACCAGCCAAGAGGGTTTGATACAAAAGGAATTGGAAATGCTCTCTTTTTAATGTTTTTCATGATATGATAAAAAGAAAAAACAATTGTTAACCCCATTCCAGTGTGAATGGTGGCATTGTCAGTCCTCCTTGGGATCACAAAGATCATTCCTGGTTCTTCTCAGGGATTGTTGTAGTTCGGGTTCCTACACGTGTTGTACTCCTCAAGTCTGTCGACTGTCTGCAGCTGAAATGTGTGTTCTTAGATAGACACCCACGAAACTTGGGAATGGTTGAATCAGTTTATTAACTAACCAAAAAAGTTGTGTATTAAACTTTGTGTTTTAGAAGCTTTTTTCTTTAGCCAAAAACACATGGTTTTTGTTATTCTATTGTATGTGTAACTTGTGAAGTAGTGACCTTACTTCAAGTAAACTGTAATAAAGACTTAAATGTATTTGAAAGGGCACTAGAGAATAGAGTTTACTCCTCTTAGAGTGTGTTTTGAGTCTGGCAACTGCAAAATGCTTCTTCATTGTCTCAGCCCCTTGAACACTGGTGTCAAATCTCTTCTCTCCCATTGTTTTGTAGCTGAGTATTACACTCTGTGTCCTGGAGGTGAGGGCTTCAGACCCAACCCCATCACAATCATCTTAGAAGGTAAGTGCACCTCTAATTGTCATCCAGATTTAAACAATATAAAGAGAAAATCTGGCAGAAAAGTTAGTGTGGGGCAATCTAAATAAGATTATTTTGCAAAATGACAGTGGGACAGCGGGTTACCAGGTTGCTGAAGAACCACTGGTAACTGGGAAAGATAGGACAGTGATTGGATGTCTGATTGCTCTGCAGAGAAACTCTCATCCCCAGCTTGCTTTAACCAGTCTTCTTGGGTTTTAGCAAATTTGCATGACAAAGCAAATTATCCATGGTCAGAAGAAACCTAAGGAATGGAAGTCTCTGCGGGTCATACAGCATCACACATTGGAGGGCTCTAGCAGAAACCTTGATGGTGGTACTTGCTGTGAGTGAGCTGTCTGTCCTTCCGCAGATATCGATGAATGCCAGGAGTTACCAGGTCTCTGCCAGGGTGGAAACTGCATCAACACTTTTGGAAGCTTCCAGTGCGAGTGCCCGCAAGGCTACTACCTCAGCGAGGAGACCCGCATCTGTGAAGGTGAGCTGCATGGACACCTTCAAGTTGTTAGCACTCTTTAGAACACAGTTACTGTTAGCCTCATTCATAACTTTTATCTTGTCCTAGCCATGCTGCTCAGTTGTACAGTAAGAGATAAATTAATTTACAGCTTAAATGCTATAATTTACTGCGATTTTTCTCTGAGTGCATGGATTGATTATAAATGGGGAAAGCTGGATTCATGTGAAAACATCAGTATCAAATGAATTATTATCTCAAATATGAATAAGAGTTCTATTTTACATACAGAAAATAGGTAAACTAGGATGCAACTACTAAGTTACTAATTTTCAGTAATTTTTAAATGTCAGGAGGCATCATATGAAGACATTCAAAGATGATGCTGATGCCTTTCTTGCTTCCATCCCCTCACTTCTCTGTCTCCTGCTAGACAGGGAGCTTCTTGACGTAAGGTCCACATCTTAGTTGTCTTTCTAGCTGCAGGTTCTAACTTACAGAAGACTCTTGGGGGTTATTTATGGAAGGAATGAATAAGTTTTTCTAAAAATGAACATTAAACGTGCAAATATAATTTTTTCCATTATAACCTTTTCTTTAGAACACATTAGATAAATGTTTCTAGAAGAAATGTGGTTTGGTAAGGAGAATAACCAGCAGCTCCACTCCTAGAATCCCTGAGTGGCTGCTACTTTGAAGGGAGCTATGCAGAGTAAGACTTTCCTCCGAATCAGACCTATAACTACAGGGAATAAACTGATGGTTGCCAGAGGGGGTTAGCATGATGGGTGAAGGGGAGAGGGAGGTGCAGGCTTCCAGTTACAGAATGAAGAGGTCATGGAATGAATCACACAGCATAAGGAATATGATCACTGATATTGAAATAGTGATGGAACAGGGCAGACAGTAGCTTTGTTTGTCGTGAGCACGGCATAACATATGAACTTGTCCAATCACTGAGTGGTACAGCTGAAACTAATGTGATGATGTATGTCAACTCCTCTCAAATTTATGAAAAAGATAAAGGCTTTCCTAACTACCTTCAGTTTAAAGTCAGCATTAAACTTTAGTTTAAATGACAGAAGAGGACAGCAAGCATTATAACACTTCCATTTGAAAAATGTGAAATTTCAATTAAAAAATTATGAGTGCCTGTAGACCCAGGGTGATCAGCGCCTAGTCACACAGGTGGGCACTCTGTGCAAGGGTGTTGGGATGGGGGGGGCAGGAATATGGGTGCCTTTCATATTATTTTTGCCACTTCAGAAAAAGTTTCTTCTGATCACCTCGATTTTTGAATATTGACTTTTTTTTTTTCTTTTAAAAAAAGACATACTTTGTGTCAGGTAAGTGCATATTTTGGGGTCTTTTCTGTAGAACTGCTTTAAATTCTAAATTTTTTTAAAATATGGATTTAGGGAATCAGCCATATGTTTTGTTTAGTAGCTTAAATGTTGTAAATTCATGATACAATAGCGTATGACTTGATGTGCCTCCTTGCCTATTGTAGATATCGACGAGTGTTTCGCACACCCCGGCGTGTGCGGGCCTGGGACATGCTACAACACACTGGGGAATTACACCTGCATCTGTCCGCCTGAGTACATGCAGGTCAATGGAGGCCACAACTGCATGGGTACGTGAGGCCTTGGACAGGGGTGAGGTCATATGCTCGCGCACTCAGGACTCAGTAGGATTGTTCAGAAAGTTTGGAAATTTAAGTATTTATGAATGATGAAGTATTCCACAGGCTTATAAAATTGTGGCTCTGCATCATTTGTTTGGGCTTGAGATATATATTTCCATGGTCCAAAGCCCAAGTCTGAGACACAAAATGTCATCCAATGTGACACTTACCTATTCCTAAATAATTTGTTTTCCATTCATGTCAGGGGAACATTATTTTACAAACAAGAGAACATTTAAAATTTAATAATTGTATTACTTTAAAATTAAATCAGTGCCTTTGAGTAGAGAAATGAGTATCTGTTCATTTTGTTTGCCAAGAAAATTATAAATGGAAATTGCTTATCTGAAAATGGGAGAGATTGAGGTTAATCTATGCATGATTTATGTTCAACTTAAAGGATTATTTTAAGTTGCCTCCACATGGCTAAAAAGTACTTCGGAGTTATTAATCAAGAAAGCTTGGTGTCTCCAGGTACATGGATTTCATTAGTAGCTGCTTCCTGCTCTGACTGGTGGGCTTGTTTTTCTGTTACATAGACATGCGAAAAAGCTTTTGCTACCGAAGCTATAACGGAACCACTTGTGAGAACGAACTGCCTTTTAATGTGACAAAGAGGATGTGCTGCTGCACGTACAATGTGGGCAAAGCCTGGAACAAACCGTGCGAGCCGTGCCCGACCCCAGGAACAGGTAAGCGCATAGCCGAGCTGCTGCTGCAGGCCCAGCTGGTGACACGTGTGTGTGACAGCTGAGTCCAAGCCACTGTGTGCTAAAACCAGACATGTTCGGTTCTGAGAATACCCAAGGGCACCATAGGTCATAGGATGCCATGTCCCAAGTGGCCCTTTTTGGGGTTCAAATATGAATTTCTGAGGTATCTTTTGAGGAGGCATCTAGATGCTGAAAATAAGCCCTGCTGCTAAAGAGTGAATGTGTAGAGCACCAGTCCATTTAAGTTCATTATTTTATAGTGTTCTGGTGAATTAGTTACTCATCGAGCAGGTACTTACTGAGCAACTGTCGTGTGTCACTGTGGTCAACTTGGAAGGTGTCTTATTTTGATTTAAAACCTGTGGTAATTTCAAGTCCATCAAATTCACTAGGTATTGTTTTGTTTCCAACTTGAAAAATCCCCCCAAAAATGGATTCGATGAGCAGACCTCACATGAAAGCAGCCTATAGCCAACATGTTTTCTTTTTTCTAAAGATTTTTATTTATTTATTTGTCAGACAGAGATCACAAGTAGGCAGAACAGCAGGCAGAGAGAGAGGAAGGGAAGCAGGCTCCCTGCTGAGCAGAGAGCCTGATGCGGGGCTTGATCCCAGGACCCTGAGATCATGACCTGAGCTGAAGGCAGAGACCTAACCAACTGAGCCACCCAGGCGCCCCAACCAACATGTTTTCTTATACATATGTTTCCCCCCAAACTTACCTGAAATTTTTAGGCAGAAAATAAAACTGGTCTTTACATGGTAAAATTTTTCTCACAAACTAGAAGATAATAAATTGCTACGAGAGCAAAAAAAAATGAATGCCTTAAAATTATTGCTTATTCAGGTTCATTTATGATGTAGACAGTTACTTTCAATATTTGTAGACCCTAAGCATTGCACCAGTCAGACAAATGAGAAACAATGATTATTTGTTTGTTGCCAAACATTGCTTAGGGAACACATATTCAAATGTGTTGCTGTAATTAATGCAGTAATGAAATGAAAATAAGGAGAAACAGGAAAAGTGACATAGGGAGCCTTTCTTGGGGACTCTAATTCACTGGATAAATGGATTTTCTTAACTAACTTGCTGTAGTTGTGCTCCGAAAAAAAACAAATGGAAATGTTTTTATTCTGTAATTTAAAAACTCCCATCAGTTAGAAATTGAAGATGACTGGGTTGGGGAATTAAATATCACTCTTTGGTTTTTTATTGTTGTTGTTTTTATTTATTGATTTCAGAGGGGGTGCGGAGAGAGTATGTGGTTGGGGGAGGCAGAGGGAGAGAAGCAGACTCCTCCCTGAGCAGGGAGCCCGATGTGGAGCTTGATCCCTTGACCCCAAGATCATGACATGAGCCAAAATAGTGAGTTGGACACCCAAGAGCCCCTAAATACCACTTTTTGTAAGAAGTAAAGGCCTTAGGAATAAGAGGACATGTCTGAATTTATATTCAAGTTCTGCCACTTACTATCTGACCTCATGTAGATGATTCCTCCTTTCTGAAACTGATTCCTCATATACAGAATAGATGATAAATTAGAAATGACAGTAACTAATTCATATGGCTCTATAGTAAATGAGAGGACGCATATATATTACAATTTATGCATTGCCAGGCTCTTACACACTACTGAATTGAGCATCTGTCATGTGTCTCTGTGTATGTTGTGGGTGCTGTGTTGTGCTTTGGTGGATGCAGCACACAGAGCCCCTCCCTGATAGCATGTCACGTATGGTCTGCTTTCCCTGCTTTACCTAACAGTGTTTTCAGGAGTTTTACTCACGTGTGTTACCATGGGCGTCAGAAGCGATCTGCTTCTGAAAAAATGAGAATTCTCTTAAACTTCTATTAGCTTGGTGAATTATGTGATAGGAGTAAATGTTTTAGTCTGTTTTATGCTATGATGCATTATTTCTGATGCGTCAAATTTCACATTCCAACAAAATAGACATTTATGTTTAAAAAGATGAGATGGGATACCTGGGTGGCTCAGTCAGTTAAGCCACTGCCTTTGGCTGAGGTCATGGTCCTGGTCCCAGAGTCCTGGAATCGAGTCCCACGTCAGGCTCCTTGCTCAGCAGGAAGCCTGCTTTTCTCTCTCTCTGCCTCTGCCTGCCACTCTGCCTGCTGTGTGCTCGCTCTCTCACTCTCTCTCTCTCTCTCTCTGACAAATAAATAAATAAATCTTAAAAAAAAAAAAAAGATGAGACAAAATTAGTGTCTCATTCATTATTCATTGTTCATCTGCTTCACACTAGGACAACTGTTTCTGCATGCCTGTGCCTTTGTGCAATTTGTAATCCCTTTTTAAATTTGTACTTTAACCTGGTTTTTCGATGTATATAAATTAGATCATTATTAAAGATCTGCATCTCCAAAGAACAAAAGAATTTAAATGCCTACAGTAAATATTTTGAATCTTGTAATATTTACTTCTAACATCAGAGCATTAAAAAGTTAATGAAGGTAATAATGGTAAAGAATGACTAGAATCTGCTTCTGGCAGAAGCTGGTAATATTATCAAGTAAATATAATTGAGATTAAAGTATAGTTATGACTAATATAAAATATATTTGTCAGTACAAGTATGTAAAATGTTATTTGAAAGGAGTTTGAGAATTCTAAGAGTGTATTTGCTTTATCCTTTAAAGCTGACTTTAAAACCATATGTGGAAATATCCCTGGATTCACCTTTGACATTCACACCGGAAAAGCTGTTGGTAAGTTTTCCAGATAATTTTTATTTTAATACATATAGGTAGCATTTTGCAAAAGTTTCTTTGGTGTTTTTAAAGCTTAAAGTGCCATAAAATATAATAATCTGGAGTCTTATCTGGTACAGTTAGGAAGGAACTAACACGTTTACAGCCTCTACCTAAGTGTTAATAAGGGTATTACTCTGTCAACATAGTTTGGTGATTGGGTTATGATAGTTGGAGGACTGTCTCAAGATTTCATACATATTAAGCTAACACCTGAGTTTTTCTTCTCATGAATATTGTATTAAATGACTCTAAATTATCCACTTTATTGTACTCTTTAGTTGCTCTTTTTATAACTATATACTTACATTTTTGGTGTATTTTTGCAGGATCCCTTCCTACTGATCTACTTAGGAATTTGCAGAATTATCAGTTATAAAAATCATTTTCTTCTGAATGTTGTTCAATTTCTTTCTATTGTTCATTGTACTTTTTTCCCTCAAAGATAAAGTAAGCAATATAATTTTAAGAAAACCTAGCTTTCTTCATTAGATGAATAGCAGCAGTTATTAGGGGAGCCTGAAACATGACTTGAAGAGGAAGCTTGATTCCCTGGGAAGTTTATTTGGTACATTGACACTAAAAATCACTTGGTGTTAGTTGATCGGCTACAACACTATTCAAAGGAAAGTATTCTATCTTGTGGCCTATATGCTTTTGTAAACCAAAAAATCATTCATGGCACTGTGGAATTTATTTCTGTGATGCTGAGTGAGTGTTCTTATTCCAGCATACATGTAACCCTGTCAAAGGTTTTTAATGGTAAATATGTTAAGCAGAACTGAATAGATGTGACTGAATCTGTTCACTTTCAGACATTGATGAGTGTAAAGAGATCCCGGGCATTTGTGCAAATGGCGTGTGCATCAACCAGATTGGCAGTTTCCGTTGTGAATGCCCTACAGGGTTCAGTTACAATGACCTGCTCTTGGTCTGCGAAGGTAATCCGAACGACACATGACCCCCAGCCAGATGAGTTCAGTGGACAGAAATGGGTTTTAGATGGTCTCCTGACTTGTACAGGGTCTTCTGAGGTACTGATCAGTATTGAGGAGTGGGTCACCACACGGGTGAAGTGAAGGTAATACTCACGCAATAAGGAGGTCCTTACCTTGGCCTTGTTGCTCTTACAGACATTGACGAGTGCAGCAACGGTGACAATCTGTGTCAGCGGCATGCAGACTGCCTCAACAGCCCTGGCAGTTACCGCTGTGAGTGTGCAGCTGGCTTCAAGCTCTCCCCCAATGGAGCCTGCGTAGGTGAGAGGCCACGCCCCGTACCCTCCCTGGTCCTCCTCCAAGCAGTTGGCCATGCTTTCCTCTTGTAATCTATTTTCAGAGAGAATTTTGACAAGATTTTCTAAGTAAATCCTTTCGTTCCTATTGAATCTATTTCTCCATATATTTTAGATTAATTTGTGAGGAAAAAAATCCCTTCAGTGGATTTTCCTAGGATTAGACCTAAAATAAAATAGTATCTTTGAGATACTAATCAGTGTAGAAAATGGCCCAATTTTTTTTTGTTTTGTTTTTGTTTAAAGTCATGGATATTTTCAGGCCTCACTTCTTTTGATTCAGCTGTTGTTATGGTTCATTTTCAGCCTGTCTGTAATAATTAATAGCGGCTTCTAGAAACAGGCCTGTGAAAATATGAAGGAATCTTAATAAAAATCAGACATGTGTAACATGTGTTTTATTTTTGTTTTAGATCGCAACGAATGTTTAGAAATTCCTAATGTTTGCAGTCATGGCCTGTGTGTTGACTTGCAAGGAAGTTACCAGTGCATCTGCCACAACGGCTTTAAGGCGTCCCAGGACCAGACCATGTGCATGGGTAAGAGGGAGGATGTTAGTTCAGGAGGGCAGTGAATTGAGACTCCCAGAGAGCTTACAGGTTGGCCACTTGCTGTGACTAACTCCCATGCCTCTTGTCAGAAACAGTCCCACAACAAGTTAGCTCTATTAAACGGCTTATACCTTTATTCAGTGGAAAATTTGTGAGCAGAAACACACCACAGTATGTTCTTTGGTTCACTGTTCACAACCTTTTTGCTCAGATGCCTTCACACACTTCTCAAGCACTCTGGGACACTCAGGGTTCTATGGAAGTCACCACAGTCACCAGTTATCCTTTACCCTTCTCTGTTCCTGCTCGAGGAAACGTTTCCAGCTGCAAGAATATAAGGGAGTGAGAGTAGTAAGAACAACAGTATTGAAATATTGTCACACACATACGTATGTTTATATACTTTTCCACCAAATCACTGAATACATGGGACTTACTGGCTGCTTTTGTGTTTTAACTCTTAAAAGTATGTTTAGAAGTAAATGTAACAAAACTCTAAAATGTTCCAGTAGCTCGTGTAATGGTTAGCTGAGCAGTAATAGTGTTCAGTAAGTACTTGCTGAGCCGACACATGAAATTTGAAAGGTGGATGGGCTGGCCACCTTGGAGACCAACCTGGGAACTCAGCATAAATCCTTCAGTCTGATGTCAACAACAGGCTGTATCTCAGGCAAAAGAGTTTTCCATGCAGTGCACTTGAAAGAGGAAAATTAAATTTAAAACTTGGCTATTTATAATTAGCACCTTCTCAGTTTAGAAAAAGCTGAACTCATGCATCTACTATTTTGGTGTTGAAGATATTACCTGTATGAATGGTAAATCAGATTTCAGTACTACAGGACTAGTTTCCTTTATGACCCATCCATACCTCAAGGACCACCTGGAGAACTAGCCATCTGCTGCCTCTTAAGACTTCAGCTGTGGAGGTGGGGAAAACTCTCCAGGGGATGCTTGTACAAGGGACAAATGGAGGATCTAGCCCTCTTTGCCTGAACTTTCTGAGAATGCTTGCTCATACGTGCTTCTCTTGGCTGTACTCTGTGAGAGAGAGAACATGATTTGCTAAAAAATATTTGAGGTTTGATTCAGAAATTCATATGGAGAAAACATGACCTCAATCCTAATAATTTATGATAAAAGTCAGTGAGACTCCTTGATAATCTCTTTTTTTTTTTTTAAAGATTTATTTATTTATTTATTTGACAGAGATCACAGGTAGGCAGAGAGACAGGCCGGAGGTGGAGGGGTGGGGGTGGGAGCAGGCTCCCCGCTGAGCAGAGAGCCCCATGCGGGGCCCGATGCCAGGCCCCTGAGATCATGACCTGAGCTGAATGCAGAGGCTTTAACCCACTGAGAACCTAGGTGCCCCAATAATCTCTCTTAAACAAAGCTTTCTTTCTAAGGAATAGTACCCTTTTTTGCACAGAAGAGTTCCAAGAGCCTAGAATTCATTGTCTAGAGAATCTTTATTTCTTATATGAGGATGACCTTTCTAAATATATTTTTAATTCCATTTTTTAAAGGCTTATAATAATACTGAGTTCTAGTGGACTTTTTTTTTTAAAGATTTTATTTATTTATTTGACAGAGAGAGATCACAAGTAGGCAGAGAGGCAGACAGAGAGAGGGGGAAGCAGGCTCCCCGCCGAGCAGAGAGCCCGATGTGGGGCTCGATCCCAGGATCCTGGGATCATGACCCGAGCCGAAGGCAGAGGCTTTAACCCACTGAGCCACCCAGGCGCCCCTCTAGTGGACTTCTTATTTAGATTCTATTAATTCATAAAATTCAGGAAACTGAAATCTACCTTTATTGTACTGATCAGATTAGGGTGTGTAAATTTCTGAGGGAGTGGTGTTGATAATGATTGAATAGAACAAATTGTTTAGTGTTCCAAACAATTGGTTTCCTTACAGTTGACAAGCAAACCCATTCATTAAAGCATCTGCATTAAGGGAATGCTGGCTTAGCATACTCATTTCCCTAAAATGAACACGGGTTCCTAAGTATTAAATGAGGAAAATCTAAGTGAGTCAGTAATTTTTTTTTAAAATGTAAATGTGTAACCAGCTGTATATTTCTGGTTAAAAATTGAATTCCTTGGAGCCACTATTTCTTTGTAGATGTTGATGAGTGTGAGCGACATCCATGTGGGAATGGAACTTGTAAAAACACGGTGGGATCCTACAACTGTCTCTGCTACCCAGGGTTTGAACTCACTCATAATAACGATTGCCTGGGTAAGTACTCTGTCCTCTGTGGCTACTGTTTGCTGTTTGTACAGTATCTGAAATAAGGAATAAATCCAAAGAGTAAATCAAATGTTTTATCATTAAAACACAAATAGGTGATGAAAGATATGTAATAACATTGACTAATTTCCAGTTAACTAAAGCTGTAATACTGGTTTAAATAATCACAAGACAGTCTGCTGTGTTGAGTACTTCTGTCAGTCAGTCAGTCCGTCAGTCAGTGTGGGGGAGGGGTGACATGCAGATAATAGAAAATCTACTGGGATTGCTCTATGGTTTAGGGTGGTTTTTACCCCTTTAATGGGATCAGATATAGACCTGTCATTGTTTCAGTGCTATTGCAAGTATTTCATATAATTTATTCTTGTTTTATATTCAAATACTGACAGAGTGTCCAACTTAAAAACATGCTGCGTCTTTAAACTTCATTTTCTGTCAACCTTTGAAGCCAGGGATTCCTTTTCCCACAGAAAGGGGGGATTGGGGCTACGTCTCCACATTAGCCCTCAGAAACCTATTTGATTTCAATTTTGAACAACCGTAAATTTTCACAGGAAAGTGGAAGTATCTGCTCTGCGTGGTACAGAATTTTACTGTATGCCCCTAAACAGCAATGATTAAAACAAGAATTAATAGTGAGAGGGGAGTTTCCTTAAGTCAGTGGAGGGCATGGCAGGAGGAAGCATGAACAGATGCTGAGCACATGTCTGTTTACCATACACAAGGCACTGTGCTGGTGTTTCACGGTGGACGTCCCTTCATTCACATGGTCCCATAGGGTTTGAGACAGCAACGCCGCCTGTCGACCATTCTGGACCAGTGCTGCTCACACCACCTCCAACCTCTGATTTATGCCAGCACAGACTCCTCTCAGTTTTGGTTTTACTTTTCTGTTTTTGTATGTATATATGTATTTGAGAGAGCTCATGCACAGACACATGTGCATGCGCATGTGAGTTGGGGGAGGGCAGAGGGAAAGAGTGTTTCAAGCAGACTCTGTGCTGAGCACGAGGTCCAGTGGAGGGCTCGATCTTAGGACCCTGAGATCATGACCTCAGCTGAAATCAAAAGTCAGACGCTTAACCAACCGAGCCACCCAAGCACCCCTGTTTGTGTTTTTTCCCCAAATTCTGCCACTGTGAAAAAATTCAGAGCTAACTGAACATTTTTTTCAACTACCACCTTCTTATCAATAATTTCTCAGACCCTTTGTACAACCAGGGAGAACTAAAGATACCGATAATGGCTCTGATCTGAACACAGCCTTCAGAAACCTACAATAATTAATTGAGTAATTACTCCAATGCAGTCAGCCCTAAGTTTCACTGAAACTTAAGATTTTTTTTCTTTCAAGTTCTTTACTTTGTCAGCAAAATACATGTTAGCAGTTCTAGAGTATATTTAATATAATTGATTTTTCTATATTTAATATGCTCTATTATCTGTGCTTTGAATAGAGTCAGCTTATCTCCACGTACAGTCATCTGAAAACTGGGCCATCAGGTTAAGTGTGTATACCGTCTGGTCTCCAAGGAAAGAAGTATTCTTCATTTGAAAAGAACAGAGAACTTCACCATAAACCTTCAGTTTTTATCTGGCTATAAATTTGAGTTCTATTAATATCAAAACTTGGTGTTGAAATATAGTAGGGATCTCTGTGACTGTATTAGTCACACATTGCTTCCACTGGGAGCTGATTTTCTCTGTGTTGATGAGGATTGCAGTGAAGTATATTTGAAAACGCATGGCAGTGAATATGTTTTTACATTGGAACACATAATAATATATGTGTAAGAGTTCTCTCTGAAAAGCTTATTCCCGTTTGCTTACAGATATAGATGAGTGCAGCTCCTTTTTTGGTCAGGTGTGCAGAAATGGACGGTGTTTCAATGAAATTGGCTCCTTCAAGTGTTTATGTAATGAAGGTTATGAACTGACTCCAGATGGCAAGAACTGTATAGGTAACTATCTACCCAGTAAACAGTCTTTGTGTTGTTTTGTTGAATAATGATGTGACTTTCCACCCCCCTCCCCCCACACACACACTTGGAAACCCTCTCACATTTCATTTGATCATCTGATTACTTGACCAATATAAGATACCATTGGAAATTTGGGTATAAGGAATACACCAACAATTGGGGATGGCTTGTCTGAAATGTTTTTATTGGAAGAGAGCCGGGACTATCCATGACACCATAAAAGGAGACGAAACAACTCAGGAAAACCAGCCTCTTGCCAAATGAGTAATACGCAAGATGGCAAAAGAGTATCTCCGGGCATATTGTCCATAGTGACCCAACAGATCAGAGAGACCAAGTTGAATTCATGTTAACCTCATTTGGCAACAAGGACCTCATAGTTAAGTCATTTTTTGTCTTGTTTCTCTTTAAAGATACTAATGAGTGTGTCGCTCTCCCTGGCTCTTGTTCTCCTGGTACGTGTCAGAATTTGGAGGGGTCCTTCAGATGCATCTGTCCCCCAGGGTACGAAGTGAAAAGCGAGAACTGCATCGGTAAGGTTAACACTTGTTCTGGGCTCCACGAACTCTCCAGTCTAAGACCCAAGCCTGACCCTGTAGCCGGACACTAAATGCAAACCGCGGCCAGCAGGCTGACCCATGGGATTAAACATAGAGCTACCCACAGCTGCTTCACTGAACCATCAGAATCGATTGGGAAGTGGAATGGTGGTAACAAAGCATTTAGGAATGTGGGGTTTTTCATCAACAGAAATGTCAGACCAGTCAAAGAATTTTCAGTGCACTCTAATCTTTTTTCCAAATGTCAACGAGAGACTTTCTACTGAATTTAAAGAGAGTCTACAAAAATTGTAATCTTTGGCAACCAATTTTAAAACAGCTATTAAAGGTGTCTAGAGTCCTAGAAATGTGGAGCAGAAAATCTTGACCATGCTGTTGAGACATTTTTTTCCTTGGGAAGGCCTCATGTCAAAACAGAAAATATTAATCCATTTGTTGTAACAGATGTTTTTCTGCTGAAACTCCTCCAGCGTACAAGAATACTGTAACCACATCAAAAGTGGGTCCCAGAATTGCCTGGTGAACATGATGAAGGCGGACCTTCTTACAGTTACTGAATTTCACTTTTATACAAATTATTTTTTACAGTCTTGTTGAAATTCAGAAGCACCATCCTAGTGTGGTTCTTCTATCATGAAATGATTACTGAGGGGTTTTTTGCCTTTGATTTATCCAATTTAAAAAAAAAGTGCTTTGTGTAGTTCTACTGTTCACTTTCCAGGGACTCAGAACTGAAGGAGACCGTTTACACCATTAAATTTAATTGTTTTCCAGACCATGTGACTTCATATACTGGATACCCCAAGTCATTCCAGTTCGGTCTTTATATCTTTTCCCTTTCTTGATCTGCATACTGAGTCATTGTAAAACTATCTGGTGTTTTTAATCCTTAAAAAATAGTAAAAACTAGAAGCATCTTAATAACAACTTTCTTAAAAACTAAAAGATCCTTCCTTTCTTTTATTTTCTTTATTCCATATTTAATCTCAGTTCTTCTTAGCCCTATAGTCCATCCCTTTATGGGACAATGACAATAACTGTCTCAGCAATTAGAAGGAAAAAGAAAACATGTATTTCTTTGTATCAGAAAGGCTCAGCTACCTTTTCTCTTCATGAAAAAAAAAATCTGTGATTCAGTAACCTTTTATTCAAATGCATAAATATTTTTTCCTCATCCATCATTAGCAACACTTCTATTTTGCATCTCTGAAAAAAATAATCTTAACTTCATTGTAAGACTTACTTTCTTTAGACTAGAATCTTTTCTGCCAATTTTACCCAGATGAAATGATTCTTAACGTGACTATACACACACTTACACAAACACACACATATCACACATGTATACACACACAAATTCATTACACCTTTCAGTGTGTGTTTCATTGAATGATTGGCACCTTTTAGGTGCTGGGAATGTAAAAAGATACACTCGTACCTTTAGGGAACCAGAAAAGAAAAGACCTATTTTGTAATAGGTAAAGCTGCCTTATAAAGACATCCTTGCCATTCAGTGTGACAGATGCCAGGCCAGAGGCGGGTTCAGGCTATAGGAGCACAAGCTAGGGCTGTGAGGCCAGTGGTTAAAAGAATGGCAAGTCAAGGAAGCTCATCCCAAAGGACTGGTGACTTTTGAGGTGGCTCCTAAATGTTGGACAGGAATTGACTAATCAGAGAAAGGAACAGGAGAGAGGAAACTCCTGGAAAACACAGGCACCCGGGGTGTGGGAAGGGGCAGTGAGTGGCCGACCAGCACATAAGACTGAACTCAGTCCTGCAGGCAGTGTGGAACAGGGCAAGATCTGGTTTTTGGTTTTTGTTTTTTTTAAAGAAAGGGCATGGTATGATTCACTAAAATTCTACAGATATAAACAGAGAATGTAGAATGTGCCTGACGCCGTGCTAGTCTGAGCAGGCAGCAGTGACCCGGACAGATGTTTCCTGTGTTCATGGAGCTGGCATTCCAATGTGGCCGGAACTGTGTAACATTTCCTCACTCCGATATGATAACTCCCTATTAAATAAGGACTTCTGATGGGGGGAAAAAAAAAAGCCAAATATCACTGGTAAGGAATCCTTATTTACTTGAGGGACCCTTTCCGGGGTGCCATGGGAATGGTGAAATTCTCAAGCCATGTCTGAGTCCCCTTGGTTCCATGGGTACAGATTTTCAAGTAGACAGCCTGGTGGCAGTGTGAGGGCACAAGAGGGAGACATGGCGGTCTATTAGGAGATTTACGGTAATCCTGGTGGCAGGGGAGGTTGAGTTTGAAAACCCAGAAGAGGTGGAAGTGACAGGGTACATGCTGCCTGCATCTGGAGTACAGGACGAATAAAGGTGATCTTAAGCTGGATGGCTGGAGAGGATCATCAGAGAAGGAGACCTGCTGAGGCCGTGACACCTGTAGGATACTGAACTGGTCACGTGGGACCATACATATAGGGCAGACATATACACTGCCCTAGGGATCGCGTGCAGGGAGGTGGCGTTCTCTTGGGCCTCTGGGCTGTGTGGTTGATTGAAACTGGATACAATCTTTGACTTCTGAAGAGATAATAATAATTATACCTACATATTATATACTCACGTTTCATATTAAATAATCAGTGGCTAGCAAATAGTGGTAGTATGGACAAATTGTTTATTTTCAAAGACTGAACAGTGTATTGATTTACTTAAATTAATACATTCTTCTGCCCTTGTCCAGATATAAATGAATGTGACGAAGATCCCAACATCTGTCTCTTTGGTTCCTGCACCAATACTCCTGGGGGGTTCCAGTGCATCTGCCCGCCTGGCTTTGTACTGTCTGATAATGGACGCAGATGCTTTGGTAAGCTTTGGAATGACTTCTCTGTCATCATTTGCCCTTAGGAACATCATAGCTAGACAGTAAGCCCTCATGGAAGTGTAGATCACTACAAAGTACATGTCTATGGCAAATATGTCTAGGTTTAAAAAAAATAGGTCTCCAAACTGTATGCACTGGACACTTTTAAGGTACTTCGAGTTTTTGTCTCTGTTTCCACATTTTTTAATGTCATACTGAAAAATTACTATTTTATTCACTTACTATTATTATTGCCTCACAGTTCCATTTGTTGTTGGTATAGATTTTTTTCTGGACACCGGTATATGAGTTGCTTTTAATGTGAATGGATTTACTGAAAGTTATGTAGAATATTTTTGTTAGGTGATCACGTAACAGTAGAAGAAGAGACAGGGAAATAATCTTAATACTGAGCATCACTTCTCAGGTTTCCTAGAGACATTATAAAAACATTTTAAACATTTTAAACATAAAAACAAAAAAATATATATATAAAAACATAAAAACATTTTAAACATTTCAAATAATTACACCAAATTTTATAGACCGGTCAGTGTAAGTTGACATGTGAAATCAGCCATGGAGGTTTTCCAGACCTTTCAGTTGCTAATCTGATCTGCACCATGTGTTCATCCCATGAGAAACCTTCGTCAAAAACAGTTACACACAGAGTACTCTTCTTACTGACGCGTAAGGAGGCCTGTGATGTTTGCTTTCTTGACTAGATACCCGCCAGAGTTTCTGCTTCACAAACTTTGAAAATGGAAAGTGCTCTGTACCCAAAGCTTTCAACACCACCAAGGCCAAATGCTGCTGTAGTAAAATGCCGGGAGAGGGCTGGGGGGACCCCTGTGAGCTGTGCCCCAAAGATGACGAAGGTGAGAGCTACCACTTTGTGCAGTTTGGGAATGACTGTCAGCCACCTTAACTGTATGTAACTGATGGATATTTTGAAGAGAAAATTCGTCCCTCATGTCTAAACTGTAAAGTTCCCTGAGCACCCCCGTCTGAGGGACCCCATCTCCACTTGTGTATTCAGCATGTGTGAACACAGCTAGAGTTCCCATTATTTCATTCCCCTTTTGCCCACTGCCCGAGGTTAGCAGTGTTTGCTTTCAGTGGAATTAATTTGAGATGTGCAGGGCAGGAGATGTATTCCCAACTGCTGCATGGGTCCCACATGGGGATTGGATCCCGGGCTGCAGCTCTCAGAATCTTACATAAAATGGTGAGGAGCTGAGTCAGCACAAGGGCCATTTACTGGATGAGACCAAGAGCCTCCCAGGTCTTGTGTTTTTGCAGCCAAGGTATAGGGTGCTTCCCAGCAGGCTCAGAACTAGCTTGGTCTCTAGGTCGAGGTAGCTCCCCTGTGTCCTGGGCAGAGGGGGCTCTGGCTGCTGAGCATTAAAGGAGCAAACATATAGAAACAGCCCTTGGTAGGCAGCACCCTGGGAGGCACTGGGCGAGCTTAGGTGACCTGCTCTAAGTAGTCTCAGTGTTGCTTTTTAAATAAACCATAACAATAAAATAAGGCTCTTGTTAAAAGCAGTTTTGTACATGAAAAAATAAGTAGGATTTCATGTATACCATTAATCAGTTCTGAAGTTCTTCGATAGCTGAGACTCTTCAATAATGGGGAATTTGTGTTCTTCTCTATAGTTGCCTTCCAGGACTTGTGTCCTTACGGCCACGGAACAGTTCCAAGTCTTCATGATACTCGTGAAGGTGTGGTTTGATGTATTTTATTCCTATAATATTTTTATATAAATTGTACATTCTGTAAATCATTTTACTATATAATATACTGTATATTTTAATGTATACATACAGTATTATATATTGTACATTATATTTATCAGGCTACATTGTATACAAAATGTAAGTATCTGATAAATGTTTACATGTTTTATAAATTTCAAATTTCTTGTTAACAGATACACAGAGTTTTGATGTATCTTTTTATATTGAGAAAGTTTATGGATAATTCTTTATTTTAGATGTCAACGAATGCCTTGAGAGCCCAGGCATTTGTTCAAATGGTCAGTGTATCAATACAGATGGGTCTTTTCGCTGTGAATGCCCAATGGGTTACAACCTGGATTATACTGGAGTACGCTGTGTGGGTGAGTGCTGACTCCACGTTACACACTTGGAAAATTCTAATTCTCATATTCCAGGCACCCTGAGTGGTGGCAGGATTTACAGAGCCAGTATCAGTAGCTAGTAACTGCTTTTTCTTCTCCCACCTTACATTTTCCAGTAGATCTGGTTTATGGGAATATGGACAGAGTTGCCCAACCTCTGCCTTCAACCAAATATACAAACTCTGACGTGCCCAGAGCTTTACAGTTGCCCAAAGCAGTAATGGGAAAGAGCTCCATTTTACCTTATGACTTCCCGCACCTGCTCTTGTAGCAGAAGATGACACCCCTCTATGGGTTTATGACTTTTAGGGGTGGCTGTCTGGGGACTCAGAGCTTGACACACCTGATCCCCAGGGCTCCTCTGCACTGAATCAAGGCCAGCCAGCCATCCAAGGCCAAGGAGGGTGCAGAGTTGGGTGTGCCCTAGAGATCCTGGAAATGTGTGCAGGCCAGGTGGGTATCCATGGGCATGCTCGTATCAAACTAAAACTCCACAAATCGTTTGGCACTTTCTCTTCTCAGATACTGATGAATGTTCGATTGGCAATCCATGTGGGAATGGTACATGCACCAATGTTATTGGGAGTTTTGAATGCAACTGCAATGAAGGCTTTGAGCCAGGGCCCATGATGAACTGTGAAGGCGAGTGATACTTTTCTTAATTATTATTTCTATAGAAATTGTTTCTCAATATCTCAGCTTTTACTTCTGTGGCTTTGATATTCTACTGATGATTATGTTCATCACAAATACCTTTTCCTTTACCCCGGTGAGCATAGTTACAGTCACTGCTTTAAAGCCCTTGTCTGGTGGCATCTTGGTCACCTCAGAGTTGGCATCTCTGGTGGTGTTTTCCACTTGAAGTTGGCATTCCATTTTCTTGGCTCCTCAGCAGGTTAGAGAATTTGGGATTATACCATGGATGTTGTGAGTGATCTCTTTGGAATCAGTTGTATTACTTTGAAGAATGTTGATGCTTTTGTTTTAGCAGGCAGTTAACCTTGGTGAACATAAAAGCAGAGTGTCAGGCTTGCAGAAGTTAGTGGTTCAGATTTCAGTTTCTTTTATAAGCCCCAGTGTGGCTAGCTTCTTTGATTTTGCCCCACACATGCATGGTTAAGTCAGCAACATAGGCCTTTATGCCAAAAAAAAAAAAAAAAAAGTGTGTCTTTGTCTTTGGCCTTCTCCTATCTGGGGCTCCCCCTCACTCTTGAGCAGCTCGGTTGCCCCTAGCTCGCTTCCCTGATTGCTCTGGATAGAAGCTCAGGAAGTTTCTACTGAAGATGTACCTGCCAGGTGCTGCTCCTGCCAGAACTATGGCCATCCACAGGGTAATTTCAGAAAAAATAAAAATAAACAAAGAAAAAAACTAGGAATTTATGTCTTGTTTGTTTGCTGAGTTTCAGCTCACCACTAGGAACTACTTCAGGTAGCTGTTTCTGTTTTTGTTTTTGTTTTTGTTTTCAGTTTATAGTTGCTACTTGTTGGAGGATGAGTTCGTGAGGTACCACTTCTCCATACCAGAGTTAGGAGTTCTGTTATCTTACTGCTTTCTCTATGACCAGTGTCATGTAAACAATTAAAACTGTAGGCTCAGGACATGCCTGCCTGTTTCCTTGATCAGATATCAATGAGTGTGCCCAGAACCCACTGCTGTGTGCTTTCCGCTGCATGAACACCTTTGGGTCCTATGAATGCACGTGCCCGATTGGCTACGCCCTCAGGGAAGACCAGAAGATGTGCAAAGGTAAGGCGGCGGGAAAGAGAATAGTTAACACTACATTTGCCACACTGGAAACGTTTTTTAATGATCTTATAGTTCTTTACTGTCTTTTTCTAGAGTTTACAGACATGTATCTGACATTTTGCTGGTAGATTCCCACATCTAGATAGCAAGACATTGGATGGTCTACCCCAGCAAGTCAAAGATAAAACGGGTTGAAGAGCCCACCATTGTCACACTCTTGGACTCTTAGTAAAGCAAAGACTGCCTTTCCTGAACTACTCTTTTTTACTGTATTTTTTATTTAAATTCAATTAGACAACATATAGAACGTCATTAGTTTCAGTTGTAGAGTTCAGTGACTAATCAGTTGCACATAACACCCAATGCTCATCACATCTTGTGCCCTCCTTAATGCCCATCTCCCAGTTACCCCATACCCCCACCCGCCTCCCCTCCAGCAACCCTGTTTGTTTCTTAAAATTCAGAGTCTCTCATGGTTTTTCTCCCACTCTGATGATGTCCCATTCAGTTCCTTCCTGAACTTCCTGTCATTAGGACCAATCCCGAAGCTTTCATAAATCTAGAATATAGCCAAGAGTTGGAAGAGACTTGGTTCCTCCTTTCTCTGTCACACAGTAGCATTTTAAGAGCCAGGAACCCAAAACTAAGACTTCAAAATCCAAAACAGTAGACTGCTCCTAAGAGTTTTGTTTTTCATTAAAAATATTTTCTAGATCTGGATGAATGTGCTGAAGGGCTCCACGACTGTGAGTCTAGAGGCATGATGTGCAAGAACCTGATCGGCACCTTCATGTGCATCTGCCCACCTGGCATGACCCGACGGCCGGACGGAGAGGGCTGTGTGGGTAAGCTGCACGGCGCGGCATCTGCTTACTTAATATGCCTGCCTCGAGACAGCCTGACCACACTATGCAAGAACCATCCTCACTCCAGGCCAATTCTTTTTCTAGCTCTTTCAAGGCTGTTCTGTAGCTGGAATTCTTCCATCTCGGGGGCCGCGCCAGTAGAATGTGGTTTGAATCATGCAGTGCTAGTGAGACCTGTCCTTGCTTTCATCCTTCTATGTCCTGTAAATTTAAAACACTTAATGGAGAAGAGTAGGACAACTCCTTGAAACAATTCTGCTTGTGTAGTGAAATAAATGAGTGGGTGTTCTCATTTTGTATCATCCCATCAGTGAGGAGAGGAAGAGGCAGAGGCAGATCATCTCCAGACACCGGTCACAAGTTGGGTACGCCTGTGACTTGGTGTATTGTTTATAACATACTTGGACCTCAGTTAATTCATGTGTAAGTGGAAGAGGTGACTCTCTAGTTGGCTTCGGGAATCTAAAATGTTTGGTTTTATGGTACATGTCACAGTCCCCTGGCATGTACAGTGGCCGTGGCCACGGCCGCCTGACCCGTTTATCTCAGCACTTGTTTCCGCAAAGTGCTGGCACCTGGGATGGTGCAGTCCAGTTTTCTTCCTCCTTGAGAAGAGATCATTCCCCCTCCTTGAATTAAGAATCTTCTATTGGGATCCTAGCCTCCACTCCCTTGAAAATTGTGGGGGTATATGGAGGGACATATGAAGATAGTGAAAAATGTCTTATTTTGGAGAAAAAGATCACAAAATTAGATTTCTGAAAAATGAACCTATCAGTGATTGCCTGGTACTAGAAGCCAAAACTGGAGAGTGGCTACAAAAGGATACCAGGGACCTCTTTGGGAGCTGGAAACTTTTTTTTTTTTAATGATGCTATTTGTGGGCTTTTTTTTTTTAAATTAACATAGAATGTATTAGTTGCTTCAGGGGTACAGGTCTGTGAGTCATCAGTCTTACACAATTCATAGCACTCACCATAGCACATACTCTCCCCAATGTCCATAACCCAGCCACCCTATCCCTACCCCCCCACCCCCCAGCAACTGTCAGTTTATTTTGCAAGATTAAGAGTCTCTCATGGTTTGTCTCCCTCCTGATCCCATCTTGTTTCATTTTTTTCCTCCCTCCCGCTCATAACCCCCACCCTGCCTCTCAAATTCCTCGTATCAGAGAGATTACACGATAATTGTCTTTCTCTGATTGACTTATTTCACTTAGCGTAATACCCTCTAGTTCCATCCATGTCATTGCAAATGGCAAGATTTTATGGGGTTTTTGATGGCTACAATAGTATTCCATTGTGTATATATACCACTTGTTCTTTATCCATTTATCTGTTGATGGACATCTAGGTTCTTTCCATAGTTTGGCTATTGTGGACATTGCTGCTATAAACATTCAGGTGCCTGTGCCCTTTCAGATCACTACATTTATATCTTTAGGGTAAATACCCTGTAGTGCGATCGCTGGGTCATAGGGTAGCTCTATTTTCAACTTTTTGAGGAACCTCCATGCTGTTTTCCAGAGTGGCTGCACCAGCTTGCATTCCCAGCAATAGTGTAGGAGGGTTCCCCTTTCTCCGCATCCTCTCCAACACCTGTTGTTTCCTGACTGGTTAATTTTAGCCATTCAGACTGGTGTGAGGTGGTATCTCACTGTGGTTTTGATTTGTATTTCCCTGATACCAAGCGATGTTCAGCACTTTTTCATGTGTCTGTAGGCCATCTGGATGTCTTCTTTGCAGAAATGTCTGTTCATGTCTTCTATCCATTTCTTGATTGGATTCTTTGTTCTTTCAGTGTTGAGTTTGATAAGTTCTTTATAGATTTTGGATACTAGCCCTTTATTTGATAGGTCATTTGCAAGCATCTGGGAGATGGAAATTTCTAAAAGTGGATTGTGATGACCGCACAACTCTGTAACTTACTAAAAATCACTGACTTGTGCACTTAAGATATGCAGATTTTATAGCAAGTAAATTACACCTCAAAAAACGATTTGAAAAAGTGAATCTAACATAGGAGGAGAGATACAAGGATATTCACTCCAACTTTGTTCATAGTAACAACAACAACAAAAGGACTAGAAAACAGCCCAAATGCCCATCACAGGAAGACAGTGAAATAAACATGGCATTTCGATGCTGTTAGATGTCGCACAGCAGGTCAGGGGAGTAAGGTGTACATGTGTCTATATGGAAGTAGAACTCTAAATGTCTACTTACAGAACAAAACATAATATGTCATATTTTAAAGAAAATTATAATAACTATGTTTTTTGTAGGTATGTATGTAAGCAAGTAAATACACAGAAAAAAATTTTTAAATTTTTGCAGAAGATAAACCCCACTTCGCAGAAGGAATTACCCTGAGAGAAGATACTAGGATTAGAGGGTACTACTCTGAAGCAAATTCAAACTTATCTGTCAATTTTAGTTTTTTTTACAAAACTGGAATTTGTGAATTACATGTGTAGTATAAAATTAATTTTTAAATGTCTGCAACAACTGATGAGACTGATTTCACAGTTTCTCTTAATCTCTTAGGTATTTCATTCTATATACACTACTTACTAAAGTTAAAAATAGATGACATCAGAGGTACAGTTATGCAGTGGTTCCTTCAGAAACACTGTTCTCCCACAATCTAAAAACCTAGAAGATACACCAGACTCCTGAGCCATGTTTACAAACTCCCATATGTTTCTCAGAGTCTCACGCGGCTCAGATGCTAACATGCTTGAAAAGGTAGGGTACAAGGGGACTGTATGAAAGATAACGTTAACCATCCTGCCTTCCTAGAGTACATGAGATCCATTTTCATTTCCTTCTATTTTTTTTTAAATACTTTGAGTGTGTATGTGTGTTTGAATTTCATCTGGCTAAAATACTTAGAAATGTGGTTTTTTTTTTAATACCTGGAAAATTTTTATTTTTATAACCAACGAATTTTTACTTTACACAGTCACTACATTTCCTTGTGCATTTCCTGGGAGCAAGGGAGAAAGCACTGGGACCACATCAGGAACCCAGTTTTCTGGTCCTAGATGTGCCATAAATGAGCTGGGTGACTTGAAAGAGGCTTAATTCTCTTTCCCTCAGTCTCCTCCTCTGTGGAGCGAGAAACTACATGATTTGGGTGGGAGAGGGTGGAGGAGAAGGGTTTTAGCTCTAATATTCTATGACCCCGTGTGCTTGGTTTTTCAAAGAAAAGATGTAGGGCAGCATTATACATTTGGAATTTCTTCATTGTTAAAAGATGCTACAGAAGATACTGGTTCTAAAACATTTCTGATACTCGGGCTTTCATGGCACCATGTCAGTAGTGGAACCTTCTGTAGAGCTTTCTTTGATCATCAGAAAACTCTTTGTAGCAAAGTTCCATTTCATACAGACATGTTTTTATAGTTAGAAATTCCATTATAAACAGCCAAATTATTACTATAAATAAAAACTTATTTATTTTTTAATAAATAAGTGTGTACAAATGTCAGAATGAGAATGAAAGATAAAACCACAAAAAAAAAACAATAAAAATGCTGAGTACAGTGAAACTGGAATCCAACAAAATTATCCCCAAAATGTCAAGTGCAATAGAAACTGAAAGTATTACAAGCTACAGATTTAGACTTGTAGGAAATCTAAAACCCTACAGAAAACGATAAATACAGTCACAGATGAAATTTTTCCCATTGAAGTATATTTACGCGCAGAGTTACATTACTTTCAAGTATATACAGCCCAGTGATTCTCCCAAGTTTATATATCATGCTTTGCTCACCCCCAGCATAGCCACCAGCTGTCACTATGCATTGCTGTAACAATATCATCAACTGTATTCCTTAGGACGTGCCTTTTATTTCTGTGGCTTTTTCAGTTCCTACCTGGAAACCTATACTTCCCACTTCTCTTTGCCCATTTTGCCCAACCTCTCCACTGCCCTCCTCTCTGGGAACCATCAGTTTGTCTGGTTGTGCTATTTGTGTATATTTTATTCACTGGTGTTCTTAGATCCCACATAGGAATGAAATCATATGGTATTTGTCTCTCTCAGTCTGACTTATTTCACTTAGCATAAAAACATCTAGATCCCTACATATTGTCTCAGATGGCACGCCCTCATCCTTTTTATGACTGCGTAATATTCTGTTGTGTGTATGTCCTACATCTTCCTTCATTATCCATTTGTCTATCAGTGAACGCTCAGGTTGCTTCTGTATCTTGGCTATCATAACTAATGCTTCAGTAAACAAAGGAGTGCACATATCTTTACAAATTAGTGTTTGCATTTTCTTTGGGTAAATACCCAGTAGTGGAATTACTGGCTCACAGAGTCTTTCTATTTTTAATTTTTTTTGAGGAACCTCCATACTGTTTTCCACAGTAGCTGTACGAGTTTGTATTCCCACCAACTGTGTTTGAGGATTCCTGTTTTTCCCACATCCTTGCCAACAGTTGTTATTTCTTGACTTTTTGAGTTTAGCCATTCTGACTGGAGTAAAATGATACCTCATTGTTGTTGTGATTTGCATTTCCCTGATGATTAGTGATGTTGAACATCTTTTGATTTGTCTGTTGCCCATGTGTATGTCTTCTTTGGGAAAGTATGAACTCAGTTCCTCTGAGTGTTAGTCACTGTTCTTTTGGTGTTCAGTGGTATAAGTTATTTATATATTTTGAATAGTTACCCCTTATCAGATACAACAGATGAAATTTGATTCTGCAGTATACTATGCCCAGTAATTATTTTTAAGTAAATTTTTTAAATAAATAAATGAATAGGAAAACCTAATAAATAGAAAAATTTTACTCAGATCATTAAATTTTAATGAAAATGTTGACAATACTATTGGTTATTCATTTTGAAATGAGTAAAATTTATTTCAAAATGAAGTTTGATATATCAGTGAGGGGATGGAAGGCTTTGCTTTTAAGATAATGGAATTTTAAAAAAAAAATGTTCCCTCACTCCATCTCCTGAAGATTTAGAAATACAGCTGAGGAGGGAAGAGTGTTATTTATTTAAATGAAGAATGGTCCAAATACAGACTCTGAAGAATATCTTTCAAATATTATAAAATCTCAATCAAAAACACTTAAGAGGCTCAGTGACATATTCTTCCTTAGACTTTAACAGAATACAGATACCCTTCAAAGCAACTGCCCCAAGTTAAAAGTTCATCCAGCAGTCTTTGAGTAGAAGACTGGGAATACAGGTGAGTGAGAGAAACATTAATGTTTCTGTAGAAGCCTAGTTCCACACTGAGTGTGAAGAGGGAAAACAGTTGACATGCTAAGAACTTTACTTAGAGCCACAGTGACGTCCTAAATTACCAAGAAACTTGGTATGTACTATTGGTGGGAACATAAACTGCTAAGGCCACTAGGTATGGATTTTGGGTTTCCTCAAGAAATTAAATATAGAACCACCATATAACCCAGCATTCCCACTTCTGGGTATATACCCAAAGGAGAAAAGCATTATCTTAAAAATATACCTGAACTCTATTGTAGCATTATTGGCAATAGCCAAGGTATGGAAACATCCTAAGTGTGTATCAGTGCATGAACGGACAAGAAAACATACACACACACACACACACACACACACACACACACACACACACACAGGATTCAGGGAATCCTGTCATTTGTGAGAATATATTAATAAACCCAAAGGGCAATATGCAAAGTGAAATAAGCCAAAGAAAGACATGGTATCACTTATATGTGGAATCTAAAAAGATAAAAATAAACACATTGAACTCAGAGAAATAATGGAGAAAAATATTTGCCAGGGGCTTCAGGGGACGGTGGGGTGTGAGGGGGAAAGGGAGAGGCTGGTAAAAGTATACAAACTTACCTGTATAAGATGAATAAGATCTAAGGATCTAATGTGTGATGTGGCAACTATAGCTGATAACACTGTACTATGTAAGAACAGAACTTAAATATTTTCACACAGAAAAAGGGCAAATATGTGAGGTAATGGGTGCACTAAATCACTCGAGAGACGAATCCTTTAACATTATCCCTCAATAAATCTGGAAATAAGAACAAAATAGGAATCAGAGTGCTGAGGGGGAAAAAAGAAAAAGAAATTTGTCCTGAAGGGGAACACAGTTGAGGTGCTAGATTTAGTGGTATACGACATTATTAAAAGATATAGTTTGGTACGCCTGGGTGGCTCAGTTGGTTAAGCCACTGCCTTCGGCTCAGGTCATGATCCCAGGGTCCTGGAATCGAGTCCCACATCGGGCTCCTTGCTCAGCAGGGAGCCTGCTTCTCTCTCTGCCTCTGCTTGCCGCTCTGCCTGCTTGTGCTCTCTCTCTCTCTCTGACAAATAAATAAATAAAATCTTTAAAAATAAATAAATAAAAGAGATAGTTTTTTTAAGATGGAAGTTATGAGAAAATGTGTGTTGAGAGAATAACTCATTAAAAAGGGAGAACTGTGAACTCTTGGAAGGCAATCCAGAGTACAAGTGCAAAGACTGACCTTTGAGAAAAAACAGAAAATCTTTAACTGTTGAAAAAGACAAGAGGTGGAAAGTGAGGGCCACACAGGTGGTTGGTAGTGGAGAGATGGAGGAGTTCTTATCTCTGTGTGCAGTAGTCATTGTACAAGGCGGGAGCATGGTGGACATATGAAGAAATACAGTAAGGTTGTCAAGGGAGTATTAGTTCCCATTTGAGATTTGAATCATGTGTTAAAGTGAGACCTGTTCTGTTCGTGGGTTTGTCCCCAGCCTGTCATGCTGCATAGACAGAGCTAAGTGCATGAAGACAAGAGCGGTGAACAATACCATGGTCTCTTATTGGCAGACATGATGTGATTGAGAAATTTTCAAAGGATGAAACACAGAATGCTAGAAATCAGAATTTCATAGGTGGTGCAACATCACACCAAGATATGCCCTAGTGAAATTACAAATGTCAACAGCAGAAAAAAGAAAAGAAAAAGGTTACCAGAAGAGACTTCTGTTGGCTTTAGGCAACTGGGCAGAAAAGGAGAATGCCTACAAGGTAGGAAGAAGATCAAGACACTTTCTTCAGGTTCTCACACTAATTCTCATGCCAATGGTAGCAGAGAAAATGTAATCTAAAATTATGATACCTATCTAGCAATCTTTCAAGTTATACACCATCAGACATGGAGCAACTCCTTCAGAATGTCCAACAAGAGCCCTTCTTAAAATAATTCAGACAATGAAAATACAATCAAAGTAAAGAGAAAAAACAGATTTCCTGCAAATGAACAGTAACACTGGGTAAAAGGAAACAATATTTTTCCTAAGATTCTAAGGAAAAATAATTTTGAACTGAAATTCTATACTCAGTCTAGTAAGAAAATAAAAAAGACATTATCAGAATCATATTCTAGAGTATTTACCACCCACATACCATCTGTGAAAGGATTACCAAACTAGATACTCCAATATTTTTTATTAATCCAAAAGGATGGAGTACTATGCATGAAGCAATGGTAAGCCAAGGAACCAGGAAACCTCATGATTTGGTTTACAAAGATATGGATGGCACATTAAAGAAAATATCTAACAAACCAAAATTTCTAGATCCCAGCAGTGTGGCAGGTGGCACCAGGAGAGAGCAGAAGGAACTCATGCCAGAGACATGTGAAACTGGTTCTTGTTGAAACCGATAGGAAAGTATTCATTACAGATACCTATTGAAGCTTTTCATGGTTATCACTGAAAAGACAGAAAGAAGATTATAATTTCCAGACATGAGATGGAGACAAGAGGAAGGCATAGAAATCTAGACTATTGTAAGAAATCCTGAGGGAGGGAGGGCAGGAGCATGGTAGATATAAAACAAAATAAAATGACAGGTAAGAATTCAAACACATCAGCAGTCACAATAGAGAAGAATAAACTGCTACTTAAAAGGTGGACATACTTTTTAAAACTCCTTTAAATCCACTTCGGTGCTTTTTCTAAGAAAGGTACCAAGTCAAAAGGTGACATAGATTGACAATAAAGGGATGGAACAAAACACTGAGGGCAAATACTGATAAAAAGAAAGCACAAGCAAAATAAATATCAACAAATTACAGATTAAAAATTAAGTATAAAGATGAAAGCATTTTATCAAAAAATCTCATTATCGTGAGCTCCTTTATGTTCATAATAACAGAGCTTCAAAAAAAAAAAAAAAAGCCCCAAGCAGAATTTTACAGAATATCAAATACAGTAAGGACAAAAGAGATTTTAATAAAGAAGTTTTGCTCTAATTTATCACCAACCAAAAGAGCATTACTACCTAAATTCCTTTCCTCGCTAGTGGCTCTCATATACCACACTGCTCCCGTGATTTCACTCAAAGTTAGTCTGGAAGCTTACTCTTCATCCCTGCCTGTGTGGCTTTAGCCCTACTCTCTACCCATCCCTAACACCTCCCACTGCTCTGCTCCCAGCCTCTCTCTCCTGTCACAGGGTGTCCTGGCACCCTCTTCCCCATAGTTCTTTTCCACCTAGTCTGGTATCAAAGGGCAAAGTCTAGGTCTTGTGGAGGCCAATTTTCATCAAACACCATCCCACCAACACCACCAACACAAAGGAAAACACTTTGTTAAGAAAGAATCCACCTAGAAGGATGAAGTTAAAAATAAACCCATATTCATATAGGATTGGCTTTTTATCCCATCATATTAGTATTTTAGTGAGGAAATTTTAAATAAAAGATAACCCACTCAAGGATAATTTGAAAAGAGTAATTTTATAATCTTCTCATTATTCACCCTATTTGTTTTCCCAAAGATGAAAATGAATGCAGGACCAAGCCGGGAATTTGTGAAAATGGGCGCTGTGTTAACACTATCGGGAGCTACAGATGTGAGTGTAATGAAGGATTTCAGTCAAGTTCCTCAGGCACGGAATGCCTTGGTAAGTGACACCTGAGTGTATTTTACCTGGTAAATAAAACATTTTTTTTATGATGTCATCACAGAAGAGCTCTACGTACGTATTCTTGCCTGTTAAAAAAATCCCCCAATCTGAGTAATCCATATACTTCTTCTTAAAGGTACACATCTATCAAAATGACGTATTTCTGTGCATGTGCATTGTATGCACACCTATGCGTAATATAAATAGCCATCTTAAATAAAGTCTTTCCAAAATTAAGATTAATTAAGCTCTATGGAAAATGTGACTTTAGTAAAACTTACATCAGGAGATGATTTAATTCCAAAAGAAAATATTTGCTATGTGAGGTAAGCTTTGCTGCATTAGTAATATTAAAGCAAATGCCACACTTCAAAAATGCAGTGAAGGTCAATTTTTATTTTATGATGCAGAGAAAATGTTTTACAAAATATTTTCCTGTGGAAAATATAAATTTCAGACATTATGTTGTATTTTAATTGCTAAAATGCATACATTATAAACCATTTCACCTAATTATGAGCAGGTGTAAAAGTATGGAGTAGTAAAATGTAAGGCAAAATGAGCACTCATCACTTGATCTGATAGAAAAACAGCATGTTTTAGCCATATCAGATATTTTTCCAAATGATGTCACTGCACTGAATCCTAGGAAATTGTTAGTCAAGAAAATAAATTTTGTTTACTGATGTCTTCAATCCAGACCCTTACTTTACCCACCAATCTTTCTGGCAATAGAAGAGATAGCCTACCTACTGCAATGTACTGCTCTGTTCCTATTATTAAGGTTTCACTAGGATGGTTCATTAAACCATATTAAAGATTTATTTGCCTATTTACATAAGATAACTTCCTTTATTTATACTAAAAAAAATCTGCTTATTCCAAATACTCTTTTAGATGTAGAAAAGATGAGATTGGATTGAAAACGTACCAAGATTGTAACATCATCCAGGATTTACTTTTCAAAAACAAATCCTGATACTCATTTGCTTATTTAAAGGGAAATAATTTGGGATGCCTTGGTGGCTTAGTCAGTTAAGCATCTACCTTTGGCTTATGTCATGATCCCAGGGTCCTGGGAGCCAGTCCCACATTAGGCTCCCTACTCAGCAGGGAGCCTGCTTCTCCCTCTGCCCGTTGCTCCCCCTGCTTATGATCTTGCTCTCTCTCTCTCTCCCCAAACAAATAAAGTCTCTAAAAATAAATAAAGGAAATAATTTCATTTCATTTTTCTTTTGTTTGTGTTCTACAGGAATGGTAGTTTACTATCCGTTAGTTGTGGATGGGTTGAAGAAAAATAAATCAATTCCCTAAGCATATTATCACTTTTTATCAGATTTAATAAACTATAGTAAAAGAACACACAGTGGACTCCTTCTCCAGCAGCTCTGTAATTGTGAAGCCATCTGAAGTAGGGCAGCTGTTCACAGAGAACAGTACTTATCTTTGAGAAAGTTTGTGCCAGGAAGAAAAACACTGGCTGACCTATTGTGTTTGAAGAGGAGGGTGGGTGTTCCGTGTCACTGACGCTCACTCCCCACATGTGATTTCAGACAACCGACAGGGACTCTGCTTCGCAGAGGTGCTGCAGACCATGTGCCAGATGGCATCCAGCAGCCGCAACCTCGTCACAAAGTCCGAGTGCTGCTGTGATGGGGGGCGAGGCTGGGGTCACCAGTGTGAGCTTTGCCCGCTTCCTGGAACAGCCCAGTACAAAAAGATCTGTCCTCACGGCCCAGGATACACCACCGACGGAAGAGGTGAGGAGCTGAGGGAACGTCCCGCACCTTGTCGATGCAGTTAACAGTAACTGATTCATTGGAAGGAAAAGTGAAAAATCGATAAAATGGCTAAAATATTTGTATGCATGTGTGTTTGTATATGCTTTTTGCTAATGATTAAGAGACTTCAAAGGAAGTAATCTTCATACTGAATCTAAGAGCAGAACTTACTAGGAAACAGAAGCCTGAAGCTTAGGTAACAGTAAGTAATTTTCTTGAGATCACATGTTTTCTAAGGGATGGACCCAGAAGTGGAACACATCTGCCTGACCCCAAAGGCCATGTCTGTAACCCCCAAACTCTACTTGCTTTATTTAAATAGGTGTTGCTTATTTGAGTGTGCACAAGGACACAGTCTGCAACATATTTACAAACCAAACCTCATAATCTGTTAGTGGTTTCCAGTTTTGTTTTGTTTTTTTTCTCCCTGAGACTACTCCTCATTGAAGTTTATACCTAAAGGCTCTAACTTTGGAGATAATTCTAACCTCTGACCCATTATTCCCCTTTGTTTCTTTTTCTTTTTTTTTTTTTAAACAACCACCTGAGAGACTGTCCTGAAAAGATAACCATTTTCTCCTACAACTGTACAAGCTATTGGCCCTGGGCCCAGTTACTCTGCTCATGAAACCCTTTCTTGAGAGTTTAATCCAAGTGTGGATATGAGGTCCAGGAGTGGGAAATCACCACAAATCCCAGATTAATTGGACTTCAGAGAGGTAGCTTTCTACGCCACGCCAAAACAGTTCATACTTAGATTGCAAAATGAGTAGACTGAAGCTGGGCTCTCAACAGAGCCTCATTTATAGACCTACCTCTTCCAATCCCTCCCGAATATTCTTTCTTCCCATTCATGTTGCTGAAGTGATGAGGAGGTACCCGAGCGCTGTTGTGAATGTTATTTGCTAGTTATTTCATGTCAGTCCCTTTGTTTCTCTTAGGTTCTCACCAGTTTCATCCTTGCATGTATAATAACTGTCTGTGTGTGTGTGTGTGTGTGTGTGTGTGTGTGTATTTTTTCCCCACACACAGATATTGATGAATGTAAGGTGATGCCAAACCTCTGTGCCAATGGTCAGTGCATCAATACCATGGGATCATTCCGATGCTTCTGCAAGGTCGGCTACACAACAGACCTCAGCGGCACCTCGTGTGTAGGTACGTCTGGGGGTGGCCAACTGCTGTTTCCTAGAGCCACTGCTGGCCCCGCGGTAGGTTTACCATGGAACACCGCAATGTTCCTTATGCAGTCATGCCATTCCTTTCAGGAGTGTGGTTCCTGGTATCACAGTAATTGTCCTTGCCCAGTAAACTGCGACACAGAACTGTTCAGTTCATCAGGAAGTGTTCAGTCACGGAGTGTAAAACTACAAAATCTGCTTCACCATTTTATATTTTAATTTAAAATTAAAAGTGCACCTTTGTTTGTCAGTCTCTTGATGAAAGAAGAGGGCTCCTGACAGTGAGCCTGTGTGTGAGTCTATGTAGGGAGAGCGCTTTTGTGCTTATTCCTCATTGCTGGGTTTTTGCATAAAATACACGAATGAAGCTTCCTGTAAAATTTGCAGTTGCAAAGCAGTGTCAGGACAGAATCCTTCTACATTTTTCACAATATTTTTTCTAATTTAACTTCTGACACCCACACTATTCTGTACCAGTTGAGGGCAGGGGGTGGAGAGCTTGCTTCTAATGGGTCTTTCCAAAGCATTTGACTTAGTTTTCACTGAAGAAAAAGAAGTCTCTTCTCCTCCATATTAATCAACTTGCATGATAGTCCATTAAAGTACCTATTTTAATAACAAACACACCTGGCATGAAAAGGTTCAGATAAACCAAACTGGCCCTTTGTAAGCATTTGACTCACTTGGTTGGGCATGAGAGTCCTTGAGAACAGGCTAGCATCAAGAGCTTCTGGCGTGCTGGGGGCATCCATCAGTGTCCTTCACGAGGAAATGGAGATTATTTGCTGTCCATCAGTCCTAGCAGAGCATGCAAGGGAGGACGATTTGGGAGGGTTGTTTTGACTCAGGATGTGAGCAGAGTGTGTAGAATCTACAAGGCACTGTGCTGTGTGCTGGGGCTCTGCTATCTGTGGGCTAAAAGAAAAGAGGGAGACGTTACTGAACCCTGCAAGGAGAAAGCTATGCACCGAGGGCTGCTTTGAAAGGCGCCGTGACCTCTGATCCAGTGACTTGGAGCCTGAGCCATCTTGCAGGGTGAGTGGAACGAAGTAAGGACCAGACAGAAGACAGAGGGCAAGAGACCCTGATGACTGTGTGTGTGCAGTGGAGCTGCTGGGCCAGGAGCAGCAAGGGCCTGACTGAGGGGCGGTGAGCCTGTGGGACCCCACGGTGCTTGGCATGTCAGTTCACAGTTTAAGAGGATGTCTTCCAGATTCATATGTAAGGAGAAGCTCTTAAGAAAATGATTCTTGTGGTGTAAACCAGAGTACATAAGGCTAAAGAATGCAGTGGGGTTTTTTGCCCCTGGACGTTACATGTATCCAGGAATCATACATTGATCTACAAAGTAAACCCGTATGTTACTTTCAAGATAACTGCTGTGCATCATTTTCCCCTGGCTGTTTTTCCATTTTAAGTTGAAGCCGAAAGGAAAAAGATAAAGTAGGAATATGGAGAGAGGAAAGAAGCCAGTGGTTGCTTGAAACTAAGAATTGTAATCTTGATCTCACTTTCATTTAGATCTCGATGAATGTTCCCAGTCCCCAAAACCATGCAACTTCATCTGCAAAAACACTGAAGGGAGTTACCAGTGCTCCTGTCCTCGGGGCTACGTCCTGCAAGAGGACGGAAAGACCTGCAAAGGTGAGGGACACGTCTCCACCATTCCCGACCCTCTTGTCTCCCTCCTTAACACATCCAAAGTCAGCTAAGGAGCTTTTCTGGCTGCATGGCCTTCATTAAGGAACATCTTCCCAGTGACCATTTGATTACTCACAGAAAATTCTACCAGAGGACCCAGGTAGGAGGCAGGGAGAATTAAAGCCCAAATCACAGCTGTTTCCTTCTTATCTAGCAGACCACACAAAATGATAATTAAATGAACTTATATAAAACAAAAAAATGTTAGGGAGGGAAGAGATTGAAACAAATAAATAAGATTTCCTTTGCTGCTTATCTAAGATTTTATTTCCTCTCATCTATCTTTATTACTTGACTGCAGAAGATTGAAAATGAATGGGTGAATTTCATTTTTTTGCACAGGTAGTATTAAAAGTAATTATCAAACTAAAGTAGACAGTGATGATAGCTCCCGCGCAAGACTCATACATTCGGTTTTATTGTAAACCTCTCCTGTATGGAATAAATGGATTGAGGAAATTCCTGTCTAGCTAAATGTTTGAAATACAGGTTATTCTTAAGAAGATGTAGTTTTATTTCCAAGGAATACCAAATAATAATAATAATAATTATTATTATTATTATTATAGTAAGCAGTACTGTTCTCTTAGATCTTCGTGAACCGCTGTGAGTCAGTTTAATTTTGCATGTTATGAGTGTAGACAATGCATGTTTATTAAGCTTTAAAATAATGAGTGTTATAGTTTCTACATTTATTTAAATATATTCTCCCATATTAAGTTCTAATCTCACCAGAATTACATTTCGAGTTTTCTGTTAGTATAGTCCAAATATAAATTCCATTTATTACTAGAATCACAGATGCCATGTTTTTGCTTCCTCTGGTGTTTATGATGCAGTGTTCACTTGGAGCCTAAGAGCCTGACTCAGTGCTTGTTTTCAGACCTTCATCAGTTTCCAGCTTCTGTTTTATTTTTATTTAACCCACCCCCGCAACTGTTCTCACAGTGAATACCCTAAGGTTCTAATTCTTGCATTTAGTGCACAGTGAAGTACTGGCTGGTCACTTATTCCGCTACTCGCCCTATGCATTATGGGAGTCTTGTGATGCTTCCAGCAGAACTCTACACGAAATACCCCCAAACAGAACATGTCCACATCCTGTGGCTTCCTGAGAGGGAAGGCAGGGCCAGGTAACTCTGCACTTCTTTTTCACTGGCCTCTCTTTCACCTCAGACCTTGATGAATGTCAGACCAAACAGCACAACTGCCAGTTCCTCTGTGTCAACACACTGGGAGGTTTTACCTGCAAATGCCCGCCTGGTTTCACACAGCACCATACGGCCTGTATTGGTAAGACACACTGCATGTGGGAAGTTTTGCTAATTGTGGGTAGATGCATAAGAAGTGTACTTAAAATGGTAGACTATTGAATGGCTCCATACTCCATTTAGAACTGCTAGGTCATGATTACTGGTCTAGAAATAATATAGGTGTTTTTCAGAAGAATAGTACCCAAAGGCAAAAATACATGAAGTTCAAGCTTATTTACGATCCAAGCACATAGACGGTAGGTATATTCCAAACAGGACCTTCAGGTTGCATTCTAAATATAACCATGTATTTTCAGACTAAATATAAATAAACGTTCATTGTGATTTAGAACACGCTAATGAACATGGTGGGTTATTTTATGTTAGAAGACACACATATTTTTTTTTAAAGATTCTATTTATTTATTTGATAGCAATCACAAGTAGGCAGAGAGGCAGGCAGAGAGAGACAGGGAAGCAGGCTCCCCGTGGAGCAGAGAGCCTGATGCGGGGCTTGATCCCAGGACTCTGGGATCATGACCTGAGCTGAAGGCAGAGGCTTTAACCCACAGAGCCACCCAGGCACCCCAGGACACACATATGTTAAGAGAGTTTCAGTCTGCATTGTCAAAAACCCAAGTCCTCAGTTGACCCAAGATATGCTCTAATTTCACCTCTCTTGAAATACTTTTTTTCTTTGCCACTTTGCCTCTAACCTGAGAGTGAATCCTGGCATAGATTTCCCTCAGGTTTTCACATCTTGAACTTAGGTTTTCATGCCTCACTTTGCATTTCGTGTAGTGAAATCTGAGTCATATAATGATTGGGAAGCTTGACACTCCTCCTTCCTGCTTTGCTAGACAACAATGAATGTGGGTCTCAGCCTTCACTTTGTGGAGCAAAGGGAATCTGTCAAAACACGCCTGGAAGTTTCAGCTGTGAATGCCAAAGAGGGTTCTCTCTCGATGCCACTGGACTAAACTGTGAAGGTGAGTTTATCTGCTAAAAAATCCTTAAACACAGCAAACTATTTTCTTTTAACTTGCAAGCCACCAAATGAGAAATGAGATCATCTCAAAAAGAAAAAGGTATTTAACAAAGTAGAACTCAGCAACTGATTTTTGTTCATACGTTTTCATATATCATTTTGGGGGTAAAGGAAAACTGTAATGTGATAGAACAAAAATTCTATATGAACTGGCTGTTAAAGTAACTGGAGTCTTTGCCTAATTACTGACCAAAAAAAAAAAAAAAAAAAAAGCTGGAAAGGAATTCTGTAGCTAGTAATTCTGTACAGTAGTGTACAGGTACATCAGAAAGACATGGACTTTTTTCCATGATAACTAAATGTGTGACAGTTAAGTGTAAGAAAAGAAACCGTTATCAAAGAGAACTGTAAAATCTATGACAGCTCTGGGGAAAGTGATCGCTGTTTCCATTTCATTTGTTCTGAAACTCCTCCTGTTCACTCTCTTCTCCAAAAATGGGCATTTTCTGTCGAGCCGCCCACCCTCACAATAGGTGCTTCCTGTAAAGTCAAAGAAACATTAAACTGGGAATAAAATAAGAATCTGTCTATACTCAACACAATACTCTACTGTCCTCCAACATTTCCACTGCAAGGGCTAATATAGTAGAACTGGTATCTTTTACAAAACACCCATGCCAGAAATTATAAGACTCTGTACATTCCCTTATGTTTGTATAAACTATTGCAATTTAAGTCCTTAATTGATTTTAATGCCCCTTTATTATTCTTTGGGATTTATGATTCTGGATTCTAGAAATATATTCAGGGTTTTTAATATACTCTTTATAAGAACTAGAAGACATGTATAAATCTAATCTGTAGCCAAGAAAAGTTCAGTTTTAAAGATTTCCATTTTAACATTTTATATTTGAAGTCCTCGTAACTTCTAAAGTATTCTGAACATACAGCTGCTTGCCACGTGTAAGTTCAGCCTGTGACCATCCACATAAGATACCATTTATTAATTAGCCATATAAATTTGTTATATACACATCAAACATGCCAATTTTATTTCACTCTTTATGAGTAGATTTCAAAGTCTCAGTTGTCATTCCAAAAGAGTACGCATGTGCGGACAAAGAAATTTTTCCATATGTTGTAATAATACCACATCATATCTAAAAATAATATATTTAAATACTTAAATTTTTCATCTAATTAATGTCAAATGGTAATAAAATTTTTTGCATGCAAAACAATTATACTTTTTAGATATCTCTGTAGTGCTTATATCCTCCCAAACATGAAGATATTTATTGAGACTTATTTACTTACTTACTTACTTATTTTAGAGCATGAGTGGGTCATCGACTCTCGGTTTTGGCTTAGGTTGTTACCTCAGGGTCATGAGATCGAGCCCTACATCGGACTCTACGCTCAGCGGGAAGTCCGCTTGAGATTCTGTCTCCCTCTCTCTCTACCCTTTCCCACCCCTCTCAAATAAATAAATCTTTAAAAAAAAAAAAAAGAAGAAGGTGGGTTCTTAGATCCATTCTTTGTATCGCGGGCTAATAACCATGTGACTTGGAAAAACTGACAGTCTCTCTGTGTGTCTTGTTTATCAGTTCTCCTGATAATAGTTAACGCAGGTTGTGTTTGGAGGGCATTTAAGAACAGTAGAGGAAGGGGGGTGCATAAGTATCTTGCCGGGATTGTTTTTGCAGATGTGGATGAATGTGATGGAAACCATAGGTGCCAACATGGCTGCCAGAACATCCTGGGAGGCTACAGGTGTGGCTGTCCTCAAGGGTATATTCAGCATTACCAGTGGAATCAGTGTGTTGGTGAGTTCTCACTTGTTACATAGCATCTGCTTTCTTACTTTAAAGTATCTGTATAAGATGAACAAATAATAAAAGTGTTGATGTTTCAGTGTAGCCTCTGAATCCTAGAACTTTAACACCAGTCCTCTGGACAGATGCACAGACAGGGGCTCTGTGACACTAGTCTACTTGTGTATGTTTGAAAATATCCAAAATAAAAATGTTGGGTTTTAAGTACCCCAAAGGGAACTCAACTAAAACTTTTATAATTACAATTTTCTACTAGATGTAATTTTAACTTTCTGAAGATGGTGTCAAGATTCATCATCTTTATTTGCTAAGGTCAGGGGCTTTTCATCATTAATTTCTTAACTTTAGATTTGGGGTGAAGAATTGCCCATCCATCTCCCTCATAAGTCCTACATCTAAATGAATTCAGATCAGCTTAATAAGGACTGTCCATCTGTGCTTTTCAGTTACATACATTAATGAAGAAGGCTAAGTATCTGAAGGTAGAAATTGTAGCTACTTACAGCTAATTCTGTTGAACTGAATTTGTCTCCAGACAAAAGTATTTGTAAAATAACATCTCTAGGCCCTCAACCCTGTTCCTGGCACTGATAACAGTCAATGGAAATTCTCCTTTAAGAGAGAGTCTGATCAAAGAGAACATTATTCTGTGCTTGAATAGCCAGCTGATGTACTTAGCAGAGGCCTGATTTCTTGGCTCCGCCTGAGTGCGCTTCATGGACCTGCCCTCAGCAGATGCCCCAACAGCAGAGCCTGAAAGGGAATCGAGGTCCTGAGGGGAGCCGGTGGGGTGCTCTCCTGTGCCTCTGCCATGATTTCAGTTTCAGATAGGCCCGTGTTTCTCAGATACTTCACTGAGCATCCACTTGATAAATTAATCTGATTTTATCCTTTGTGGTCTTCTCAAAAGAAATTTCTAATGACAGTTTAGTGAATTGAGAAGAGAAAATCAAGCTGAATTTCAAAGGAGGGAAGCCAGCTTGGTGAAAGCCACAGAGAGGCTGTGGTCTTGTGCGAGGCCAAAGACAGATGCTCCGTCAGCCCACGAATAGATGCTCGTGCAGGGAAATGCAGAAACCATTCGTGATCAAGAAGTTAGGGACACAGTTTCCAAGGATTGTCAGAATGATTTGTTAGGCAGTCAATCAAAATGTTTGGTGGGGTTACTTCTTTCTCTCTTCACACACAAAAATGCTGCCCAAGTCCTTATGCCCATATTGATTTATAAACAGAGGCAAAGTATAGGCACGCTCTTGAGAATATAGAGATCAGTGCATTTGTAGACAGCTGTTGAAACAGTGTAAAATAATTATATTGCTTTGTTTACTAAAGTGGAGGGTCTCCTATTTTATAAATAATATGGACTTTTTAGTTAAATCTATGGCTCTTAAGGCAAAAGAATGATCTTCTGATATTTCATAGGTGTCAGCTTATTAAATAGAATTCTCATTTTTGAAATGTTCCTAAGTATAAATAAGAGCACCTGTGGAGTATCAGCTCACTTTCCAAGTTTTTAAGTTTTCTGGAGCTTCTGCCTGTGAACATCTAGTGCAAAAACAGTTGTAAAGGTTTTCACTAAATTGGTCTGATTTTAAAATTAAGGCTGCTGCTATATCCTAATTCCCCTTTGGGGGATTCTCTGAGTAGGCATTTCAGCAAGGCCATCACCCCCCAGCAGCTCACATAGTGTCAGGGCAGGGATTTACTTGGAAAGGTTCTAGATTCATCTGTGCAGGATTGAGGAATCTAACTGGTCCCGACTTTAATTGCTGACTTCCTTGCTTTGAACCCTACATAATTCCAGTGGGAATTTTAACCCAACTATATGGCAGGAATAGAATTAAACCATCAGGAATGAATAAAAGCAACAGGTTATCAAAAGAACAAGAATCCTGACAAAATACAACTTGAAAGGCCACAAATTATTTTTATCTGTTACTGCATATGTGAATATCATTACTCATTTCATATGCTTGAGGGGGGAAATGCAGAATGAACTCTTTCAGATTTATCTGAATTCCCTTAGTAAATGGACAAAACTGTTCAGAGTCAATGCATCAGATAGTTTAATATTAAATTGTTAATACTACTGCCAACTTAAGGAAAATGACAGTTTTTTTGTGTTAATACTGAAAAAAGGTTTTAATTCAAATGAATACTTGAAAATATTTCTGGTCACTTGCCAGAGAATATTTATAACACTCTGCTATATATGCTATAGAGTTTCTCAGATGTTTGCAAACATTGTAATTATTCAAAACTGAAAATTAAGTATTACCCTTTGTATATAAAGAAAAATTTTTTATTAGGGAAGTTTTTGGTTATGTAGTGTTCACTAACTTCCAGTTGCTTCTGGGGTCACTTCAAAATAATTTGATCACAGCTTAGTGAAGCATAAATCAGCTCAAAGTATGTATCAAACATGAACATATTTTCTTTTTTTTTTTTAAAGATTTATTTATTTATTTGACAGACAGAGATCACAAGTAGGCAGAGAAGCAGGCAGAGAGAGAAGGGGAAGCAGGCTCCCTGCCAAGCAGAGAGCCCGATGTGGGGCTTGATCCCAGGACCCTGGGATCATGACCTGAGCTGAAGGCAGAGGCTTTAACCCACTGAGCCACCCAGGCGCCCCAAACATGAACATATTTTCAAAGTGAGATGACCAGAGTCCATAAAAATATACCACAATGTACATTTGTAACATACAAATATGAAGTGTTTCATGGTGCTTACAAAAACAGTACACATTTTTAAATGTTCTTGTCAGTAGTATGTAAATACCATTTACTCAGTTGGTTTTGCAGATAATTTTTCTACATAACACAATGTCTAATACCATATTCATAGCAGGATTGTTTTGTTAAATTATAACCTAATTTGCATTCTGTTACAAGAGAAATACTGGATATAAATGTCAGAGTTAATGATTAGAGCAGATAAGCCTCTGTGGCAGAATGCCAAGTCTTTTGTGTTTAGAAATAAAACAGCAGTTATGTCTGTGTCATAGGCAGCCTAGTGATTAAGAATTCATTAAATACTTTCTCCTGATGAAATGAAGACTGAGAGTTTGTACATATTAGGTAATCATCACAGGTTTAGATCGAGAATTCTCTATTTTGTTGGCCTGATTTAATTGTGAAACTACAATGATGACACAAATGTTGCCGCATAATGTCTGCCCTTTTGGTAACCCATGTGCTGAACTTAATGAGCTCCGGGTTCCTGCAAGAGGCCCCAGCCACACGGAGACCCCATCTGCACCCTCCATAAGCTCCCTGAGTGGCTGCACGGAGGCCCTTCCCTCCAGCTGCCATGTCCTCTCCTTACACATGGACCATGTCCCCACGGGGGCTGAAACACAAACTTGTCACATCCTAGGTCAGCAGACACACTCTGTTCCAGGGGAGTCCCAGGAATCAGTGAGAATTCCACGGAATAGATGGGACTTGTGCCCAGGGTGGAAGCTGGATTATAAGAAAGCTCAAAGGAGTCAAGCCACATGCTCTTTATCAGCCAGACAGTTAAGAGCAAAATTGTCATCTCCCAAGTTAAAAGCACAATCAGGCTTTGATGTTGTTAAAATATTAGCAACTGAAAGTATAACCTATAATTATCCTGCAAGAATTTACAGCGTAAGATTATTAAACAGGTAAAACTGATGTCAGCTTGATGCCCAGATGCAAACCTCTCTCAGAAGACACATTCTGCCCCTAACAGGTTCTCAGTAGCTAAAAGCATATGAGATTTTTGGTTCAGTAGATCCACTTAAATAATGCTTCTCTCAGTTATTTTAATTCAGACTATTTAAATGTTTATATATACTTTTCTCCCCATATAGAATGAATTTGGGAATTGCTGGGAGAATATACATGTACCCAGATATAGGGGTTTTTTTTTAATCGAGATAGAATTCACAGACCAGAAAATTCATTATTGCAAAATGCGTAGAGTTCAGTGATGTTTAGTATATTCTCACCAGAGTTTGCAGCCATCACCACATTTTCATTGCTCCAGAAAGAAACACCATACCCATAAGCAGACATCTCCATTTCTTTCTCCCTGTAGCTCCTGGAAAATAGTAATCTACTTTCTAGCTCCATGGATCTGAGATTCAGGCTTTTGAAGTAACCTTCAGTTCAGAGAATATAAAAGTTATTCAGTAGACAGACTGCAAAGGTCTGTCCCCAAGAACTGCCATTGTATTGAGAAACAGCACAAACAGAAAATATAAAAGAGTAGGGCAAGGCTTTTTTAAAGCCGTAATTTAGGCGGATTTGTTGGGATTTGGTGATTTGGGTTTTGTTTTTTGGGGTGTTTGTTTGTTTGTTTGTTTTTACTTGTATATGCTTTTGCCAATCAGCCATCAGGGTAAACATTTTTTAAATGTTTTAAATATCTAGAGATATTTCTCTGTAAAACCATCAAGACTGTGAGACTGGACCTCTTTGCCCCCACGTAAGAGTCTCTTCCTTTGTGCTCCTAGACGAGAACGAATGCTCCAATCCCAGTGCCTGCGGCTCTGCTTCCTGCTACAACACCCTGGGGGGCTACAAGTGTGTCTGCCCCTCAGGATTCTCCTTCGACCAGTTCTCCAGTGCCTGCCACGACGTCAACGAATGCTCATCCTCCAAGAACCCATGCAATTACGGCTGCTCTAACACGGAAGGGGGCTACCTCTGCGGCTGCCCGCCCGGGTACTACAGAGTGGGACAGGGGTAAGGCCGCCACCCCCTGCCTCGTACACAGGGAAGCAGGAAAGTGGACGGGGATGAAAAGCCCAGGAGAAAAAGCACTGCTCAGAGGACTTAGGGTATGGGAAGAAGCACCACTGGGAAGGCCCCCGGTTAGGTCAGCGCAGCCAGGACCGCTGCCTCTATGGTGTCTGTGAGACCACCTTTTACTATATAGGGAGCGCTCTACTGCCCCTTGGCACAGCCTGAATTGACTCAGATCCCTCAAGGCCAGAGACAGGTCAGTGTTGGAAAATGCGGCTCCCTTGTTGTCGCTGACACCTGGGTTCTAAAGTTCAAGTAGGAATGGCTCTGCCCCAGCTTTTTCTATGAATTGCGGCAAGTGCTTGCTCAGTGGTCCCCAAGGAAGGAGCCTGTCCCTCCCTTTGCTCCTCTAGCTTTACACTGCACAGAGAGGATGGGCCTAGTTCCTGTGGTGCCATCTCCACCGGGCTGGCTTTCTTCCAGCAAAGGGCCCTCTCCCAAGCGAGCTGTCTCGAGGGCCGCTGGCTGCAGCGGAGGTGCGGGCGGTCTGCATCCTTCCGCCTGGCAGCTGGCTCTCCCAGCACAGAAGACAGGAACTGACGAGTCAGTCAGGGTCATCTTCCCCAGAAGGAGCAGTGAGTGAGTCAGGCACTGAGGGGAAGGAACACATCTGTCTACCACTGGTACCTCCTAGTGCTTGAAACCCAGGTCTTGGGCTGGATAAGTGTCCTTAAGAGCCAACATAGCGACTCTCATGGTCTGTGATGGGAGCTCAGAAAGCACAACTGCTGCAGCAGCGAGCTCTCGCGAGAGCCTAAGCACAGGTTTCAGACTTACAAAGCAACAGAAATTCTTTTTTAACTTCTTGATTTAACTACACCTGAGTGCTTCAGTCGAATTAGGATCGAAAACTGGAGAAGCCTGGAGGTACTCTCAAGAATTCTGATGTGCAGAATGAGGGAGAATCTCATGCTTCAAGTGTCAAAGGAAAGAGTTACCAGGAGTATTAGGTGTTCCTGTTTGTGAGTTTACAGTTCCTTTGTTGGTTTCTTGTCTCTAAGAAGTCTCTGCTCTACCACTGGAAAACCACAGTCACAGTTAATGGTGAAGTCTAACCATGCCTTGCTTCTTCTTGCCCACAGCCACTGTGTCTCAGGAATGGGATTTAACAAAGGGCAGTACCTGTCACTGGATGCAGAGGTCGACGAGGAAAATGCTCTGTCCCCAGAAGCATGCTATGAGTGTAAAATCAATGGCTACTCTAAGAAAGATGGCAGACAGAAGAGAAGTGTTGGGGAACCCGAACCCACTGCCGTGAGTAAACCTCTGTCTTGTCATAAGATTTTATCCTTAAGCAGGAACATGTACTACACAGTCAAATTTTACATCAGTTTCAGCCTCACTGAGGTTACAGCTTTCTTGTAATGTTATAACTAAATTCACAGACACAATATGGCAGAGACACATTACAATTAATGGCATTATTAGCTCAGAACACAAGGACTAGGGGAAAAAAAACTTAAAAGATTCATAGTTTCAGATCTATGTTTTTGTCCTGACAAGAAAATTGAGTTGACACTGTGAAGTGCCTGGAACAGTGCCTGGCATATTAGTAAATGTCACCAAGTAACACCTGGTATCCAACGATGTTGGTGATTTTCCCAAAAATCAGCCATAGCACCACCCTCTTCATATAACATTATTGCAAAATTGCTCCCCCCCCCCCCCCCCCCCCCAAAAAAAACAACAACCCTGGGCAACAACTAGCTGGCTATGTGAGTTGGGTGACTCGCTTCATTTTTCTGGGCCTCTGAAACTTCCCTCATCTGTAAGGCTAGATTTCCCTAGCCAAAATGTCTGTGGTTCTATTTTGTAATAGTAAACAGGCCAGTATTAGATTAGGTCAACTTAATCTAATACTGGCAATTAAGATATCCATCAAATACCCCTTGACTACAAATCCAGAAATTTTGCTTATGAAAAACTCCCACTGTGATACTGGGGACAGGATTCTGTCTGATCACTGATGGGCACTTTTTTTTTTTTTAAACAATTTTATCTACCTGCCTATCTACCTATTTTTCTGTTGGTGAAAGTGAGAATGTGTACCCAAGTGGGTAGAGGCTCAGAGGGCAGGTAGAGACAGAATTTCAAGCGGAGCTCAATGTGTGGCTCGATCTCAGACCTTGAGTTCATGACCTGAGCCAAAATCAAGAGTCAGACAGTTAACCAACTGAGCCACCCAGGCACCCCAGTACCCCAGTAGGCACTTATGTGCCAGCAGAGCCAAGTTCTTACTTAAAGGTATCCACTCAAAGCTTTGGATTTTTGCTTGTCTTACAAATAGCATTCTAGGGGCACTTGGGTGTCACAGTCAGTTAAGCAGCTGACTCTTAGTTCCGGCTTGGGTCATGATCTCAGGGTTCTAGGATGGAGCCCCATATCCAGCTCTGTGCTCAGCACGGAATCTGCCTCAGGATTCTGTATCTCCGTCTCCCTCTGCCCCTCCCCCTGCTTGCTTGTGCCCTCTATCTCTCTAAAATAAATCCTTAAAAAAAATAATAAAATAGCATTTTAAAACCTCCCACCCTTCTGACCAAGTGAGATTTGGTTTATCTGGGACCTGCCATACCGGTTTTTTACCAAAGCTGATTCAAACCCAAGCCTAGGACTCTTCAGGTCCCTCTGTCTTCACTAATGGCTCCCTGTAAACACACCCCACTCATGGCTATGGGGGCCTTGTAAATCAAGCCAGGCCTTCAGAGGCCAGATCGCTCTGGGTATCATCCCTACCGTTGTCTAAGAGCCACACTTTGAAATTAGACTCCAGCCAAAATATATATATATATACAATCATTTCTTAAATTATTTTTTCATTAATAAGCTTGTTATTCCATAAACTCATCAACAGTAGTTTACAGTGTGAAGCTCTCTGTAGGCTCAGCCCTGTCACCGGACCTGGGTCAGGTGCATGAGAGGCTGTACAGATCTCCACCTTGCACTCTGTGGAACGGACCTTGCCCCCAGCTGCCAGGGCCTTGCGGGAGCCTCCCTGTACAATCACTCGTGGTGCGGAGAGCACAGAGTTGTCCTCCTGGCCACAGCCCCAGCAGAAAGCCTCTCCCCGTCCTCTGCCTGTGCCTTAGAATTTCTTCCCACGTCCTCTCCTTCTCTTTCTCCAGGTTGAACACATCAGCCTGGACAGTGTCGACATGGACAGCCCCATGAGAATGAAGTTCAACCTCTCTGGCCTTGGCTCGAAGGAGCACATCCTAGAACTCATGCCAGCTATCGAGCCCCTCAACAACCACATCCGCTATATTATCTCCCAAGGGAACGACGAGGGGATCTTCCGCATCCACCAGAGAAATGGGCTCAGCTACTTGCACACGGCCAAGAGGAAGCTTGTGCCCGGCACGTACACACTGGAAATCACTAGCATCCCTCTCTACAAGAAGAAGGAGCTTAAGAAACTGGAAGACCGCAATGAGGATGACTACCTCCTAGGGGAGCTTGGGGAGGCTCTCAGAATGAGGCTGCAGATCCAGCTCTATTAACCCCTTACAGACTTGGTTCCAGGCTCCAGTCCCTGCACAGCCAGCCTGCAGCAGCCTCGGAAAAATCAGCGACTAACTGCGAAGAGGGGAAAAAAGACTTTTGTTTCTTTCCTCCCTGTCTCAGACTGCAGAATGTTGACCCTCACAGGGAGGGGTAATTGAGACTCTGGTATGGCCAAAGATTTGAGTACAAAGGCAACCGTGGTTACTGTATTTTTTATATAACTTCACTTTAAAATATATTAAAAGAAAACTAAAACTAAATGTTCAAGAGATCAGCATATGGCACTAAATGCACAAAAATAATGTGAGCTTTTTTTTTTTTTTCCTGTTAGCAGTCTGTAACACTTTGGGTATTTTGCTATAGTTGCTAATTAAAAAAAAATATAGATGTTTATTTATTTTTAATGCAGTAATATATGGAGAAATGAACAAACTATGTAAACAAAAAGGGAAACTCACTTGTTTTTCTTTAGATTTATAAATTTGAGCTATTTCTTTTAGAGGTGCTTTTTAAAAAATCCAGTAGATTCAAGAGAGGTTTCCTTTTGGTTTTCTGCCAGGGGTCCAACTGGTACCCATCTGACGATTTTTAAAGAAAGCCTCCCAGAGCTGTAAGGGCAGCATAATCAATAACTTAAAAGACGGCCATGTCATGAGATCCTTCAGAAAGGAGATCAAAGCCAGAGCAGCTCGCGGTGACGATTGTTCCCATCACCAGACACACACCAGGCAACCGAAGATGAAGCACAACCACTGTAGCAAAATACCTTGACTGCTTGTGAGACCAGTAGCGTTGCAGGCCAAACCGTACTGTATTTCCTTCATATAACCTCAAGGAAGCACATGTGCTCCCCACAACACCTCATTCCTACCCAGGGTGGGCCGCGATCCCGCGGCACCGGAGGCCGCCGAGGTGCGGCCGGTCCTCTGCCAAGGAACGCCTGGCGTTCTGTAGTGTTTGGTGCTGTCTTAGATTAATGGTGCATTTATTATGTTCAAGCTGTTTCAGGATTGCCATATGTGCAAACAAATCATGCAGTACAGCCAAGGAATATATGTTGTTGTTTTTTTTAAATCCATTTTTTTTAGAATTTTCATTAATACTGTAGTTATACACCATATGCCTCGTTTTATCATAGCCTATTGTGTATGAGAGATGTTTGTACAATGAATTGATGTTTAGTTTGCTTTAGTCATTTGAAAAGATTCTGTACCAGGACGTGCTGATAGAAGAACGTCCCCGTGTACTTCTCAACCCAAGAACCTGTCCCTGGACCAGTGACCAAACCTCATATGTGAAATGGCCAAAGCGCGTGCAGGCTCCGGGTTGCTCCTCTCACACCTGTGCTGACCAAAGATTCATAACCAATTTATATCCAGTTGGGGGTTTTGTTTTGTTTTTTTAATACCTAAAAAAAGAAACAGTGTAAATTTGTAATCAAGTGTTTGTGAGGAAAAACTTATGGTTTTTGGTTTTGTTTGTTTTTGTAGTTCTGTATATCAAATATGACACTTTTCTTGCAATAAAGCTTATTTTGGGGTAGTTTGCTGGCTGAGTTTTATGAGACAATAACCTCCACTGTGTTGGTGGGAGGCACTGGGGGTTTTCCCTACGGAGACCTGTAGGAAATTGCCAGAAGGAGAGCCAGCCACAGTTGCAGAAAAATGAGAGAATGCTGTCCAGTCTGTGACACAGGTGTTCAAGTGACAATGACAATGTAAAGTCCTCTTCAGGTAGAAGGACAAAAATCAAGGCAGTAGGTCATTCCCTTCCCCCACAGATTCTAAGATGTCTCGGAGCCCCCCATCTTTCTAGAGACCTGAGAATCCCTTCATGTCATCCCCATGTAGGCTCTGAGGATCACTGTATTAAAGCAGCTGTGAGGAAGTATAACGTTCTCTGAGGCTTTCTTTTTTAAGGCTTTTCCTGAGCTTGAGTTTTTAAGCAACAGTACTTAGCATTCCCAAAGCCAAATGGCATCTCCTCATCCACAAGAATCCAGAGCTTCCCAGCTCTTGCGGCATTAGACTTCCTCAGTGGGTAAGTGGCTAAATATGACAACTCACTTAACTGAAACCCCCATTTTTTTTCCTGATGCACTGTTGACATGAGCACAGAAATGTCTTAGAAGTCCGTTCAATGCAAAGTTTGAGAATCTACACTCAACTTACTCATCTAGGGGATGAGAAAACAAGAAAATACCATGACTGGTCTCAATACTGCCCTCTGCCTATCAGCAAGGCAAGAATTTGCCTCAGGGCACGCTTTCTAAACAGACCACTGAGTTTCATCGGGCGTCTATTACGGCTACAGTATGAGAGCTCATAATGTGAAATCACCTGGAACCAAATTTGACTCTAACTTTGAACTGTGAGCAACAACGCTCTTAACTTTACCTTTAACCTGCTCTTGAAGGAATTTTGAGAATCCACGCCATCAGCTGCTTTACACGGAAAAGATGAAAGACCATTCGGGCCTTTCCACAGAAGGTACTGGCAAACATTTGACTACCTCAAGTCACTCGTAGAAAGAACCTTCTCAGGCACCTCTGGCGGCCTTATTACAATTCTCTTACCCTGAGCACTGGCACAGCCATCATTAATTTGTGTCTCTCTGCTAACTAACTGCTCATCTATTTTGTATCATTTTATCATTCTCATAAAATGTATCCTCAGAAATTACTTTAGCTACGTTATGCAAAACTAAGCCCAGAGATTACACACACACACACACACACACACCCCAAATCCAGTGGGTACATGTATTAGTAATAATAAGCAAAAATTTGGTCTTCAGATAACATGAATTCTCTTTCCATTAGTATTTAGACTTGGATTTTTAAAAAATTTCGTTCTACTGAATACTTTTTTATTTTGCTGCCTACTTGTGGTAGATGAAAGGTGATGGTCATGTTTGCACATGAACCATAAAAACCATCCAGGGATTTCACTCTAAATTCAAACACCTCCCCTTTTGGATGACCTAGGAATATCACACAGAATCATTCATTATAATCTGTCCCTTCTAAATAACCCAAGGTTTTATTTTACATTCATTGCTTTCTTGGTTCACAAAATAAATGCTTGGGGCAGTGGGTGGAAAATACAGCTAAAAGGACAGAGCATCAATCTATCTGAGTCCTACAAACCTTTACGTTCCTATCCTTAGTGCTTCAGGGAAAACAGGTTAATTCATATGTTAAAAATGAACCATGAAAAATTGCCAACCTTTTGCCATATTTGACCTATGGAATGGTAATTTCATACAGTTCAATTTAAAGGTTCAGAAATATTCATGCTCCTCAAGAATAAACTGGAACTTTTAAAATTTCCCATCTCTCTGCAAAACAATCAGTTCCATTCACTCCTTTCCACGCCGCTTGTGGCTCATTTGTACTCCTGATTTACAAGAGTCCACAAGAGAATACACGTAATTTATTCAAATAGCCACTTTCTTTCATGCTCCAAAGACTTTGGACAGAGTCTAAATCACACATCTTTGGGACCTTGTGGCAATTACTGGAAGCTTTCTAAAGACAAAGACAAACCCACTGGGAAAGACTGAAACATAGCACCATTAAAATAAAAAAAGGGTAACTTAAGGCATCTTTACTTCTGGAGAGACAGGGAGAAACAAGACGACTCATTAACACCACACAGAAAGTGAGCAGGACAGCCCTGTTTGCAATCTCAGCTAGCTTGCCTTTGATATTTAGCTTCTGGTTTCTTTCTTTTTTTTTTTTCTTAACCATGATTGCTCACTCAAAGAGAAAGCTATGGTCTTCTTGCTTAATAAGAAGTATGTATATCTGACCCAAATCCTCCTTGAAAATCCCTCCAGGGATGCAGAACAGTGGAGTCCTAAACTACAATGCGCAGCTCCTTTAAATTCACCACATCAACCACTGAGGCAGAATCACCTTGCTGGTAAAAGAAAGAAACCTTCACATCAGGCTGACCTGAGTCTTGTGCATGGGGATGGGCCAGGCTCACCCGGCTCCCTGGGATCTGAAGCCCCTCCGAGATCCTATCCCCCCACTCTGGGAGGCACTGGTGCATAGAAATCCCCCAGGTGTCCTGACGTCATGTGCAGGTAGGAAACAAAAGGGGAGAAGGCACAATGCTGACGTCCCTCAGCACACCAGTGTTGAATTCCTTCTCCTCTGACGAGCTACCTGACCTCCCTGAGCCTTGGGTCCTTTCTCAGGGTGCTGTTTCCCAGCGCACGGCTGAGAGGACTGCGTGAGACAGGGCAGGCCATGTGGTCAACAGAGGGCCCAGCCCACAACCCACACTTAGTAACTGTCAGCTGCTCTTCCCGTCTTCTTCTTCCTGCTGTGACCAAAGCCACTAGGATAAGAATGTGCCCCATAGTGACACAAAGCTACTTCAGAAGCAGGACCCTGAAACTTGGGCTTCCCATAGACCCTGGCCATGTCTCCTCAATAGTCCACACCTCTAGGGAATCTTTAGAAGTGCCGGTGCGGTCACAGGCGTCTACCACCTCTCCCCTGCTCTTGGCTCTCTAGTTGTGACTACAGCCAGGGGAGCTGGGCCGCAGACACGGCCGGAGTCCTCCCTCCTACTGAGCCCTAGGAAACCAGACATGAAAGAGAACACAGACATAGGATAATCCTCTCTAGGATGATTGAGTGTCATGGAATGTCAGAGCTAGAAAGCCCTTTAGAAGCCTCCTCATATTACCCATGAGGAAACTGAGGCCCAGAGCAGGCACCCAGCTAATGGCACTGCTCGTGTCTGTGGAGGTGAGACCGGAGCCTGGCTGGCTGCTTGTCGTCTGGTGCTGTTCGTATATCCACTCCATGGTAAGCCTATTTGGGTTGAAGAGTTGAAACCCTGAGGATATAGTCCAGTTCCCATGGTTTTAGCTCACACTGAATCCACAAATGTTTTCTAAGCACGATTCCAGCACTGGTTTCTGTTTTGTCTACCCCACCCTCGGTGTGACTGCTCCCAACCTCCTCAAGACCAGAGACCCTGTGTGTGCACCAGAACGCCAAGACCCTGGCTGCCACGGAGTCACCCCCTCCAACCCCTGCGACCGTGTACTTCTTGAAATGCCCTCAATAGCCCAGGCTTTCCAAGTGTTAAACATGTTATTTAAACCAGGCCTTCCAAACTTTTAAAAACAAATACACATTTGTTTTACGAAGTGTGCCTAAAGAAAGCACACTAGTTGCTTGTGTTACTTAATTGTCATCCCCCCCCTTTTCCTGTGCGCCTAAAAAAAGTATTACTAGATTAAGTTGGCTTACTTCTGCAATAGCCAAGAACCAACAGCTCTCCTTAGTCACCCCCGTTAGGGCTGCAGATTAAATGTCAGGATGCAGTGTAGACATTTTCCAAAGGAAAACAGGAAAACGCTTTACATGATATTTAGCGCAAGCCATAGGGAAAGTGAGCATTAATAGCCTTCCCCAGACAACTACTGTTCCATGCGTGAGCTGCATTAATGAAACAGCGGTATGTGCTGGGAATGGCCAATTCCTGAAAAAGTGTCAAAAAAGCAACCCCTGGGCCTGCTTCGGCTTCTGTAGTTTCCGCTCCTAGGTTTACCCCCTTCCTCCGGCTCTAGTGGACCTGGCCCCTGCTCTGCCACTGAGAAGCCTGCTTGTTTGAGCCGCGGTGGATTTCCAGCCTCAGCCTGCACCTTCGTGGCTATAGGACCCGCGGCAGGGGCCCAGGCCCCAGGGCCACGTACCAGCACCTGGGATGAGCCCACGGCTTAGTTAACTCACGTTCTGTTTTAATCAATGAGTGAATGAAGGGAGGCAGGGTACTCTCAGACTCTCTACCACCCTGGGGAGGAATGAACCAGTACAGACCATGATGAACTGCCCCGAGGGGAACTGGCCCCTGTCTAAAGAGCGGGTGATTTCACAGTAACAGTATTACTGGCAATCTGAACATATTTCTGGGGATCACTCTGGAAATGCCTTCCCATCTTTTTGGAGGACTTTCTTGATTTAGGTTGCTTTTTTTGCACCTTTCTAGGAAGCCTCGTGGATCTCATCCAGGAGGAGAGTCAGATGCAAGGCTCTTGGGAAGGCTCACTGTCATCTGGATTTTTCACAGGAGAGGAACCTCATCCACACCTGGACCAGCTGCCACGTCGGTGGTGCTAGGCATGGGAGGCCAAGCCAAAGACTTTCTCTTCTCACAGAGAGCTTACAAAACTCTGATTTTTGAGGCAGATTAACTACAGGAATATTTGTTGGACATCTATATCCAGTCCTAAAGGGATTTTGCCCTCAAAAGTTGAGGGTTGATTCAGAGAAACAAGATAAGCAGATGAGATTATAAAATGGTATGGGGTCAATGGCTGTAGTGAATCCCTCAGACAAATGACCTAGACTGTGTTGGCCAGGAGAGTGGTGGCTGAAACCTAGAGCTGCCAGAGTTGGTTTCCTAGGGATGGTGGGAATCGAGCTGGACGTTGCAGAGCAAGGTAGACTTGGAAGTAAGGTAGACCATGGGAAGGAGCCCCTGGGAGATAGAAGAGCATGCACAAATGTGGACATG